TGTATGATAATGCATCGTGGTCTCAGGTGCTGCGCCTCTTGCCCCATAAGTCAATCCGCAGGGGTTTTATGTCAGCCCTGGGGCCTGGGACTCAGTATCGTAGCTTTGGGATGTTCACGCACGGGGGAGTGCTTGGTGTGACGACGGCTAGTCGTCAGCTTCCGCACACGCAAAGGTACCTTTTGGCAGTGCTACAGCACTATCACCCTCAGGCTACATTCACTTCTTTTGTAGCGTCGGTGAATTGCAGCGCCCCCATCCACCGTGACTACTTCAATGCTCCGGATAGCTTGAACTATGTTGTTGGCGGAGCCGAGCATTTGCGTGGCGGGCTTTGGATCGAGGTTAGTTCAGAGTTTGCTAGCACTGCCGCTCCAGGGGTTTTGCAATTTCGAGAGGTTGCTCCGCGTCGGTGGCTGCCGGGAATGATGTGGGATACGGTTGGTGCCTCGTTCTCGTTCTCACCGCACTGCTTTCATGCCGGTGACTCGTGGTCTGGCGACAAATACCTCCTTGTTGCGTTCACTCTCAAACGATGTGTGAAGGCTCCTCTCCCGGTTGTGGCGGAGCTGACTTGCGCCGGCTTTCCGTTGCCTTCTTGCTGCCCTGCGTCTGACGCAGGGGGGGAGCCCACAGTAATCTTTCGCCTTCTTGTTCCAAACAGGGGCTTGCAACTCAAAATCAAAATCGACCGCATGAGCTGAGTGCGTTGATTGATACTTCTCCTCCTGCCCAAGAGTCTTCCTCCGGTGTCGGGCTCTTGGTTGATGAGGTTGAGGCGGAGTCTGATTTCAGCGAAGAGGCTTATGGTTTGGATGCGGCCTGCAGTGCTGAGTCGAAGTTATGGTTTGAGGCTGCTGAAGCTGCGTCCTCCCTTCAGGTTGAGGCTCGGAGCTTAAGCCCTTGCCATGATCATGAGACCCCTCCCGATGACCCCCTTGAGTCCTTTGTACTGATAGACGGTCCGGTAGAGACCTGTGTCTTGCAGGGGATCGAAGAGCTTAATAGGGCTAGGGTTAATCTTCGCAGCTTGCAGGCAGCTAGTGGTTCAAGTAGTGCTGTCAGTGAGGTCCTCGAGGCGCGCTCTGAAGGCATAGAAAACTTCCTTGCCTATTATCAGGTGCTGTCGGGCCCGGGGGAGTCCAAGTGCCCCTTAGCAGTCAAAGAGCTTCGTCTTAGAGGACTGGGGGAGTCACCCTCTGCTTCTGATGCCCATGCTCCGGACCATGAGCCACCACCGTTGCAAACGAAAACTGTGAGCCTCGATCAGGTCAAACGCGAACTTCCTTTGTGGAAGCCAGCGATAAGTGCCGAATATGACAGCCTCCGTGTAAAAGGAGTGCTAAGGCCGATTTCGGAACAACAAATTGCGGAATGGCTTGCCCAGGGACGTGCGGTGCTGCGTCTGCCCTCAAAAGGAGTCTTCACTCGCAAGGCGGTGTCAGGCTTAAGGAAGGCTAGGTGCGTCGCATGTGGAAATCACGGGCCTTCAGCTGGTGGCTCCGCGTATGAACATCGTATGCTCACATATGCCGGTGGAATCGACGCGAGCGCACTAAGATTGTCGTTGGCTTTCATATCCCAGCACCCCGACTGGGATGTCTGGGTGACAGACGTCAAAACAGCTTTCTTAAACGCGAAGTTGTCCGATGGTGTTGATAGCAGTCTGGTCGAGTCAGGGACCGAGGAGCTGATCGTCCTTGATCCGCCCCGTATCTTTCAGCTTGCCGGAGTAGTCAGCAGAGCTGAGCGGTGGTTGGTTGAAGGTGCTCTGTACGGCCTTGACCGGTCTCCTAAATGTTGGTCGAAACTTAGGGACCGCACGTTAAAGACTGTTCGCGTTAAGATTGGAGATATTGAAATAAGCCTGAGACAGCTAGTTTCTGAGCCAAATGCATGGCTACTGACGGCATCGTCAGGAGGCATTGTCGGCCTTCTGGTCGTATATGTCGATGACCTCATGATTGGAGGTGTTGCAAAGTATGCATCCGCAGTCCTCGCTGAAATTCGCAACATCTGGCAGTGCTCGGAGCCGGACCAGCTTAGCTCTAAGAATCCTGTGCGCTTTTGTGGTGTTGAAATAGAGAGACAAGGCCGTGCGCTCTTAGTCCACCAAGCATCGTATATAGAAGATGTTGTAAAGCGCTACGAAGAGAGTCTTGGGGCTCCACTGGTAGAGACTTCGTGCCCGTTTGTAAAGGTTCAGGACCCAGAAGAGCCAGAACCTTCTTCCCCTGTTGCTTTGAGAAAGGCCCAGGCACTTGCGGGTGAGCTTCTTTGGGTGTCTGGAAAGACAAGAGTAGACATTGTCTATGGGGTTGCGAGGGTAACATCATTGGTGAGTCGATGTCCGGAGCTTGCTTTCAAGCTCGGTCTGCATATCCTTTGCTATCTTAAAGGCACCAAGCGGGTCGCTCTGAAGTACCAGTGCGCCGCAGATCAGCCTCCCCATGGCATGCATAATGAGCGTCGCGTCACGGCTCTTCCTTACCTGCTTGAATCTTTCACTGATGCTAGTTTCGCTCCAGCTGGTGACAGAAGCTTTGAAGCTGGCCTGGTTCAGGTCGGTCGCAATCTAGTCTTCTGGGGTGCAGGTAAGCAGCCCTTCACAGCTCTCTCTACTGCTGAGTGTGAGCTGTTAGGGGTTCTTGAGGGTGTAGCGTTGACGGAGTCCCTTGAAGGGCTGGTGCATGAGCTTCACCCAGAGGTTCAGCAGTTTCCAGCGTGTCAGGCTTTCTGCGATAACCTTGCATCCATCTCAATCGCTTCTTTTGAAAGTGGCAATTGGCGCACGCGCCACCTGCGGGTTCGGTCTCAAGCCCTCCGGGAAAGGCTCCAGTCTGGAAAGTGGCACCTGTCGCACTTAAAAGGAGAACACATGCTGGCAGATATTGCCACGAAAGTGCTGCCTTGGACTCGTGTCAGAGACCTCTTGCTTTTGTGCGGGTACGATGTGCCAAAGGTTAAGGCCCCTGTTGCGAAACTAAACCTTTTGAGGCAGGCGTTGGCGCTGCTTGTTGTCGGTTCGCTGCCTGTTCAGGCTCAGGGCAAGGGAGGAGTTGAAGGATCGACGCAGGATGACTGGAGCAGCTGGTGGCTTTCAATAGTTCCGGTTCTTGTGGTTGCAATAGGGATTTTTCTGCTTTGTGCTGTGGGAAGGTTCTTTAGCACACGACGCACTGAGCCAGTCGAAGATGGCCTTGAGCAGCCAGAGCTTGAACCCATTCCGCTTTCCGAGCAAATCCCGCAGCCTATAGTCATTGCTGACTACGATGATGGACTGCGTTGCCGTGGCAGAGGTGCCAGGCCAAGGCGAGTTAGCACTGGTGCAGGCCCAGACGTGCAGTTTTCTCCGTGGGCCCTCCTGCCTGGAGCACCAGAGCAACGTAGCCCCACGGTTGAACCTCCCCCGCTGCGAAGGAACACCAACCGGATTGAAATTCCTAACTTTTTTGATCTTGGGGACCCTAATAGCTGGGAAAACTTCATTGATCGCGTGTTAAGAAGCAGCCTGGTTGTTGACATGCAAGGAACTGTCGCACTCGAGCTTCCACCCGAGGCCCCGAGAAATCATCCTGTAGTAGTTGTTCCTGAGGCCCTTCCCTACGAGCCGGAACCTCAATCCCCGCGTAGTGATGCAGAGTCTTCTTCGATACAGTCTGGTCGGTCAGCTGAGTATTATGACCGCGGAGCGCGGCGAGATTTCGAGCTGTATATGGCAACGAGATCAGACTCCAGCTCGTCATCTGGAACTCCTCCGCACTGGGTTCAAGGGGTTGGGATAGTTCCTGCTGCTGAGTATAGGGCTAGGTATGACCCTACTTACCCCCACCGTGACCAGATCAATAGGCATGGAATCGATGTAGTCCCTGGACCCGAACAGCTGTACCGCCAGTATGAAGAGATGCGTGAGGCAGGTCTCTATCCTGACTTGCCAACTCTAACACCCTGGGCTGCAGGTACCAATGAGGCTGCTAGCTCCTCTGATGCTGTGGTGAGGTATGTTGATGACGTTGCGGTCTTAAGATCAACAAGATTTCCTCCGCTTGCGACTGACAGTGAGATTGAAGAGGCTGATGAAGAAATAAATCATGCTATCGCTTCAGCTGCAGCGTTTCTGATTAGGAATGGCATTGAAGTGCCACTTGAACAGTTGTCAGATGCTCAACAACATATCTTTTACACGAACGAGGGCTTTCGCCTCGAGCGCATGCACCAGGATGGAGTCCCTGAGGTGGATTGAAGTAAGGTGCTCTAGGCGTGGTTTTTAGGGGTCGTTTTGTCATACGTCCTTAAAGGTGTGGCTTGTGGGTCTTAGTTTGTTAGGCGTGCCAGTCTCGCGGATATCTGCTTGAGACATGCTAATCCTTTCTGACCCTTGGAGTACAGTATCGGCTCATCTTTGGATTTTTGACGATTTTCTTAGCTTCCGGTTGTAAGTCCGGTTTGGGTCAGGTTCTCAGGTTGTGTAGCTTGCAGATTGGTGAAGAGCCGTGCTTCTGCAAAACCGTGCAGGGGATTACATGTCCCATCTTTTGCAAGCACTGTGAAGCCTTGCGCCGTTTGTTGTGCAACCACAGTCCTTTTCCTCAGAAACTGAGGAGCGTCTTGAGCCTTACTTGGGCTACACTCCTTTGCACTCCTCCACTTGGACTTCTCTCCACCCTTTTCCGAGGGCCCTTTGGACTTCAGCTGCTTAAGTGTGGTTGGGTTGTTGGGGTTTGGTGGTGTTTTGGCGAACGCCAAAAGGGGGAGCGCAGATGTGTATGTCCCTGCCCCTGCTGCAAGGATGACACGCTTGACTCCGCAGGTGCATGGCCCCTGCAGCAAGGAAGACAGTCAGGCACGTACAGAAGACGTTTTTTAAATCGAGAAGTGTACCAAGTTAGATCTTATTCGCTTTCGCTTCTGCTGCTAAAACAGTTGGCTGGCCCTCGTACTCGAGTAGGTAATGATTAAAACCCTATATGACCCTAGAACCCACCAGCTGGCCACGCCGCTCGTTGACGTCCGGCAGCGCATCAGGTGGATTTGAGCACGTCGGCGTGGATCCCACACCAACGGTCGGGACCTTCAACGGCAGGGTTTTCAAGCTCCAAAGACGTCGGGTTGATGTACTGTTCAGGCGATTCGGATGTTTCTAGGCATACTATGAGGGTTTACTATCCCGAACTGTTACGGGGCATACTTCCCCAAATCTTTAAGCATCCTAACCTGTCTGAGGTTTGGCGTCTTTAGGCCTGCAGCAGAATTCCTGAAGCTTGCAGACTTGTAGGTTGGCAAGTCCGTGAATCCCGGATGTCCCTGCTTTTGGAGTTGATATACCCTATAAGCAACCGTTGGACCTTTAGGGGGAGATGGGCAAGAAGACCAAGAAGCCAAGATGATTGGGTTTATGGGTTAGTGGGTTCATGGGTTGGGGCTGCCCACGTCCATGTGGCCAGAATGATTATCGGAAGCGCCGCCACCCAATGCCGGAAGCCTTCCTGCCATCCGTCACGAATACTTCCCTACAAAGGCTCAGAATAACCCACAATCCTACACGGCATGGTCTTTGGGCCTTGAAGACTGAACATATGTTTTTTGAAAAGCAGTTTCCTAAACCTTAGAGGGATTGGATTGGGTACAGCTACACCTTGCATGCAGGCTCTCGAACCCAACCCTAAGACACAAAGTGAGACATTGAAGCCCTAGACCCTGAACCCTCGACCTCCAGACCTAGCGCCAAAGATTGCCATAAACCGTGATAGAGGCCTTACAAAATCCTATGAAGTGGATATCCCTGCATGTTTGCCCAAAGGGTCCGAAGTACCTATATGGCAGACTGTACGGTTCTTATACTATGAAGTACTATTATGATGTGGGATCGTATTCCCCATAACAATACCTAGGACCCTCTGGGAGCCTAAGCCCCAAACAACAAACTGTAAGCCCCAAAACCCAAACCCAAATCCAGAACCCTATGCCATAGGGCCCCAAAAAGCACATAAGCAGAACAAAGGTTAGGGATATCCCATGTAAACCCCCTTTATAATCAAAACCAATAAGGTAGGGATATCCCTATAAAATGGTTATGCTTATGTGCCTTTTGGGTCCCTAATACCACTGAACCTCCAAACCAACTTCGCGAAGACGGCCGGCCAGGCCGGCCACGGCGCGGGCCTCCGGTACGCAGAAGTGGCTCCGCCGATTTTTGGTGTTTAGCGCTTAGTTTCAAGGGTTTGGGCATAAAGTTCATGTCTTTAGAGTCTAGACTGTAGGGTTGAGGACCCTTCTGTTCAGCACGGGATGTGTCTGTTGGCATGCGCTTGGAGTCTTCTCTCCGGGCATGTACCATTGTCCATAGAGTGTCCAATACCCAGAGGTCCCATAGTAGTTCCCTTTTGGGGCTCATGTTTAGAAAGCTATAAGGTAATCTCAAAAAGGAACTACTATGGGGCCTATGAGTACTGCTCCAGTTGACAGCAGTGTTGCCCTTACCGTTGCGACAGGTGGGGCGGGTGCGGGATTCGGCTTGCAAGCAGAAAGTATAAGCTTGTGCACAAGGACTTGAGCCATAAACCCGAAACCTGAACCCCTAAAGGCCCTAAACGATAAATGCTAAACTGTCTTGGAGAAATTTCTTGGTTGGAACCCCGGAAGAGCATCAGGTCTGCGCAGATCAGTGTTCGGAGTTCCTTCGCAGATCGTGGACTTTATCTGGACTTTGAAATGACTAGGGAGAAGAAAGTAATTATAAGCATGTATCTCAGCATGATCACTGTAAGGCTCAGATCCTGAACAGGATATTCAAGAAGTCTACTCCAGCACCTACTTATTCTTCGAGTCTCGACGGACTATGCAATCCGCTGCAGGTCAAAAACCCAAGCCCGGAACACGAAACCCTACCCATAGACCCCATAGTATTTCTTTTTCGGGGTTCATATCTAGAATCCTAAGGTAATCCCAAAAAGGAACTACTATGGGGCCAATGGGTAGGCCCTAAACCTTAAACCCTGGACCCTAAACCTTAAACCGAAGGGGAGGCCTCAAAGGAAACAGGGGCTGAAGAGTCCTAAATCTTGAGCATTTAGGGGGCCTTAATGCCCACAATAATAACTTACTGTTGGAGGGAGTATAGTCCCCACCCCCTCCCCCAAACCCCCCTAGGGGTCCCTGTGATTGAGTGGGGGTTAGGGTTCATGACCTGTTGAAGTGTAGGGTCTTCAAGGCACTGGGTTCTGGAGTCTACCTGTAGCTCCAGACCCTGCCAAATAGTAGGTTCGGACCCCTCTATGATCATGAATGGTTACAACCCCCAGGACAATACATACGCTATTGGATCCCGGGTATGTAAGCGGAAACCCCTATAAAACTCTGACCAACAACTGCAAAGCAAATAAACGTTCTTGCATAAACCTGGAAGGTTCTCGTGTATCCTTGGGCTCTCATCATACAAACCTGGATTTAGCACAAACCGACCTTGTAACACCCTGAAACCTATGCCCTCCACCCCAAACCCACCAAACCGACAAAACTCAGAAGCCTGCAAGGTAGTATGTAAGGTTATAGGTACCTTAAATGGAGTTAGCGTAGTAAGTAAAGTTATAAGTACCTTAATTGGCGTTACAACTAACTAGAACTGTGCTTGCCTTATTTATGAGCCTAGTTACTACACAGCTCCCATGATCCTCTATTAGAGGAGTAAGTATCTGGAATCTTTCCCGAGTGTTTGACCTTGCCTCAGCAGCCGCCACTCGCCGAACCTGTGAGACCTGAAGTGGGTTGCTTTAAAAGCTTCCTTTCAAAGGGATCTGTCAAGGCTAGGCACAGAGGATTACCCGATGCGCGGAGATTGGAGACAGCCGAACCTTGAATTAGGTAAAAGGCACTTGAAAAGAAATTGTCGAATCTTCCAGCCGAGGTCGCTTCAGGGCTAACAGGGGTGTGCTTCTGGCCTCGGGTTTAAGGTGAAGAGCGAAGAGGTCTTGTCCGGCTGCAAGCACTCTGGAGAGGAATTCCTGAACAAGTCTCTCGAGTCAGTTGCTCGCTTCACAAATCCTAGTTTATGTAGCCTGAATTTCATGAACCCCTTCCCAAACCTTTAACCTAAACGGCACGCTCTCAACTCTACGTCTCCCAACAAACTCCAAACTCTGCATTTTTGGATATACCTTGTGCCCTGAGTCCCTCAAAGGAAACCCCCGTGGTGTCATCTGACTGCCCGGACCACGTCGGAGCCCTCTTGGTCGTAGGAGTGCCCGCCGTGCCTTTGGCAGGCAAAGGGGGCCTTCAAGGGTTCCTTTCAAAAGGGATCTCTTGGGCTACAGGGTTCCTTTGAGGGGTCCTTTAAAAGGATCGGGGATCCATAGTAGGGTTCTATAATATAGAGGGGCCTTAACACTTGGAATAGGGTTTGGGGCCCACTATACAATAATTATACTGAGGACCCCAACAAAAGTAGTAAAGGTAATTATTTCAAAGGCCCCTATAGTACGACGGCGATGATAAGGGTTGCATCGTAAAGGTTGGCCTCAAGGACCCGATGCCAGGCTACGACAAGGCGTATATGGGGGTCTTAGGGACCCGATGAGGCACCTATTTTCGTAGAGCTCTACGACTACCTGGACCCCAGAAACCCTACCTTTTCGGGATCCTGTGCGGTAATTTCCTTAGATATAACATAAGGGCTCAAAGCGGTAAGTTGCTTGAAGTTAGGTAGGGATACTTTCCGATTGCTCGGAGCCGTTTCTTGAAGACTCCAAAACCCATTCACCAAGGAATATACCCTAAATCAGCATGAGGATCACCCCATAATTTGAGGCATCTCCCTGATTTAATCTGGGTGCCTGGCAAGGGTCTGGGGGAGTCGAGGGAGCGGCGGGTTTCGGGTTGAGCTGGAAGTGTGGAAGACGAAGCCACTGACGTTCAGGCTGAAAACGGAAGCAATCGAAGAGGTGAGGGCCTATCGGAACCCTAGCTTTGAAGTCCATACCACACACATCCCGCCGTCCATTCCGAAAGCACACAACATGCAACCCTAAACTGGGTTCTTGCTAAAGAGTTTGATCTTAGTTAACATATAGGTATCCACAATATAGTACATCATATATATATATATATGTGTGTGTGTATAGATGGTTTCCTTATTATGGTAACCATTGGTAACCTCAAACATTGAATCCCAAATTTTAGAAGACCCCAGCAAAGACTCCAACGATCCCTTAAGACCCCTTCTGGATCCTCAGGGGAGGCCCTTGAAGCGAGGTGCGTGTACAGACCAGCCAGGCGCGCCTGGTAGCGGGCTGAACCCTAAACCCTAAACTCTCAAACCCTACAGTAAACCCTAACACCCTTTAGTAACCCCAAACCCTAAACTCTAAAACCCGACAGAAAACCCTAAATCTCTACAGTAAACCCGAAAACACGGTAAACCCGAAAACCCTACAGTAAACCCTAAACCCATCGATGCACCCACTACGGACTACTACATGGGTGATTGTATCTGGTCTCTGTACGGCAAGAAGCCTAGATACGCTTTCAGTGGGTGCTCATACTAAGTTCTAGATGCTCTAGAGAGTTTTACCATGTTATATGTAATATATAACCACAAGAAAGACAGACACCAATCGAGGACGTAAGTGGGATTCCAGGTTTTGCACCCTTGTTGTTAGGGTTCAAAAGGCCTGCCGGGCGGCTTTTCCAACAACAAGTCAACGCCCCAGACAAGACGAAAACTATTAGACAACACCAGGTACATGTCTAAGTCTATTGTCTAGACATATACCAAACAAAACGAACTTTCTAATTTTTGCAATCTCAGGTATATGTCTGTTGTCTAGACATTTCACAACCTTTCGGCCATGGGTGGAGGGCTTACGGTTCAGGCTCCCGGTCTTGGCCCCAAAACGCCCCGAACCTGAAAACTTGGACCAGTGCCTCAGAACTTTTGGGTTTAGGGTTTAGGTTTTAGGGTTTAGGGGTTTAGGGTTTAGGGGTTTAGGGTTTAGGGTTACATACTATACCCCTAGGGCTCCAATTACCTAAAGACTGGGTTAGGTTGCTGGTCTACATCATGTACGGCCAATAGCCGTTGATTTAGGTAACCGGAGCCCTATGGTCCAGAAAAGATACAGCCGCCCCCAATCCGACCAGGCTTGGGCTATGATGATATCAGACCCTGTACACCTAGCTCTGAAAACCAGATCAGCCCGAAACCTGCCGTAAACCCCATAAAGTTGGAAACCGGATTAAGGTCAAATAGTGCTGGGATTCCCTATACATGACTCTTAAGGGTTGAGGCTGTTGGGTTTCCAACTTTTGGGCTCCTACTGTAGATGGATGCAATGAGCTACCTTGGACGGATCGGCAGCCAATCGACGAGCCAGATCCACCGTGGCCGGATCCTCGCCGTAGGAGCCGACAGCTCAAGGGGAAGGCTACCGGAAGAGAACCTGGGATTCGAGATGATCTTGTCCCAAAGACGTCAAGCCTGGATCACCCTAAGCCCCAAATCCACAAATCGCAACCCTAAAAGCCCGGATAGCCTAAACTCTACCCCTCAAACAACCCTGAGCCCCCCAAAAAAAGCATTACCGAACCTACCCAAAGGGTCCAAGTAATAGTATAGTATAGTATATACTTATGGGGCCCAGATACCTACTACCTGCCATAATGGTACTTGGACCCTTTGGGCTAGCTCCTCAGGCCCAAAGGGCATCTAATCAGCGTCCTCGGGGTCAACGCCGTCCCGGCCGTAGCCGCAATCTACCTAGGTCCCCCAAATTCAACATTAAGCAAACCCTTTTCCTACTATTCGGTATTTAAGGAGACAAATATGTAAGTATAAACTGGCATTTAAGAAAAACAAGGGCAAAGCGGTGCTACTGGGAGATCAGTCTGCCATCAAGAAGACGGACCACGCCTGGGAGACAGGATGCGAGGGCAGGGGCTGGAAAAACCAGAGGTTGTGGCTTTAGGGTTTGCAGGGTTTAGGTAGCCCTGGGCCCTCAAGAAGCTTTGTGTCTAAGATTTCGCAGTTACTTGTGTGGCTCTGCCCCAAAATCGCACCCTATAAGCTCGAAATCCTCAACCTCATGAAGGACATGTGATCGAGATGGAGCTGTTAGGGGCATCTCTCTCAGAACCTAAACCCTGCAGAATCTTATCACGGCTTCAGGGCTTGAGGTTTGGGGTCTTCTGGGCCTTTGGGGGTAGATGTAGGAACAACCAAATATTCAGAATTAATGAGGTATTGGGGTATATCATACTATATCGCTCTCTCTCTCTCTCACTCTCTCACTCTCTCTCTCTCTCACTATACCTATATATCTGTATGTCTATTTGTTTATAGATAGAGGGAACCCCTAAAGGAATGGTATTGCTAACTCTTCTACCTAAGGCTGTAGGGTTTCAAGCAGTGCATCCGAGCCTTCTCGGCACTGGGCGGGCGCTCCAGTAACGCATCCACAGCCGAAGAGTGATCGACCGTAACCTGGCGTTTTTTGGGCTTTGGGGTTTGAGCCCCTTTTTGAGGCTTTTGTGCGGCGGAATTCGTCTTCCAGGGACCGCCGGGTGCGAAACTGTGCAAACCCACATACGCCACTCACAAAACACCATCAGCCGGCAAGGATAATTACACTCCTAGAGCTTTCCTAAGGCCTTATATTAGGGCTCAGGGGTTGTATAAGGTGAAATAAGGCTTTTGGTGGGACTCCGAAGCTTTCTCTGAAAATCTCTCGGCCGGGTTGCGTGGAAGGCCTCCAGTCGCTCGACAAGGAGCGCCGCTCGCGGCAGCTTGTCGGCGGTGATGGGCACAGCGTAGCCTCTCCGAGACCGGGTAAACCCTAAACCCTATTCCAGTAACCTTTAAAGGAACCCTTTTTGTAGAACTAGAAAGGCCTTAAGGGGATAGGTTGAAGTAGAATGATGATGGGGGCCTTGATGGGATATGACATTGTCTTTCAAGGTATCCGGGTAGTCCGGCTTCGGGCTGATCTCTCGGCTCAGGGTTCTCGAAACCGATGGAGACCCCGATTGAAGGCCCTGCAGCATCAGGACCTCTAGTATCTTCGATTAAGACGGGCGGGAAGCGATGAATACAGCATCTGCAGCATTCTCCTTGCGGGCTGTGCAGCCGAAGCCGATGGCAATGCTCCAGCGTACAACCCGCGACTCAACAAAAAGACACCTCGCGACCAACAACATCTAAAGGCGTACTATCATTGGGCTGCCGGAGCAAGAAGACGACTGGCATAAACTCCAAATAAACTAAACCCTACATCCGAAACCCTGAACCCTAAGAGCGGAAGCCTCAACCCTAAATCGGGTCCCTGGATGAGAGATCGAGCTGCATATGTCATCGAAGCCACCGTTGGCGAAGAACTCTGCCTCCGTTTTAGAGCAGATCACTACATGGATCAATGCTTTAGCATAGAGCTTCGGGAAACACGGACATGTGAGGGTAAAAGGGGAGGTTGCGTCGGGTTCGGGCTTTGGGATGTTGGCGAGAACATGTTGATTCTGTGTCCAGCCTCTTGTCTGGGAGCTTGGTATGAATTCGTCCGTGAGTCTGAATGAGACGAGAAATTTCTGGAATGCTAACAGCGATGACCGCTGCGAAGGCAATACTAAGACCATACATGACTGATTCTGATAAGAGTAGCCAAAATCAGCAGAGTGTAGCAATACTCCTGGCTTCACGTGGCATGCTGGGTTTACAGCCTTCTTGGTTACGCCACTGCACGATTCCCTCCACGCCTCTGCCAAGGTCGACACAGTGATGCCCCTGCAGGTTCCGCCAGTAGCGATGACTCCACCTGAACCAAGGTTCGGATTTAGGGTTCAGGATATAGGGCCTATAGGGGCCATAGATAGTAGAGTTTCACAAATCATGAAAACAGAAAAAAGTCTATTATTTTGTGGACATAGAAACAAATAATGTAGTCAAAGTTGTTGGATTATCGTCTAGATGAGGAATGTGGCTTTAAGGAGATCCTGGAGTCAGACCTCTGCATTCATCTTCGGCAATGTTGGCTTCCTTTCAGGGCAGTCTGTCATACATCCTCACCGGAGCCCAAGAAAGCAAGAGATCTCAGCGCGCGCTTCCCCCCGTCCTCCTAAACCTCGACCCTACACCCGAATTTCATTGGGAACGTTGCTCTCTAAATACATCTGCCACCAGGCCTTCCAAGGTTTTGTGAGTCTTCCTCAGCTGCTTGCAATGGGAGAGGGACCTATGGAGTCAGAACGGGTTCTGCGGGCTCACTCTTTGCTCCTAGTACCCTAAACCACATTTTTCGATATACTTGAGGAGGCAGGGTATTGCAAAGTCACGAGGCTCTGCAGGTTTCGGCGTCATTCGGGCATTCTGGTCTGGCTGTGAAGAAGTTGACGGCTTCCGGATACTGATTCACCTTGGACAATCGTTCATGTTTCGTTGGCCTTATCTCCACGTTGCGCTCTTAACCATGAAGGAGCTTTGCTCCGACATAGTCGCACACTCTAAACCCTAAACCCTAGACCGGAACCCTACAAAGGCCCCTGCAGCCAGACCTGAATCTGCGAGACCCCTGAGCCCCTAGCCCGGTACCCAGATTAACCGCTCTTACCCTCCCCAAAGCCTCCAAAACCCCTTAATTAAGGAATATACCTTAAACTATATTCGGGATTCTATTATAATTTATGGTATATTCCTTAATTAATTAAGGGGTTTTGGAGGCTCTGGGTCCTCCTGAATCCCAAAGCCTATCCCAAAGCTTAAAACCCCACAATGCCTTCAAAGCTGCATGTGCGGTCGGAGTCGGCAACCAAACCTCTTGGCTCGCGCCAGCATTTGCTCGGCATTGCGGAGCACCACGGCGTGATACCTCGTGTGCAGGGACCAAACCATCAAGACCCGAACATGCCCGAAAAGCCCGGAGATCTAGTATAAGTCCTGAAAAGGGCAGGTTTTACGGGTTCAGGCAGGGCCTCAAAAGCCTAACCCAGCGCCATAAAGACCTGAACAAAACCCTTAACCCTGAACCCTGCCTATAGTCTCCGTTGTAGTTCCTTGTTCCCCACCCTCTGTGTGGGGTTGTTAGATTTTAAAGTCAGCTATTACTCCTCGCGCGCTGAGATTACCTCCTGGAGTACCCAACCCCACAGACTACCGTGAGAATCCCTGAGTGCCCAACCCCACAGACTACCGTGAGAATCCCTGAGTACCCAACCCCACAGACTACCGTGAGAATCCCTGAGTGCCCAACCCCACAGACTACCGTGAGAATCCCTGAGTGCCCAACCCCACAGACTACCGTGAGAATCCCTGGAGTGCCCAACCCCACATACCGTGAGAATCCCTGGAGTGCCCAACCCCACAGACTACCGTGAGAATCCCTGGAGTGCTCGGGAACACCAGGGTTTGAGGTTTACGCTCGGGTTCTTTAGGTCTTAGGATTTGCGTGTAGGAAGGACAAGGTGCTAGGGTGGGGATATTCGAAGTAAAACAATTTTGGTTTAAGAGTTCTTATAGTTAGGTTCCTATAAGGGTAACCCCAAAACAGGACTACAATGGAGACTCTACCCTGAGGGTCCATGTACCCAAATAGTATATACTTGGGCCTTAAAGTAGTCCCTATGTAGGTATATTGGGGCCAAAGTATATACTATTTGGGTACATAGACCCTTAGGGCTAGGTATTGGAGGCCTCAAAAGGTGGGATGAGGGTAGGTAGGATTAATCCCCACCTACCTTCATCCCACCCTTGGAGCCCTTTGACTAGGATACCAGGATACCATAGATTACTAGGGTTCCTTTAAAGGGGTCCTTTAAAAAGGGTATTATAAGGGATCTATAAGGGTACCATAATATACTAGGATACCCCGTAACCTAAGAATAAAAAGGCCTCTCTTTTTGGTATTGGGTAACTTTATAAGGAACCTAGGACTACAAAAAGGGAATAAGGGTACTACTGGGCATCCTAGTCTGGCTATGACAGCCGGTGGGCGCCACATAGCAAGGAGTCTGGACGTCATCGACATCCTCGGCGCGTGGGCTAGGGCTTAAGGCTTCAGGGTTTGGATTTAGGGTTTTTGTTTTTTGTTATGGGCTCTTTTCCACCTGCATGGATTTAGGGTTTAGGGTTTAGGGTTAACACTAAACCCCAAAGTTTGTAGTGCATTTCTTTCATTTTTTGTTTGGTGCGCCCTTTTCCGTCTGCAGGTACGGTAAGAATTCCTTACCAGGAGGAGCCTGTAGTTGGGGCCTCAGTATCGAACGACCAAACGCTGACTCCATAGGGCAAGTTCAGAGTTCAGGGTTTGGGGGCTTGGGTTTGGGGACTCAGCTAAACAATTTAGGGTTTGGGATGTAGGATTTAAATTTCAAGGCAGAAGTTCAAAAGAAGTAGCTTAGGATTTAGGATTCAGGGTTAGGGCTTCCGAATAGCGATGTCGGGTTTAGGACGCAGTTTTAGGTAGAGAACGCATCGGCGCTTACGATTTAGGATTCCGGGCTCCGGGTGAGATTCAAGGTCTAGAGTCTAGGATTCAAGACACAGGGCTGTGGGTATGCACGCGTAGTAGAGTATATACGAACTTTCGTTGCAGAGTCGGGTAGGTGCCTGCGAACTTGACTGATAAAGTTCGAAAGTCATGCATCATTGGGTTCAGGCTTTAGGGTTCGTATAGGGTTTAGGGGTCTAGAGTTTTGGAAATAAACAAAATGGTGCACGCTAAAATCCAACAAAGCGTGCAAACGCAACTTAGCGGGATGCTCAGTATACTGGAACCCTACGCCGCGACTTCAAGAGCCCGTGGCATCAATCCTACGCCCTGAGCGCCATTACTTGTAATGCTGAACGCCAAACCCTGAATCCTAGCATCAGAAACCCAAGCCCAACACCTACATTGCTATGAACTACGGTTGAAGATATAAATCCTGCATTACCTTAATGGCCTGAGGCTAATTATGGGAATTATGGTATATTCCTTGTTCTGGATGATGCAGGATCTACAACATCAACCGTATGAGCCCTCAACCTAAACAACGAACACTGAAACCTGGGCGGCAGACGACACGCGTCGAACTGTCCGACTCCCCTGAGAAATTTGGAAGGGTAACACAAAGGAGCCCCAATGTCATAAGTCACAATAGTAATTAATCACCAGCGTATGATACAAAGGGTGTAATCATGATAAGAACAAGGCTTCGCAAGAGTTTTCGCAGGGCTCTAACATATGTCGGATTGAGAAGGTCGGCAGTTGCTGCTGGCTTAACAAAGCTTTGCAAAAAGAGGGGCTCGGAATCCCAACCGATGTGTTAGGACCAGATTTGCGGATTGAGGGTGTAAGGTTGGAAAGTGAAGCGTTGAGGGCCTAGAGTTTGGGGTGGTGAGGATATAGGGTTTAAGTCTTATTAAGCGCTACACACCCTAAACTTAAACCTTAAACCCTATAAAGCCTGAACCTCAAGCCATACATCTGTGTATGTTAATCACAGGCTTTAGAAGCTTCAGTGTTTAGGATATTTAGTGCTCAGGCTCAAGGGGTGCGGCCATGGGGCCCGTAAGGGTAGAGTTTGGGCTTTTTTTTTTTTTGGGGGGGGGTGGGGGGGGGGGCTTAGGGTTTAGGAGCGTCATGATCGAGGGGTGAGGAGTTCAGGGGAGAAGGGCAGGGCAGGTGGCTTTACGGGTTAAGGGTTAGGTTCCGGGATTAGGGGTTTAGGGTAGATTCAGGGTTTACGGTTCACGGTTGCCAGAGTAGAATTTAGGCTAGGCGGTTAGGATATCAGATTTCGGACACACGGGTGATCCACTGCTACGTAGGCCTCTGGGGCTTGAGATGTTGAGGCTCCCACAAGATCGTAGGCGTGTGAGGTTGTTGCGTGTTGGCATACTTGAAGACTTACATTTACAGTTTATAAACAATGTGTATTGGGAAAAAGGTGCGGGGGGCTCTGTCTGAGTGGCTGCTGCGGACCTAGGAATGAAGGATTTGAGGCCTCTAGAGTTTCAATCTTTGGAAGAGAGTCGCAAAACTGCAGAACCTAGGAATCTAAGCGCTTGGGCTGCAAAGGAAAAGTCAAAGCTATACAAGTTTGGGGTTGGGAATGGACGATGCAGCTCTGAGCCATCAACTGTGTTTAGGATTCCGGTCTGGCATGTGTGCTCGTGATCCCGGCTTGACGGTAGATTAAAGTGCAATCAACTGAGGGCTTTCGGATCCCTGAGGACAAGTAAAGCTAGTTCATGAATGTTATGAAGCGTACTCTGATACCCAAAACACAATCACCTTTGGTATGTATTACCCGCACCCTTAACCCTAATCCCAAAACTCGATATGGCCCCAGCCCCCTAAACCCTCAACGGTGCAACCAACCCTAAACGGTGTATACCCTAAGACTCCATGTACCCATACAGTAAATACTTAGGCCTTAAAGGGGTCCCTTTATAGGTACTTTAAGGCCTAAGTACCTACTATATGGGTACAGGGAGCCTTTGGGATAGGGTTTGAGCGTGGCCTCCTCGATGTCTCGAACCACACGAAGCCCAAAGCTACAACAGCACATTCATCCTGGCGGCCCTAATAGGGTTTAGGGTTTAAGGTTTAGGGTTTAAGGTTCAGGGTTTAGGGTTTAAGGTTTAGGGTTTAGGCTTTAGGGTTTGAGGTTTAGGGTTTAGCCTAATTAAGAAGATTCCCTGGCCCTAGGACTCCGAAACAGTAGGATTTCAAATACTTATAAAGGAACTAACCCTAGTGAAGACACAAGGTTGCTTCATCAGGGGCTCCTATATTAACAAACTGACCCCCAAGTCGACAGATCCCTATCCCCCACTTAAAGGATCATGGGACTTAGTAAGTAGGTTATGACTGGCGTTATAAGTCTCCTAAGTGGGGTTATCCTAATTGTAACCTACTTATAACCTTACTTACTAAGTCCCATGATCCTCCAAGCAGATGCTGAACCCTGCAGTCATTATAAGCCACAAATCACAAACTCCAAAATCATGGCAATTGTAGCCACCCTCAACTCTTCAGCTGTATGACCCAAAGGGTCCTACGTATTGCTATGGTAGATACTTCCCCCAAATCATGATAGTATTTTCTCATATAGAAACCCTCCAGTCTACTACACAGTAAACCCCAGAAAGTTGGAAACCGGATTAAAGCCAAATGGTGCTGGGATTCCCTATATACTACTCTTAAGGATTGAGGCTATGGGGTTGCCAAGTTTTGGGCTTCTACTGTACAGGTACTTTGGACCCTTTGGGTGATCATTACTTAAAGGCTCATGGGACTTAGTAAGCAAGGTTATAAGTGGGATATTTTTAGGATAACCCCACTTAGGGGACTTATAACCCCAATTATAACCTACTTACTAAGTCCCATGATCCTCGAAGTACTCCATAAACCCTATAGACCCCCTTTAAGGAACCCTACAGATCCCTTTAAGGAACCCTACACTTACTAATTAAGTCCCATGATCCTCTAAGTGGGCTTCTGCCTCGCGGGCAACCCCACTTCGGCCGCCGCGCAGGGGCGATGGCGGAGTCTGCAGCCCGCTTCATGGCTCAACCCTGAATCCTGGTTTAGGGTTTAGGGTTTAGGGTACTGAATGCTACCAAAACGCAAAACCCTAAAGCCTTATGAAGCATTCAAGCTTATGTGGGTGGTTCTCTAAATCGGGTGCCTTTTATAGGCTCTTCTTTAGAAGGGTGCCGTACGAGATGGGGGGGCCAAGGGACCCAAAACGCAAAATCCGATGGCCTTATGAAGTATGCAAGGTTGCACAGGTCTGCAGCCCTGCACCTACGGCCGAGACATGTAAGTAAGAAGCGGGGGTCTTTTAAACACGAGCCTGACTCGTTAGAATGGGGCTTGGCTTCAGTTTTTTGAAGGGTTTTAGGGTTTAGGGGTTTGATCATATTCTGACTGTCAGGGGAAACTGTGCTTTGTTGTATTTTCGCCCTTCGGGCGGGTGTGGGCATGTTGGGGTCACAGTTCTTGCCTTCGGCCGGTTCAAGGTTTAGGGTGTGGGCTTCAGATAATGGAGTCTCCGACAATAGGGACCCTGATATAATGCCCAAATAGTAGGATCCTTATTCTAAGGATCCCAAAATAAGGTACCCCTAGTTTTCGGAAACTCCCATAATGCGACGGTTCTAGCGGGTCAAGGTAGTGTGCTGTAAACTGGACGAACCACAACTGAAGTGATCAGACTAGCAAGCGAGAAGAGCAGTTTGCGGGTCAGGGTTTCGGGATTGTAGGGGTTTAGGAATTGCAAGGGCTTAGGGATTATAGGGTTTAGGGATTATAAGGGTTTAAGGAACATGAAAGCCAGATTTCTGCAGGTGCGGGCCACGAATTGGCGGATGTCAGCACTTGCGAAGGAAAGCCATGATACCCCGCATGTGAAAAGACCCCCTACGGCCCCCTATACTACCAGAATCTCCCAAAAGCGCCGAACCGAAGTCCTTGCTCCGTGCCGGTACTTGTAGCTGCGGTACGGTACTGCATAAGGGCCAAGATTACCCATGTCTGGGCTGCATTTACTGTATAACCGAAGTATTTAAATTCACGACTGCAAAGATGTAAGACCCACGGCTACAACATTTTCTCTGCGAGAGAAGAGTGAGAAGAGCGGTTGTACCAGCAACTACGCTCGCGCACAGTGCCCCTTGCAAATCTTGCAGAGTCTTACAAATCCGGAAGCGGTTACAAATCGAGGAAAGTGCCGATGGTGCCCGAAGACGGCAGTCTTGATAACGGAAGGCCTTTCACTGAAGCTGAAACACGGTTGGAGAAACGGGATTTGGAAGTTTATAGGCGCACCGACCGGCAGCCCCTCAGAAGGCATCGGCGAGGAGAGACACCCGAAAAGTAAGAGAAACTTGGCCAAGAGTGGGCAGGGCGGGACAGCAAAATGCGCGCGTGAGAGAGCACGGTTCTGTGGCTCGTCTTAACTACGAAGCGCCATGTCATCCACCCGTCTGAGCAGCAGAAAGATGCTTCAACAGAGTGGTGGGACGAGACGACCAGTTTTGGAACAGTACTCGCGGTACTCCTCACCGAAATGTTGGATCATCATGTCCTCTTCATAGCCAACCCGCACAAAGTACAGAAGTGCAAAAGACAATACAGGCGTAAAGCCAGCGATCCAATTGTTCACGAGTAGAGCCTGCACCATGGTTAGCATCCACAATGCTGTGTACATCGGATGGCGTACCTGGCGGTATACACCTGTGGTGACCAAGGTGTGGTTCTACCGGATTTCGGTCGTGGGGCTCCAATTGCGGCCTAGATCGGCGTGGCTCCGCCAGAAGAGATACAAGGCTAGGGCCCTAAACCCTAAACCCTAAACCAAGGCTAGCAGAGTCACTACAGAGGCCACCGCTATCGACCAGGGCCCCGGATCATCGTGATCTGCAGCGCTTGGGAAGCCTGTGAGCAGGAAAATGGTAGGGATGAAATACATTCCAAAAAGTACGCCACAAAGCAATGCCTTCTCTGTGGACATGTGCACCTTCTCTGCTATTGTATTTGCCTGCTGATCCTTCTCGAAAGGGCGGCGGATGGCAGTTACCGCCATCCAAGTCGCGATCCACACAAGTGAGCCAACTCCGTTCACCTCCACCCACCATGTGATTGCAAGCAGAACGAAGAAAAACAGCACCAAATAGACTTCCGTGATCGGTGGCATCGGCTTCGAATCTTCCTCCAGGAGCGGCGACGCTGGCGACGCTGCCGTCATAGCTCAAACTGATGCAAGCACCTTCGGGCACCCTTGAAATGGCGTAGCTGGCCCCGGCTTGGGTTCGAGAGGCTGCGGCATTTCCCTACTGAAAAGTCTCAAGGCGGTGACGACCAAACTAATCCAGCAAGCCGGTGTAATCATATGCAAACTTTCAAGCATGGCCTGAGATTCATTTTCGGCTCTTCCTGCCTGTACACAATGCAGAACTGAACCGTCATACGGATCGGGTCCCTACTCGTGGTATATTGGCCGAGGACCGGGCCCTAACCACATTGAAAGCTACCTGATATGGGCCTTCTGATGCTTGAAGCTACCGATCTGATCACACACCATTGGAACATGTGTCGCCGTGTGGCAGACACTGTACAACTGTACAAGCTGCAAGGTGCATGGAGGTGTTGATGTCGTCCGGCTGGCATCCTGCATCAGCCATGTGTGTAGAGAGTGTAGCTGAAGGTGCCTGTAAGCCCTTTGAACACCAAGCCCCCGAATATTGTCTTCGAAAATCTCCCCTAATGTAGATGTCTCAGTCGTCTTGCTTAGACTCTCAGACTCGAAACTCTACAACCCTAACAAACCGTAAGGTAAAAGCCAGAAAGTTGGAATATGATTATCCTAACCCTTCTATGGTAAATTATAAGGTATCCTACCCTGAAACCATATTCCAACTTTCTGGAGTTCCCTTTAGACCCTGGCCTCAGTCATCTTCCACCACCGTGATTTCCGGCATGGGAGGGTTGCCAGGGTCGCAAAAAGTTGGAGCAAAGTAGACCTGCACTCTGCAGGCTCCGGGTTCCTTTGGTCATAGGGATCCTTAGGGGTGTAGGGGGGAGGGGTGTAGGGGACTATATTTCCTTAAATAGGCCTTATGTGTCCTTATTATGGGCCTTAAGGCCCCCTACCCCAGTTCCTTTGGGGTTCGGTCAGGGGGATTCCGGGGCTAAGGGATTAGAGGTTAAGGGGGTTTAGGGGTTTAGGGTTTATAGGGGGTTGGGGGGGTTTAGGGCTTTAGGGGTTCGGGGCTTAAGGATTAAAGGTTTAGGGGGTCTTTAAGGGTTTAGGGTTTAGGGCTTGTGGGGTTTAGGGTTGTTATTAAGGTTTACGCCAGGGGTTTTGGATGGTCTGTGTGGCTTTTCGGGATTTAGATAAGGTCACGATCCCCGTCTAATAACGTCGGCTGGGCTGAGGAAGACTGCGTGGGAGGTTTGCAATCCTTGCCAACGCGACCCGACTCCGGCAATGTGAATCGGCCTCTACTACCCCAGGCCCGAAGATCTAAACCGACTGAACCCAAACCTAATCCATAAACTTAGCCCTAAGCCCAAAGGACACCAGAACCCCAAATGACTACGTAAACTCTATAAACCCTAAACACCTAACCTGTTAGGCTTAGGATTACGGGTTAAAGGGTTTAGGGTTTCTTCTACCCTATATAGGCAACCCCAAAGAGTTGGAAGCCGGATTAAGGCCAAATAGTGCTAGAAACCCCTATATATATATATATATACATGACTCTTAAGTCTCAAGGATTGAGGTTATTGGGTTTCCAACTTCTGGGTTCTACCTTAACCTACCAAACCCTACTCTTTGTGTCGGGTCCCTATACATCCCATTTTCGGGTTTATAATAAGAACCCACAAAAAAGTGGGGTTTTGAGGTTAAGGTACTGTAAATCATTAGACCCGATAAACGATTGTAGGGCCCCAAAACAGCACATAATCAAAATGAGGCTAGGGATATGCCATATAAACCCCCTTAAAAGGAAACCCGATAAGGTAAGGATACCCTTATAAAATGCTTATGCTTATGTGCCTTTTGGGTCCCCAATGTAAACCAGGAGCCGGCTCCAACTCAGCAGGTTTAGGGTTTAGGGTTTAGGGTGGGCAGCTCGCCTGCCAACCTTCCAGCGGAAGGCAGCGGTGGCTGTAGGAAGGCCTTCGTTTTTTTCAGGAAGTCCCAAAGAGTCCTAGGTATTGTTACGGTGGATACTTCCCCAAACCATAATCGTATCTCCTAGTAAAAAAATGCTATATTCTACTATATAGGTACTTTGGACCCTTTTGGGAGTTTACATTGCTATAGTTAGGAAGCCCAGGGTTCAAGGCTTCGGCTACTGCAGCAAGGAAGCCTAGGTACTAGTATGTCTCCCTGTTACGGTAGCTGATATTCAGTTCCCTAAACCCTTAGCCCGATCCCTAATTTACCGCAACTTAATAAATGGAGTTTAATAACCCCTAAACCCTTTTCGAACCTGTTATAGTAACTAACTAACTTACTGGCTGTCGATGTCAACAGTCGCCAGAATCGTTTCTATGATTGGGGCTCTATCTGAAACAATAAGGGAATTTATTGAAAGTCATCCAAAATCGATACCTAGCTTAAGTGGGAGTTTGCTTAACAAGGCCCGGTGGCTGGAAGTAGATACCGCGGGCGGATCGGACAGGACCTGGGTTGAAAAAGCTTTGGGTTCAGGGGTTCGGGTTTGGGGTTTTGGGTTTCAGAGTCTGGTACGCATGGCTCTAGTTCTTTCAACAGGGACCTCTATTGAGAGTCTGACAAAGCCTGATCAATATCCCAGACCAGTCTTCCATAACACAATTTCATGGATTTCATGCTTGAAACTCTGCTGCACTAACAGATCTTGAGTATACCATGCGGTTTAGGGGTTCAGGTTTAGGGTTGTTGGGTTTAGGGGTTTGGCGTCTAGGCATGAGGCCTTAAGGGCTTGGGGTTTGGGATCTGTGACTTAGGGTTTCGGGTCGACAAGCCCCTGTGGTTCTGTAGAGTGGAGGAGGCCTGCCAAGGTGACAAAGACTGGGGCTTAGTCCATAATATGAGCTGGGCCAAGCGGAAACCGAATGTCATTGCATAGTGTAGGAGCCTTGAAAATCAGAAAGGCGTGTGTAAATAGGGCTTCATAGTGTACCGAATATAAGATGCCCCAAAGCCCTAGTCTATTCAGGCCCCTACAAAATCCCCGAACCACCACAGGCCAGGGACCGAAGAATTTCTCGAGCACTATGCGGCTGGGATCTCCCATAAATAAAACCCGCATAAACACAGAACTACGGTTGATGATATACATCTTGCATGACCTTAAGGACCCTATATTGTGGGAATCATGGTATATTCCTTATTACGGGTAATGCAGGATTGATATCATCAACAGTAGGTATTGTTATGGGGAATACTTCCCCAAATCATAATAGTGATAGGTACTAATTCCTCTTATCAACACCCCTACATTCTACTATGTAGGTAATTAAGACCCTTAGGGTTCCTCTTGGCTTGTCCCGCCCACAAGTGAAGGCTAGGGCGCCTTGGTGCTCCTGACAGCCCTCCACCCTATAACCCTGTTAAAACCCCAATTTCTCAAAACATTGTTCAAGATTCATAGAACCCTAATACCCATACTGTATTGTTTAAGCTTCCCATGCCTTTTACAGTTTTATATCAACAAAATTTAAAAAAAAATCCCTCAGAAAACGATAGCACCTCAGTGCAAACCAGAGCACGGCCCTCAAAGTACCAGCCTGCCGGCCAGCTCGCCTTTGCTTCGCGGTAGACGTGGTCTGGGTCGTCCAAAGAGTGATATTTGACGGTGGTCGTCTCCTTTCGGGGTATAGGGTAGGTTGCAACTTTCAGGGCATAGGATATGGCGTATAAGGTTCAGGGAATAGGTTGCAACTTTCGGGGTATAGGGTTCTAGTGTAATTATGAATCCCATAAAACCCTGAACCCTCAAACTTAAATTCCCAAAACCCTAAACCCTGAAACTCCCAACCCTAAACCCCCAACCTTTAACCCCTAAAACCCTAAACCCCTGAGTGCCGAGAGCCTGTTTGGGATACCAGGCGATCCGCTGATTTTCTCGGGAAGTGTGATGGAAGGTCATCGTGCCACTCTTGTTTGGACCTCAAAATTTCGTTCAGGATATCGGTTTTAGTTTAGAGTTTAGAGGCTCGGGATATAGGATCTGGTAACCCGGCAAAGTTTAGGAGTCTAGGGTTGCGGGTATAGGATTTCTGGTTAAGGACTTAACTTAAGAGTTTAGGGCTTTGTGGCTTCGGGGTGTGGAGTCTTGGGCAGAGGGTCTTGCTGGGAACTCCGGGGGATGACGTGCTGCCAAACTGTAGTTGAACCTATAGTTACCAATGCACTCCCTGTTTTGACTAGCCAATTCAATTATAGGATCCTAAATCCTAACCACGGGATTGGTACCATAGGCAAACCTTTAGAACCAAGCAACAGCAGCTAGAACACAATGGCCTGGAATGACTTGCAGTCAACACCCTCGTCCGGAATCCTAAACCCTACTTAGAGGATTATGAGACTTAGTAAGTAGGTGATAATTGGGGTTATAAGTCCCCTAAGTGGGGTTATCCTTCTTATATCCTACTTATAACCTTACTTACTACTGTAAGTCTCATGAGCCTTGAAGTAAATCCCGGAGCCCTAATAGCCGGAAGCCCGGGTGAGCCTAGTTCCCACCCAAGGCATTTGCAGGGGACCGGAGGGGTGCAATCTTTCCTTGATGCTGGAGTTCTACGGTTGATGATATAAATCCTGTTTTACCCATACTAAGGAATATACCATAATTCCCATAGTCTAGAGCCATTAAATGCAGGATTTATATCACCAGCCGTAGGAGAGGTTCGGACCAATGCTTCGGGGAAGGTTAAACCCCAAACCCGAAGAGCCTAAACCCTACACCCTCAATCCCCTAAACCTGAATGATGTGAGGTAAGGATGGTAGAGTTTTGAGTTTGCTTAAGGATTCAGAGGGTTACAAGCCTGCATGGTAGCTCTCCTTTCTTGGCTAGCCAGTTTGATGGTTGGGATGCTACAGGTATGACACGAAAGCAGGGCAACCAGACAAATGAAGTACAGAGCATGCTATTAGTAGAATTCAGGGCTGAGGGTTTACTTCTCCTCTAACCCCGAGTTCCTAAACCCTAAAGGCCCTAAAGCCGTAAGGCTGTGGCTGCCAAACTCAATCTTGGGCCAGGCGACGAGCGATGTAGGAGCCCACCACGGAGGCTGTGCCGGCCATGACATGGACCTCAAAATGTTTAGACCCAACACACTGCCTGGACCCAAAAGTTGCTTCTTAGGATGCCCTTATTTGGGCCCCCAAAAAGGTAGGTTATTTAGGGTCCGGTTGCACCCGAGTCGTGTTTTGAAGGTATATCCACGGGTCCAGGGCTTGGTTAGAGCTCAGGGCCAACAGCTTCGAGCGAACGGAGACCGGGGATCCGGGCTTTAAGGGCTCGGGGCTTCCAGTGCGTGGGGCTAAAACTCGTTTAACGGACTACACATACAAGGCTCTTATGCGCCCCTGGGGTTGCAAATATCATATTATCCTTCTCGTTCTCTGGAGTATTTAATTATGTAAATTTTCTTCTATCATACTATATTATCTTGTACTATATCACATTATACTACATTATACGATCTTATGTTATTGTAAGAGCCAGGGTCTGAGGCTTGGCTGTGAAACTATTTCGCGCACTGTGGCCTACCCAGAGAACCCAACACCCCTTAATGAAGCAACATGGCTTAAAGCATCATATGAAGCCCCTGATAACTTAAGGTATGTTGCTTAATCAAGGGGTACTGGGCTCTCTGGCCTCAGGCTCGGGTTTTCAGGGCAGACCGGTTTGAGGGTCGGGTTTTGCCAGGGCCCTCGATGCGCACCTACCCAGAGAGCCCAGTAGCCCTTCATTAAGCAACATACCTAGATTATAAGGGGCTTCATATGATGACTTAAGCTATGTTCCTTAATTAAGGGGTATTGGGTTCTCTGGGTAGGGTTCAGGGCTTAGGGGATTGCAGGGTTCACGATTTGCGCCTGGATAATTAGTAGAGCCGCAATATATAGCTGGACTAGGAGATTTTAGGTTACAGTATAGCATACTAATACTTATGTGAGGTGCTATGTGGGCATATCATTGCAAGTTGCAGTTCTTAGTAGTTGGGCTCGGATTTGGAGGTGCATTATAGCATAGTGCGTATGTTCAGGGCTGTAAAGGCACATGTTTGTAACTGTTTCACCTCCATTGTGTTCCGATTCTGCTTCATGGGCTTGACAAAACTCGACTCTGCAGCATGGACCAGTCTTTGCACTCGAAGCCTCATCCTAAACCCTAAACCCCTAATCCCATCAAGGCTCGCTAACTGAACTCTAAACCTTACACACCTGCATGTCCAACCTAAGCCCTCAACACCCAAGCCCGAAAAACAAAACAAAGCTCTGGTAGGAGCCGAAAACCTTTCAAACCTACTAAGCCCTAAATACGTAAACTGCCAAACTAGATTTGTCTGCCAGAAAGTCATGAGAAACACACGCAAAAGGTCTCCATAATACCTTTGTCAATTTGTTCCACCCCTACAGGAACCGTTGAAAGAGCACTGAAAGGAACCCCCCCAAGAAACCCTTTTTCTGCACACATACACACTCATCATACACCCTGAGGCCTAAATCCTAAACGTCCCAACCCCGCAACCCTGGACCTTCTGACGAAACTCAGGGGCCAAGACAACATCTACTGCGCCCCAACAGTCCTCTTACAGAGTCCTGGACTGAGCCCGTGAGGGACCTCCTGAAGGAGCCCCTTTAAAACCCGAAGCCCCAAACCCTAAGCCCTCAAAACCTATAAACCCTAACCCTAAACCCCTTAACCCTAACCCTATAAACCCTAACCCTAAACCCCTTAACCCTAACCCTATAAACCCTATATAACCCTAAACCCCTTAACCCTAACCCTATAAACCCTAACCCTAAACCCCATAACCCTAACCCTATAAACCCTATATAACCCTATAAACCCTAGCCGTAAACGCCGGCCTTCATACCCTCGTGAACCACAAAGGCGGCACGGCGCATCACACAGAGGAGCTCCGTGCCAGGCTGGCCGAGGGAATGCTGCGGTTTGAGGGTTTAGGGGTTAGGGTTTAGGGTTTAGGGTTTAGGGTTTAGGGTTTAGGACCCCAAAGAAAGTAGAACAATAGCCTTTTATAGGTTTTGGGCCATGATTTTACCTGCTTTTGGGGGTCTAGGTGAGGTTTATAGGTTGAAGGTTAAGGCGTAGGCTTTGTGGATTGAGGGTTCAATTCGGAGGGTTAGGGGTTTGATTAGGGTTTAGAGTTTAGGGTTTAGGGTTTATGGGTTGAGGGTTTCGTCCGAAAATAGTGGTACCTTAGTTTAGGGTCCGTCTAACAAGGATCCTACTGTTTAGGGGACTATACTAGGGTCCCTATTTTCGGAAACCAAATCGGAAAGGCCCACCCCTCAGATTCCAACCCCTCAGACAAGTGCAAACTCCTCTAGACCCCGTAACCTGCCCTGGTATCACGCAGGGATGACGGAACAATCCTAACGGCAAGCTCCTTCCATGTTTAGCAGTTGCAAGACGAATTTGAGTAGCTTTACGCAGGTAATGATGATGACACGGTATTTAGCAACGTTTAAACATACCCTAAACCCTAAACCCCTAAATCCCTAAACCCCTAAATCCCTAAACCCTAAACCCTAAACCCTAAACCCCTAAACCCTAAACCCTAAACCCTGGGGAAACATGCAAACAGATATTTTGCTATTACCTCCGTGGATGTCGGGCCCCGGACCACTAAGTCTATTTAAGTTTAGGCCCTAAGGCCCCAAAGTAGTTCCCTTTTTGGGGGTTCATATGTAGGATCCTTTAAGGTAATCCCAAAAAGGAACTACTTTGGGGCCTATGGGTATTACTTACAATGCGAAACCTGCAGGCTTTACCGTGTGCAAAATTTCTGACATAACTTTCCCTAGGGATCTAAGGACTCACATATTCAGGATTTTGGGCCCAAAGACCATACTATATGAGGCATTTGGGCCATCTTGATGCGCAGGGCTTTCGACTTGTTAGACTACCTCCGCGCCTTGGCAGTTTGGCCGCACATCACATATTCAAAAAGCGTCACCGTGCAAGCAACACATCCCCAAGGGTCCAAGTACCCACCGATCATATACTCTGCAAAATCCGAACCTACACAACTACTATCCGAAAACCGAGTACCTAACTATTCTGCCCTTTTGGACCGCACCCGATAAACCCTAAACCACTAAGCCCCTAAACCCGTAAACCCCGAACCCCTAAACCCTGAACCCTGAACCCTCAACCCTAAACCTAAACCCCCAAAAACCCTGAACCCCTGAACCCCTCTAACGCTTGACTTGAAGGATCCCACCTGCACGCCCAGCTCGGCTAGGCGCTTTGTGCCAGCCAGCGGGCAATGCTCCTGTCATACCATTCATGGGTTTAGGGTTTATCATAGGGATCCTTAGGGGTGTAGGGGGGAGGGGTGTAGGGGACTATGTTTCCTTAAATAGGCCTTATTAGTCCTTATTATGGGCCTTAAGGCCCCCTACCCCCCGTCCCCCTACACCCTGAAGGATCCCTATGAGTTTAGGGTGTGGGGTTGTAAGCCATATCAGGGGACTTAGGTCGAAGTTCGGGGCCTAATCTAGGGGCCTCAATAATTAGAATGGGGTTTTGAGGCCCAGAATACTATAACTATAAGAAGGAACCCTCAAGACAATACATAGGTAGTTATATTAAGGCCCCTGTAGTATAGGGTTTAGGATTGAGCTCCATTTTGCTGTGCACCTCGACTCGAATGCTTGATCTTCGAAGCGCAGTCCCATGCTATGTCGGCTGAGACCCCAACATGAAGAAGCGTGACCCGCCGCTGTGCGTCCACCTCAAGACTTTACGGTTTTGAGTTTAGGGTTTAGGGGTTCAGGGTTACCTCTAGTCGCCATTGTCGTTCCCTTTTTTGGTTAACCAGAAACTATATTATGGCAACCTAACCATACAACTGGTTAACAAGAAAAGGAACTACAATGGAGACTTCTTAAGCTTCCGGAGATGGTCAGTCAGGTCAAAAGAAGTTCAGCCACGATACAATAGGCTAGGTTGCGACCTACACCCGGGTTTTGGTACTCTAGACCCAGGAGTAACCTAGGAAGAAAAAGGGTGCCCTTTTTGGTGTTGAGGGGCTGATAAGGGACCTGACCCCTAAAAAAAAAGGAATAAGGGCCTACTCTGGGTCCTAGTACTCAGTTGCTGAGTCCATAAGCCCCCAAAAGTGTACACTTTCAGTGTTTCTTTGGGTAATTCTATCCCGAAAGTGCCCAAAAATGCACTCAGCTACTAAGAGTGATAGGGAATTCTCAAGCCGACGGGCCCCAAAGGATGCCCCGACGACTGAGCCCGAAAGGGCGGTTCAGGATTTGGGGTTCAAGGTTAGGTACAACAAGTCCTGCAATCCTTTCAGATTTCAACCCCCAAACCCCGAAAACCCTGAAAGTTTCAGAGTTTTTAGGGGTTTGGGGTTCAGGGTTTAGAGTTTCTAACTCTAAACCCTGAACTCCTAAACCCAAATCCCTCCAAACCCCCTTAAACCTAAAACCCCATACAGTAAACCCCATAAAGTTGGAAACCCGATTAAGGCCAAATAGTGCTGTAAGGATGGAGGCTATTGGGGTTTCCAACTTTTGGATTTCTACTAGGAGGGTCGGGGGACTTAGTAACTGGTTATTTTAAGGACTTATAAATACCATAACCACAATTAGGGTCCCTTTTAGGGTACGTATAAGTCTACTTACTACCTACTTACTAAGTCCCCCGACCCCCCGACCCTCCAACCCTCCAAGTACTGTACAACCCTAAACCCGGCCTCCAAGCCCAGGGCTGCCTCCACCTTGCAGGTCAGGCTCGGCAAGGTGTCCTCGCGACCATAGGAGTTGAAGGGCTTTAAGGTTCATAGGATTTAAGGGGTCTAGGGGTTTAGGGTTCAGGATTAAGGGGTTTAGGGATTCAGGGTCTAAGGTTTATAGGATTTGAGTTCAGATTGACGGGGTTTCAGGTTTATAGGATTTGAGTTCAGGATGAAGGGCTTTGAGGTTTATAGGATTTGAGGGGTCAAGGGGTTTGGAGTTCAGGATTAAGGGGTTTAGGGAATGAAGGGCTTTAAGGTGTATAGGAATTTAAGGGTCAAGGGGTTTGGAGTTCAGGATTAAGGGGTTTAGGGATTGAAAGGTTTTAAGGTTTGGGATATTTTAGGGTTCAAAGGGTTTAGGGTTCAGGATGAAGGGTTTTAGGGTGCAGGATTATGGGGTTAGGGTTTAGGATCAAGCGGTTTAGGATTTAGGGTTCAGAATGAAGGGGCTTATGGTTTCAGGGTACAGGGCTTCTAGAATTGTAGGGCCGGCATCAGGGCCTGTATTAAATCCTCCAAAAGTTCGAAACTGGAACAAGAGTCTTTTAGCACGCTGCGGCTAGGACGAGGGCGTTAACATTTCCCGTCTGCTTTAAGCAGGGCTCAAGCCAAGCCGCGCATACGAAACAAAAAGAAGACCTGCTGATCCAAGCCCGCGGCTAAGAAAAACAGAACTCAGGGCCCAACCCCCCGTGGTCCATCAAGCGGGGGCTTGCATTCTTTGCTGTCGCGTTGAAAGTTTACAGAGGTTTGGGGATTTTCAAGGATCAGGCCCGATGCCCTTTGGGATGATACCAGGGACTACAGTACCCAAGACAGCCTCGAAGGCTACTTACTTTACTACGAAGACTATAGACCCTAGAATAACATAGCAATAAAAAGGGTGCCCTTTTTGGCTTAAAGGAGGTTATAAGGGAACCTAGACCTTAAAAAGGGAATAAGGGCCTACTCTGGGTCCTAGAAGATATAGAAACTTGCTAAATACTTGCAGTCAGCCAGTAAACTCAGCCGTTTAAAATCCGACCCTGGGGGTCCTCGCCAGACAGATCCGGGATCTCAAAGCTTTCGCCGGCCATCGTAATGGCCGTGACAGACCATGTAGCCGCAGCCATGGTTTTGATTTAGGGTTTAGGGGCTTAGGGTTGAGGGGAGGGGGGGTTTTGGGGGTTTTAGGTGCGGGGTTCTAGTCCTTATTGGGGTTTAAAGTTCAAGGCCTTGGGCAAAGCTGCAGAAAACGTGCCAACAACATCGATGTCAGTGTAAGGAAAGGGCACAAGCTCGAATCCATCAGTCAAGCATTTTTCAAGAGGCTGGGTTACCGACCTCCAGACTCTAAGGGTCCGTGTATCCAAATAGTGTGCGTGTATATATATATATATATATACACACTGTATATATATACATACACACAGATATATATATATATATATACATACATACCCCAAGACCTACTTTGAAAGGAAGCTGCTTTAGACTACGCCAGCAAACCTGACCTCCTTCAATCTACATTGCAAGCTTCTTGAAGTCTCTTTAGACTATCCCAGCAAACCTGACCTACAATCTTAATCCGGGACCTGTACAAATACAAGTAATCATGCCAAGTAGTTACTACACTCCGTTTGGTTTCGTAACATCGTGTCTAAACCTTATAAACACCCAGATAATCATGTTAAGCATCTTTGATGAAGAAAGCAAAAGGACTTACTATGTCATATAGTATTCGGACAGCTGGTATTGAATCGTTGTAGATCAAGGCTCTACATTTGCAGTAATGTCCGTTGCACCCTACGGGAGTTTGTGTTAACTGAACTGTGCGCAAGCTTCGGATTCGTAAACTCCCTCACCCTAAACCTCAAACCATACAAAGCCCTGACCCCCAAATACTGAAGACTAGTGGCGTTAAAACAAAATTTCTTTCACACCATAAATGCTACACCGTACATAGGCCCCCAAATAACCTGTGCTCTACCCTAAATACCCTGTGTTCAAGACCATTAAGGAATCCTAGTATGTATCCCTAATCCCTGAACCTAAACCCTGACCCTAAACCCCAAGTTACCCTGAAAGGTGCTGCATCCGAACAAGGAACCCCCTAGAACCCAGACTCTCCAAAATGTGTTGAGTAAGGAATCCTACGGTTGATGATATAGATCCTGCATTACCTTAAGGATCCTAAACTATGGGAATTATGGTATATTTCTTAAAATGTGTCATGCAAGATTTATATCATCAACCGAAGGAATCTTACGATAATTAAAGGTATGTTCACGACTAAAGGGATTTTGGAAGGCCTGGGTACCCCGAAGTTTGGCAAACAAGGCTGTGATGTAGATGGGCGCGATCAGCTGAAATAAGATCGAGGCCTTGGTTCATAAGATAGAACAGGGCTTTGGTGTATACTATAGCATACTGTGTAGGAATATCGGTGCCGCAGTTAATGGACCAGAACGGGTTTTGGTGTATATTATTGCATAATTATGTAGGATCGGTGGCCCTGAATACTAACAAATTCTAACAGGTTCTGGGGTATATAGCACGTCATATATACTGTCGAAAGAAACCTAAGGAAAGTAGAGGCATTTGTTCAAGCTTCCATATTATCATACAGCCTGTAGAAAGAACCCTGAGGAATGTAGAGGCATTTATTCAGGCTGCCATATTACGCTCATTCTTCACGCCGAGTCAGGACACAAAGCTTGTCGGCAGTCCGAGCTCCCGAGGGGTTGTTGCTCTAGACGGTGGTCCGGGGTGCGGGATGACGGAACTTCTCCCCAAACCTTCTACAATCCCTTAATCAACGAAGATACCTTAAACTACTGTTGATGATATAAATCATGCATTACCCATAATAAGCAATATACCATTATTCCCATAGTTTAGGACTCTTAGGGTAATGCAAGATTTTTTTCATCAGCCGTATCCCTTAATTGGAAGGTCTGGGTTTCTTCGTACATTCGATGGAGCAAGTTCAACAACGCCCCATTTGTGCCCCTCGCGATCTGCCTTGAGCAGAAGTCGATAACAGAGCTGGTCGTTGGATGAGCTCCCTTCACAGGCCTTGAACCCTGAACCCTAAACCCAAACAAAACTCTAAACCCTCAACCCTAAACCTTGCCTTGCAAGCACGCTAGCAGGGAGCCCCTATGCATCTTCAATCGTGGGATCCCTAGTGTAATTTCAGGTATATTTCCCAAGTAATGGATTTTGGTACCCTCTTCATATCCTGACTCCGTCAGACCACACCCGGACCTTCCAAAGTTACCTAATTGCGGATGATACCCCGAAATTATAGCAGGACCCTAACATAATTTAGGGTATCTTCCTTAACTAAGGGATATTGGAAGGTCTGGGTACCCTCTTGATAGTCTACTTGTAACTCTGTGAGCCCTGCATACTCAACCCTAAAACTAGAAGCCTGCAGCTAAGGATTAAGCCGCGGGCTTGTGTGAGGAAAGGCCTGCTACCAGGATCCCACATGGGTGGTTGTCAAAATTAGGGTCCCTTTTTGGGTACCCTAAATGTTAGGTGCCGTAGTACATTAAGGACCCAAAAAGGGACCCTAATTTTGACAACCACCCACATAGCTGCATTAGCCCGAGGCCTCTTTGAGAGGCCCTCGTGAGGACACCTCGAGAGGCAAGTCCATCTCGAAGGGCTAGCAGAAGGAGGCCGTGTACCCAAAATGGCAGTCTCTATACCTCAACCTACAAAACCCTACGTGTTTGCGGGTGCTTAGTATAAACCCTAATATGGGATTTATAGGGACCCTACAAAAAAGTAGGGTTTGGTAGGTCAAACTTTGTTTAGGGGTTCACCCAATCCTCAGAGTTGGCTGTTGGGTTCAACGAGCCTCCCTCGGTGCATTTACGACGAACTGCGCACCCTAGGCCATAAACCCTTAACGGGAAGTTTATGGTTCAAGGTTTAGCGAACCCCAGACGTACATCCAACCCTAAACCCAAAACACCATAAACCCTAGACCCTACACGGCAAAGCCAACTCTAAACCCTAAACCCGAAGCCCTAAAGGCAGCTCACTTCTTCATCTTGATTCGAGAGACTAGCTCGCCGTCCCTGCGGTGCTGGACGGGTGGTGAACCCAGAGAGCCCCATCCCCCTTCATTCAGGGATCTGCCTTAAAGTATACGGGGCGTCATAAGATGATTTCAGCTATACCTTCACCTACGAAACCCATTTTGTGTGGGCTCTTAGTATAAACCCCAATATGGGCTTTATAGGGACCCTACAAAAGAGTAGGGTTTGGCTAAACGCTAAACCCTACACCCAATACCCCTTAAGGGGTCTTGGGCCCTCCGGGAAGGCTCTGGGTTCGGGAGCTCAGGGCTATCCTGGAACCCAAAAAACCCCTCAATACTGGACAAAATCCTGCATGACCCTAAGGTCTCTAAACTATGGGAATTATGGTATATTCGTGATAATGGGTAATGCAGGATTCTGTCCATCAACAGTATGTCGGGTTCCGTCTTAAACTTGCTTTGTATAAGTTTTTAGGGTTTAGGGCTCAGGGGTTAGGGTTTAGGGTTTATGGTTTATAAGGTAAGTCCTTAGAATTGTAGGTTCTTTCGGGGTACAGGTAGAGGTTAGGAATGCTTAGAATTCAAGTCTTAAGGTCCTGTTTTGAAGACCAAAGGTCTAGTAGTGTGGGCATGAGGGTCGGACGGAGAGGTCGTGGGGCAGGAGGGCAGGGCAGGGCAGGAGGGCAGGGCAGGAGGGCAGATCCAACGCGGAGCCGCTGAAGCTTTACAAGGGTTTTTTCTGTGGCGCCCCAGACCCTGAACCAGGAAACCAAAGCGTGGTCGAAGAACCACAGAACTATATCCCCCTTAGAACCATAATAAAAAAACAGCATTTAGAATATTCTCTTGGGTTTTATGTGAATACAACATATTTCCTAATTAGACTATATAGCAGAACCCGAAACTGAAAAGGTTGAGACTGGGGCCAGGGTGCCCCAAATGTGTACACTTACTTTCAGTGTTATGATGAGTAATATTAGCCCAGAAAGTGTGAAGTGTATCCACTCAGCTACTAAGGATCCCTAAACACAAGAACTCTCAGTCCCTAAACAGCTGATCTTGACACGACGCGCTTAGGCAAAAGCTTGGAAGCACACAAAAGTCCAAGTCGTGTGTCGTAGAACACGAAGCACGCTAAGATAGAACCCCCCCAAACAAGCTTCAGAAGGGTGCCATATGAGGATGAAAAAAACGGTTTACTAAAGTACAGCTAAAGTAGGATCAGGCTTCCTACGGATTCCATGAGGGCTCTATATATGAGGACTTTCTGGTGTTTTGCGTTAACTGGATGCTTGTTATGATCCCCTGGAACATCCGCCTCAGGGAAGTTGAACAAACACCAGCTCTACAATAATCAAGCATTGCTTAAACATGTGTTAAGCGTCTGGGGTTTTGGGGTTGTGTGGGACCTGTGTTCCGCATCTAGCAAGTGGACCGTCCTCGCCTAGTGAGGCATATTCGCAAAGCCTGGATGACTCTACCTTCTCAAAACAGTCTCGGTTCTTCGGTTGCACTCCGAGGCAACTTGCCACCCTCGCACAGAACAAAATATGTACTCCACAGGTTTGGCGAAAGTGGACGGCTCGATTGTCTACACCCTAAACCCCCTAGACCCCCCAACTACCCTCTGATGTACCCCAGATACCCACTACTAAGGGCCACAAGGACTCCATTAAAGGGCCTTGGGGGTCCTGGCCTAAACCCTCCCCTGCAAGGCTTGGTTGCATGCCACACCGTGCCACCATGACGCCAGGTCCCCGGCTGGCAGCACTTTCATAGCCTTCGCGAGCGCCCTGAGATGAGGGTTTAGGGATTACCCATAGACCCCACAGTAGTTCCTTTTTGGGATTACCTTGTAGGACTCTAGAGAAGAACCACATTTGGGCCTAGGGGTAGGGTGTAGGATTAATTGTTAGGGTTATGACTTTGGGTTCTGCGTGGTGAGCCATGATCTCAAATAATTATTTTTACAATTAATTTATGATTTATTTATGTTTCGTGGAATTTCTTGTTGCATGGGTATTTTATGGTTTTTTACACTTCAGATTATCTCATTCGCGCAGCCTCTCTGACATGATTGTCTTGTTCTTATGACTAGACACGTGAGCCCGCATCCAGTTCATATCATCTGTGCATTGGCTCAGCATGAAGCGCCTTTGCAGGCTGTTTGGGAAACACGGCTTCCTTTTCAAACATGTTTAAACACGACAACGCTACACACAAGCTATGATTATATACTCTTTAAACATCCCCCCTCCCCCCATGTACTGAAGCTAGAGCGTTTTAAACAACTGGTCGTTCTTGTGTGCAAACCAAGTTTAGACACCCCGCATGGTACGCCGATGACGTGTCTATAAGATCTAAAATTGATCTCTAGGGCCGGGAGTCGGGGGGGGGGGGGTCCTGGGCTGGGACGGTGGCTGAAGGGGGGATGGGGGTGCTTTCGGGAGCATAAAAAAGCATTAGAAAATCATAAAAAATCTATAAACAAATCTATAAAAAAATCCATAAAAAATCTATAAAACATACATAAAAAATCATAAGTTCCTTGGGTTTGTATATAAAAACCAAAATTCCGCCCCCTCCCCGTCCTCATTCCGAGGACCCCCGCTCGCGCCCCCTACCCTCTCTCCCCCCACTCAAACCACCCCCACCACCACCCACCCCCTCTGCACCCCCTGCGCCCCTGCCCCCTCCCCCCCCGCACACCCCCCTCCCTCCACCCCTTGCCCTCCCTCCTAGTCTGAATTGGCCTTTTGGTTGCCCCGCAAAGCTGGACAACCCCTCGAACCGGATTGCTGCGTGCAGAAAAACACGGTGGTGAGACCAGGCACTGCAGATTGCCTTTTTTTGCCCGCCCTTGTGAGTTCGTAATTAACCTCTACAATTACATCGCATGGTGTTCATGCCCTAATATGAGAGGCCCCGCGCAGGTTTGAAACAGGCGCACTGTTATTCGTGCAATGGCGTAGTCTCGGTTACAGATTCTATCGTCATCCGGATGCTGTCGAAAACGAGTGTAAACAAATTGTAAAACATTGTCAATCCAAGTTTGCTAAATAAACAGTGATCCTATGTAATCGTAAAACAATCATAAACGGCAGATTCTGTGATTCATAAAATAAGTGTAAATATATTGTAAAAATAAATATCTACAGAATCGTGCCTCTCGCAGAGAACACAAAGTCATAATGTTAGGGTTTAGAGATTAGGGCTTATAGGGATTAGGGTTTAGGGCAACGGCGCGTGAGGAAATGCACGACTAGGCGAGGTAGAGATGCATGTCGCGAAGGCAGTCAAACTCCCCACATCTGCCGTGCCATCAAGCCATACGCAGGGGTGCATAGGCATACCTTAACCTACCAAACCCTGCTTTTTTGTAGGGTTCCTATGAACCCCATATTACATATTAGGGTTTACAATAAGAACCAACAAAAAAGTAAGGTGTTGTAGGTTAGAGTAGGGCTCACAGAGCTTGAGGTTCAGCTTTTCTCGAACACGGTCTTCCTCATCGACTGTAAAACCTGGAGACAGTCCGAACTACTCCGTCAATGACGAAGCCGGGCTTTCGTTGCGGTGTTCGCAACTCCAAAGATGCACCAATTACTGTATCCCAGAGGATCCTAAGTACTTCTATGGTATAGGAGTTGAAGGGTTGGGGGTTTAGGGGTTTGGGGTTCATGGGCATAGCGATTCCGAGGATAGAAGCCCTCCACTCTGCGACGGAGGTACTTCGGATCCTTTGGGCAACGACTGTATGGCCTGGTATATTCTGACCTCGTCGAGATGAAGACTCTAGTGGGTATTGAGGATCTCGGGGCTCGAGGGTTTAAGGTTTAGGGCTCTGTAGGGTTTAAGGTTTAGGGAGTTTCGAGTTTAAGGTTTGTAAGGTTTAAGGCATGTCCCAAAGATGGCTTCAAACAATATCCGCGGCACTGATTCAAGGCGACGTTTCGCGACCAATATAGGGGCCTGAAGAATTAAAACACAGCTTTTTCTTGAAGGGAGGGGGGCATATTATATTATACCAGTTAATGGAGTTAGACTAAGGAGCTGCAAGGCTGTCAGGGAAACATGTGTAATCATTTAGGCCCCCATATTTCAGCCGTCTGTAGAATTGCGCTTCACACGCACAAGGCGTTTCATGGCAGGGTCGTTCTAGTCGCCAAGACATCAGAAGCGATGCGAATTTCTTGCAAGACCCTGCTATGGTTTGGGATGGCTTACGTGGACCCTATAATTACAACCTTCCATTTGTTGTGCCCCACTATGATTCCTTTTATCTCCTTAACTTAAGCGGTCGGATAATTCGGGGTATATAGGTAGGGATTCAGGGTGCACCAGCGAGGATCCTAGATCGACGCCGTATCACCCCTGGCTGCCAATGCACCAGGGCGCCGGGCAAGGGGATTGAAGGGGGCACCAGGATTGGTAGCCCGGATCGTTGCACCATGGGTTTACTGCGCAGTCCGGATTCTGGATGCATCCACCTGCTCCGGATGACATGCTCGTGGTGGTGGTGGTGGTGGTGGTGGTGGTGGTGGTGGTGGTGGTGGTGGTGGTGGTGGTGGTGGTGGTGGTGGTGGTCGCGGTGGTGGTTATCGCGGTGGTGGTGGTCGTCGTGGTCGTGGTGATTGGTGTAGGGCGCCGCCTGCACCTGGGTAGTTGTCAAAATTCTGGTCTTTTTTGGGTACCCGAAATATTAGGTGCCATATTATAATAAGGACCAAAAAAGGGACCCTAATATTGACGACCACCCACCTGTACGAATCCAGCAGCTGGAGGATATCCCCTTCTGACAAGGACTGGCGCTGGCCGACATGAATCATTTCTGCGGAAGGAATTGTCTCGAAGATTTGGGATCCGTATAGCATCCTGGGTTCTGGTTAGGGGACTGGAACTATAAGTTACCATAATAAGGAAATCATATTATATCATATATTATTTACTACAGATCCCTACTATCATAACAAAGAACATTCATTCACTGGTCCTTAACCCCTAAACCTTAAGCCCTTCAAGGAACCCTAACCCCCTAAAAATTCTTAACAAGAGCCCAGCATCGGAGGGAAGTGCATGATACTGCGGAAGTCATAGGGTGCATATCCAGCCCAAGGATCCCGGGCAGCACTCCGCCAAGGTTCGTCTAAAGCGGACCCGGTGTAGGCCTCCTCGACCTGCGACTTTCCGAAACTTCAGGGCACCTTAAAGGGCTCCTTAAAGGGATCTATAAGGCTTCTATAAAGGGTCTAGGGCTTAGAGTTTCCGAAAATTAGGGGCGTACCTTCTTTTGGGGTCCTTATAAAATAGGATCCTACTACTATTTACGGTACCGTAGGTATGTAGGGCCCCCTATTTTGGGAAACTCCCACCTCAGTGAAAAGGAAGGACCATGAGGCGGGAATGTTCTCCCAAAAGACTCGAAGGTGAGGGCCGCGACCGAAATACACCCGGGTTGCGTCGGGTCTCTGTTGCTCGTCCAGCATGCCAAGAACATGGCCAAGGTTGTGGAGAATTTCGCCCATGTGGTTCAGGTTCATGCAGGAACCGAGGTTGAAAGAAATCAAGCGTGAACCATACCCAAGATATGCCCAACAACTCCCGGAGTAACAATTTGCGACTCGAAGCACCACTCCGGTAAAGTTGCTGTCAACTTCCACGAACCTAATGCATGTCCACCGATGATATACGGCTGTGGCTACCCGGAAAGCTTCTTTGCGAGTCTGGTCCACGAGGCAGCCGTACGGGTCTTCATCGAAGTAATAAGGTACCTTTTTATGCGAGAAGCTGTTTAATGGATCCTGTAAACGGAGACTGAGTCACTGTAACCACCACATAAACATAGATGCAACAATCCAGCCAATCCCCGTCAACCCTAAACCCTGAATCCCCATAAACCCTATAAAACCTGTAGGGCCTAAACTAAGCCCTGAATCTATGCACTTAAACCCCAAGCCCTGATCACATCTCTAGCTGCGACCACCACTTCCTCCCATTCGCCGGATGTGGGCACCCGTCCTTACCCGGTCTTGGAATCAGAATATAAACAATATTCCTATTAACCCCCTGGATTTACATTAAAGCATATGACCCTAACTAAACCTAAACTCTATACCGTTGTATTAGGATAAAGATAAGACATAATTCCTATCAACATCCCTTGGAGTCATATATATATATATATATGTACATATATATATAATATGTTCTATTTATTTATTTATTTATATTTATATTTATATCCAAATGCACACAAACCCTAAACCCTAAACCCCCGATTCCCAAGAGCAGAAAAGCTTCTGTCCCTCCAGTTCTGAGCCGCTCCGCAGCTCCCGTAACCTTACTGGCCCAAAGGGTCCTAGGTATTGTTATGGGGAATACTTCCCCAGATCATAATAGTAATTCCTAATGTAGAAACCCTACATTCTACCATATTATAGGTACTTAGGACCCTTTGGGTGGTGCTTCAGGCGGTTTAGGGTCTACCTGGACCCTGAGACACCTACCTTTTAATACGGTGGATGATATAAATCCTGCATTACCTTAAGGACCCTGAACTATGGGAATTATGTCATATTCCTTATTATGGGTAATGTAGGATTTATATCATCAACAGTGGGTAGGTTATTTGGGGCTAAGGTAGAGTCTAGGGTTTAAGACAGACGGAAATACGATCTTACAGCGACTACTCTACAGTAGGGACTCGTTCTTCCACTCCTCCGTAAGCACGAGCAAGTAGCCGTCGCAAGGCCGCGAATAACCCGGGAGACTCGCATCGTAGTCCGATGTTACCAACGAAGGGGCCGTGGCCGAAGGGGATGCAAGATCTGGATCGGGACTGCTGTCCTTCGGGACATCGCGGGTTCCCCCAGACACCTCGATTTTGTTAAAGAGTGCTGCTCAGCTACTCTCTTCACGGCGTCCATCTCGTGTCCATGTTCATGATGTTGAAAACTGTCAATTAATCTAACTGCGCCAACACTTATCGTAGCAGCGATTCATAGCATCATTCGCTAAAGGGTGCTGTGCTGCGCCCAGACACGATGGAATCCATGTAGCTGATATCCTGCGCGCTGAGTTGCAAGTGCGTCGGCGGCACTCCGAAACTCGGGAAGGGGCCACGCAAGCGATAGACACGCATTGGGCAGCTCTCTCTGTGCTCTGTCCTGCTTTCATCCCGAAATGCTGATTGTTAAAAAGGCTAACGTTGTTCCACCAAACTAAGTTTCCCGTGTATGATAATGCCATGAACACCAGTGACAATGACACGACTGGGCATCGTGGAATCAGATGAGGTTGCGAACGAGTGGCACAGTAAAGCCACAATGACCAAGGGACTAGCAGCACCAATACAACGGCAAAAAAGGTGCTGACCTCTATGTGAAACATTGCATGATGGCGGCGGAAAGACCAGAAACCGAAGTACAAGCAATGGTAACCCTGATCCCGTCACTAAACATTTCAATACATGCTAGAGACAATACAGGCATGTCATCAAGTTGAAGACATGAAAGCCCTGAATCATATGGGCACCCGAGTTGATCTGTGCAGGATTTGGGGCGTATATTCACTACAGTTCATGGGTAGTCCCTAAATGAGTGTCCTTTGTAGGTCCCAAGTCCCAATAGTGCGGCAGCCCTACAAAAAAGGATCCTTTAACAGAAACCCTGATTAAGATAACTCACCACCCTGTATGAACCCTGGGGAGTGGTAGTAATCAGTGCTTTTTTTCGGCTTTTATTTTGTCCGAACTAGGACCCAAAACCCCAAACATCCCCGTCTTAACTTACGTCGAAAGGACCCAAACCTGACTTGTGCCCGAAAAGCTGACTCAGGTAGTAAAGTGTGGTCATTCTCCTTCGAGGATCATGGGACTTAGTATTTACGTTATAGTTAGGGTTATAAGTCCCCTAAGTGGGGTTATCCTAAATATAACCTACTTAAGACCTTACTTACTCAGTCCCATGGCCCATGATCCTCTAGGTCATGTGCTTCTTATGTTCGGCCCCTAGCTACCTTTTCCTTGCTGGCTGGTTCTCATTAAGGCCAGCACAGCTGACATACTATGGTCCAACCAAGTACATGTATTATCATATTAGTACATAGAAAGATAGAGGGACAGATAGACAGAGAGAGGCAGATGTAGACACATACATATGCATACAACGTATATACATACATACGTACATACAGACAGACAGACAGACAGACAGACAATAAAAGTCCTAGAACCCGATCGGTCCTGCATTCCGACATGGGCTCCCTGGGCAGTAGAAGTCCGGGTCTCGGCTCAGCTCCCATCCAAACGGCCTTTGAGGAGCTGCGGGTTCGGTTTAGGGTTTAGGGTTTAGGATTTAGGGTTTAGGGTTCGGGGTTTATTTAGGGTTGCGCTTAAAAGGCACCCACAAAGGGTTGAATACATGAAATATAGGGATTCATAACCCAGAGGGTCCATATACACTATAAGGATGGAGTTAGGTTCCAAAACCATACTGGGACCTAATTCCAGAATGGTATAGTATTAGCGGACCCTCTGGGTAAGGGCTTAAGGTTGATATGATATCTTGCGATTAATGGGGTTGAAAGTTCATATGCCATATAGGGATTCATGGTTTAAGGGGAAATTGCCCCTACTTGAAGGGATTCATTGTAGAGGAAGCTTCTACTTCTCGGGATTCATAGCATAAATTCCCTAAACCCTAAATCCCCAAACCGGTATAAGGGTACTAGTTGCTGAGTTCTCAAGCCACCACATGTGTACGCTTTTAGTTTCATAGTGGCTAATGCTGCACCAAAAAGTGTAAAGTGTATCAACTCAGCTACTAAGAAGGGCTACTATTTGCTTAAGAAACCCCCAAAAAATAAAAATAATAATCCCTATACTACCCCCATAAGGAATATTTTTTTTTATTTTTTTGGGGGTTCTTAAGCAAATAGTAGAGGGTATAGGGCCCCTACTTGTAGGAGTCATTTGGTCCCCAAGGGGCTCGATTTAGCCGCGAAGCGCCGCAACGGCACTCCTTCTGTTCTCTGCGGTGGAGGGTTTAGGGTTTGGGGGTTTAGGGTTGATAAGATTTAAGGATGCTTTTTGGGTTTGGGGGTGTTTAGGGGTTAGGGTTTTGGGGTGTTTAGGGTTTAGGCGTTGGGGTTTAGCAATGGGCAGTAGGAGCGGCTAGTCTTGTGAATGATGCATGTTGTATATAATATGTTGGCATGCCAATGTTTACTTTATTACTTTCACCGCTGAACTCACGGAAAATGCCACCCTTTAACCCTAAACGGCTCCTTGCCGCCCACAATTCCAGACAGATCGAGCCCTTTGCTCGTGCAGAAGCTCTGGCAAAGCGACGTGTCGAGGTCCTGCGATCGCATACCTTACGTGCGGAGTTCGCAAGCCTCACCAACTTCAAACTTTCGGTTCTATAAGGGACAACCATAAACTTTGAACCGGAGTTGTTCAAATGTGCCAAAAACCCAACCCTGAACCCTAAACCCTAAATAGGCCAACAAATGCTCGAAATCAGGCTCCAAGGTACTATAAACTTTGAGTAGTTCTATAAGGGGTAACCCTAAACCCGAAACCCAGGGAGTGCCAAAACAAAAGGTACGCATTCAGGCACCGAGATGCTATAAAACGGCAAGCCACTGCGACAGGGGCTTGGTGAGTCCCAGTGGACACAGCTGTCATTGTAAGCATCAAGGCTTTCCTGGTTAGGGTTTAGGGCTTGGGGTTTTTATGGAGAATAGGGAGTTTAGTTTAGGGTTTAGGGCCATTTTCGGGTTTAGGGTGGATAGCAGGAAAAATTGTGATTTCTGTTCCTTCTTGAGCTTAAGTACCATCGAAATTTAAAATGTTATCCATTTATGACAAAGTCTCATGGAGCTCATCATCGCTGAGAGGAAAGCAGCCGAGGCATTCAGCAATGTCCTGCTGCACGTCTTCAGATGCATCAGACGTCAGGCGGGTACTGAAATCCTTGGCGTGCTTCTCCTCGCAGGCTTTGCTCGCTTCGCTCACGCAAAGCATCGTACTGCAGTCACATGCTTTTGTGGCAGCAGGTCTTTGCAAGCCTTCACACTTCGTGTCTTCGGCTGGCCCATCGTGCATCGTTCGACATTGCACGTCGCGCCTTTGCAGTGGCACACCGCACTCCACGATGCAGTCTCCGAATGGGCCAGTTGCCCACGACACTGCTTCCGTCCTGCTCTGGCCGACACCCTGCCGGGTTTGGACCTGCAAATAGAATGCACCCTTCGTTGTGGAGTTGCGACACCTAGGCTTCTGCGTAGCCCCTGTATAATAAGGGTACCGGGTACCCTTTTCCCTACTATTCGGTCTGCATAAAGGGACCCAAAATCAAAAGGGCAAAGGGTGCTAGTCAGGAACCTAGACACCTCGCCTCTGCCCAGGCAGCTTGAACGAACGAGAGAAGCAGGAGGACGACTGTGGAACATAATGCCATGGTGGTGCACGCTTAACCCTAAACCATAAACCATAAACAATTAAAACACAGGCTCCATGTAGCCCTTTGGTATATACTTATACCGTACCCGTACTCATATAGGAACCCCTTTTAAGGCCTAAGTATATACTATATGGGTACATGCAGCCTTAGGGAACAGGAGGCGGGATGATGCAGGGCCTCTACTGAAAGAGAGCCATCAGAGCAATCAGCGTTTCACTGAAACGAGCAGCACAGGAACCCTTACGGGGGTAAGGGGGAGTAGGGCAGGGGACTATACTTCCTTAAATAGGTCTTATAAGGTCCTAGTCCTTATTATAGGCATTAAGGCCCCCTACCCCGCCTCCCCCTACCCCTCTGAGTGTCCCTATGAGAGCATTTGCTTGGAAGTGTCGCACCCTTTCCTTGCACATGGCTGGCATGGACCTAAACCCTAAACCCCTAAACCCTAAACCCTTTGAATCTGAACTTTCAAGGGGCCCCAAGCCCTAGACCCGAAACAATTAAACCCATGAAAGCCTGCACCCTCGCCCTAAACCCTATAACTATAAGCCTTAAACCCCAACCGTAACCCGCTATATAAACCCCAGGCATCTTCAGCCCTAAACCTTCCAGGCCGGGACAACAACCCTGACCCTCACCCCAAACCCTATAAACCCTAAACATTGAACCCAAAGCACATAAACAAATATGAGCCCTGTGTACCCTAAAGGGCCCTAGGCCCTAAACCTTCACGGGTGCTCATCCTTCAACTGCAAATCCCAAGCCACCGAATCAACCTAATAACTGGCACTCCCTAAAGGTCCATGTACTCACCCAAAGGGTCCTAAGTACCTACTGTTGATGATATAAATCCTGCATTACCCATAATGAGGAATATACCATAATTCCCATAGTTTAGGGTCCTTAAGGTAATGCAGGATATATATCATCCACCGTATGTGGTAGAATGTGGGGTCTCTATACTAGGAATTACTCTTATGATTTGGGGAAGTATTCCCCATAGCAATACCTAGGCCCTTTGGGTCACATAGCATGAAGTACCTACATAGGGTTTAGGGTTTCGGGTGGGTCCAAGAACTACTTGGAGGCCTAAGGATATGGGTAGTTCTCTAACTTAGGGCACATTTTAGTGTAAAAGGGCACCCTACAGGGATCCTCATTTAGAGAACAACGCATCTACTGCATGGACACGTGATCTTTTTGGGACCCCTCAACACTTAACCCTATACTGAAAACCGCAAAAGCCAAGGCTCCATCACCCTCGACCCTATAAGCCCTAAGCCGATTGAATCCTCTATACATCCTAAACCCTAACCCTAATGTAGGGGCCTGAATAATCAAAATAGGGTTTTGGGTAAAGGATACTATAAATATAAGCAGGAAACCACCCCCAAAAATCCTAGTCTAACTATTTGAGCCCGTACATTATAGTACACAACTATAGATCCCTTGTAGGCCCCTTTACGGATTCCTGTAAAAGAACCCTATTCTACCAGGACCCTTTTGGGACCGGCACCCCGGCACCAGAAGGCACCTTCTCAGCTCTGCCAACCTGGTCCAAGGGCACCTTGGGGGTCCCGGAACCCGAAATTCGAAACTTTAGGGTCTAGGGGTTTAGGGCTTAGGATTTAGGGGACCCGTTTGGGGTTAAGGGTTTCGGTTTTTTGGGGTTTCAAAGTTTGGGAACTGGCGTTTAGGGTTACCGGCTTGGCCCCATATGAGCTTGTACTTTCACGCAAATGAGGCCATGGTATATGCAAGGGTCCTTACAACACGGATCCTGGTACTTAGTTACTTAGGCTCCATGGTCTGTAGTCAGCTACAGTCGCTCAATTTCCGAAATTCCTGCCTTAACCCTAACCCTAAACAGTTTGAGTTTTTTGAGGCGTCAGCAGCAGAATGGCAGTTTCCACAGTTTCGAAAGCCTTAAAACTGAGGGGTTTTGGGGTTTAGGGTTTAAGTTTCTTTTGGTTTAGGGGTATAGTGTTTCGGATTGAGAAGCAAGAAGCTTGTCACATCGTGGTCCTGATGCCCCAATCTCAACCCTTGTCCAAACTTTCTAGGGTTCACTCTCTGCGCTGATCACTCATGGCCACGCAGGACGCCGAACCTTGTGAACTCGGCACCCCAAAGCCAACACCGAAAAACTAACATCCCGAAGCATTCGCCGTAGATCCCAAACGCTAAACCCTGCCAAAACACAAAAAAGCCTAACACCGGTAAACCCGTAAACAAGAAACCCCAAAATCCTAAGCTTAAGCCCCAAAACCCAAACCGCCCTAAAGCAAATCTCAACAAAAGACCCCAATGTGGCCTTCCCACACTCTCCGAGACATCTCCCGACCTTGACTAAACCTGAACCCGACACCTAAACCCCTAAACCCGAAACCTCTGACCCCAGGAACCCCTGGGCTGAACTCTAAACCGTACTTGGACGGTTGATGATATAAATCCTGCATTACTCATAATAAGGAATATACCATAATTCCCATAGTTTAAGGTCCTTATAAGGTAATGCAGGATTTATACCATCAACCGGAGGATCATGCAACTTAGTAAGTAAGGTTATAAGTACCTTCATTGGAGATTATAGATACCTATTACTTGTCTTACCCTGGTTATAACCCAGTTACTAAGTCCCGTGATCCTCTAAGTAGGTTGGAGCCCTAAACCCTGAGCCTTATACCGTATAGATCCCTTTAAGGGACCCTTATTACGGGAACCCTTTAAGGAACCCTAACTACAAAGTATCTCTGAGGCCAGGGAACTGGCGACTTGGAGTCGCGAGGCACAGAAGGCTCTAAGTTCAGGAAGTCTTCCAACGTCTCCTCAGTTGGGGTTTTGATCTCTGTTGGGGGTTTAGGGTTCACGGTTTAGGGTTTAAAGTTTCGGGTTTATGGTTTTAGGTGAAGTCCCTTTCTACCCCTTGCTTCTCAATTAAGATGATGAAGGGAGCCTTCGCGCTTCACGTGTAAGTGCTGTCGCAAAGCGGAGGAATCGCAGAGCACCCTGGTGCAAGGCGATTCTGCGCAAGCCCGCTTGGTCGCCAGAAAGGGCCGTTTGGCAGCCATGCGGTTTCGAAATGCACGGGGGGCGGTGGAGAGATCGGCCCAAAGGGGGCCGCGATAGGACCCGAAGGCCCTAAAGTTCCTTTTGGGGTTCATATTTCGAATCTATAAACCCTAAACCCTAAACCCTGATCTTATGAGGTAATCCCAACAAGGAACTACTATGGGGCCTCTGGGGATGCCTACGACTGTTGTCGCAGGCGAAGACAGCACTGGCGGCGCCTCAGCTTCGGCTAAGTCCAAGGAAGCTGCATCTGGATCCCGCTCGATCTTAGGGTTTATAGGGCTTTAGGGTTTTAGGGTTGAGGGTTCTAGGGTTTTAGGGTTTAGGGTTTAGGGTTTTAGGGTTTCGGTTTCTTTGGTCTCCTCATTTCGCGGGGACTGGCAGGGCCTGGTAGGGGCCCCGAGAAGGATTTAAGCATCAGCATTTTTTACGAGGATATCCCTACCCTATTGGGGTTCATTACAAGGGGATTTTTGTGGGATATACCTATCCCATGATTGCGTATGTTCTGTTTATGAACCCCGATTGGGGCCATGTAAGATCTAGACTCTATCTCTGTCTCTATCTCTATCTCTCTCTCTCTCTCTCTCTCTCTCGCGGATTGAACGAGGTGCGTATTGTTGTTGGGTATTTATATTACTGTCGTCCGAAGCTCCTTTCGCACTTGAGCCCGGAAAATGTCGGGGTTTAGGGTTGATGGTTTAGAGTTTAAGGAGCTATCGCGTAGTCATGGGCAACTCTTACCTCGTACGGTCTACTCAGAAATAAGAAGGATCCTACTTGTACTATAGGTAGTAGAGCCTCGTTGTTTGTCCCTTGACTTCAAAACATGAACTTGCATGCGAGCCTCGCGTGTTGCCTTTATCTTTCATCTCGGGCCTAGATAGTTAAATAGAACCCGTGACTTCAAGCCCTGCAATATGCCACAGGTCGCATAATGCGTCAAGCGGAAACTCCCAAATCGCCAAGAAGCGCAGGGGGAGGCAGGGGAAGGAGTCCCTTCTTCCTCTGCTTCTGTGAGCTCCTGAGACAAGCTTCGAGGAGAAATGTAGGGATCTTCAGGGCTTATAGGGTTTATAGGGCTGAGGGATTATAAAAGGGTTTGTAGAGAGTTTATAACGTTAGGTAGGGCCCTTTAGGGTTTAGGGTTGGGGGGATCTTTAGGGCCCAGGGCTAATAGGGTTTAGAGCCTTGAGTTTAGGGTTTTGGGTTTAGGGTTTGGTAGGCATCTTTACGGTTTCGGGTTTAGGGTCGCGGAGTAGTGTAGGGATCTCTACGGTTAGACAACTAGAACAAAGAACCCGGCAATCCTTAAAGTACTCTTACGGTAATTATTAGTCTTCTAGATCACCGTGAACTTGCTCTATGAGGCTTTGGTCTAGGTCAGGCGGCTCAAATACAGTACGCAGAAGGTCACTGGGACACGAGACGTGAAGCTCAAGTCACAATTTTTCACAACCTGGTTGAGGGTTTAGGGCTTGAGCAGGGCTGTTACGCCAAAGGAAGATGAAGGCCTGGGTGTAATTTGTTGGCAGTGCTGTCTATGATAGGGGTCGGAATAATCAGCAATGGATGTTCCTCGAGTCCTTATGCGATCAAACTTGACATGCCCTCCACCCCATCTGACAGCCAGTTAAGGGTTTAGGTATAGGGTTTAGGCTGTTTTTCAATTTCCTTTTTCCGTCCGCAGGACCGCACTAGGATTTAAGGTATAGGGCTTAGCTTTACAGTTACGAAAGCTATAGTCACTTGAGGGTCCCAGTCAACAGAATGGGGCCATCCTTGGGTCGCAGCATGCCTGCGTAATATGGGGCCTAAGTAACTACCAATACTAGTTTGGAGATTATACTTTGTGGTATGATATACCGCAGAGCCCTATTCTGACTATTAAGGCACCTATAGATTAGGGCTTCGGAATGCGGGATTTTTTGGACCTATCATTCTATGATGCTTCGAGGTAAGTATAGAGCGGGCTCAAGATTTGCAATCCCAAAGGGTCCTAGATACCTACATACACAGTAGAATGTAGGGTTGCTAATATGGGAATCACTATGATGGTTTGATAGAGTATCACCCATACAGGTACTTCGGATCCCTTGAGAATTTAGAGAGATCCTGAACAGACGCTAGCTCACAGCTGATTAGGAGCCCCGACCCTAAACGGTTTAGGGTTTAGGGTGTACGGGTTCCCACATCAGGCATCTCGAAACGAATACCACCTAGACCCACATAGCTCTCTGAAGTCCTCATCCGTCGTCTCGCTGACCGACACGATTCCGTCTGCACTGACCTGCCATGAGTCGGAGAAGCAGATTCCCCAGGTTTTATGGTGTAGGCTCCTGCATCAAACCCGGCTGTAGAGTTCTGGCAGGTCTTCTGGGCATTGTTGTTTTGTGCCTTCCAGCTGTCGAAGCTTATTTGGGTTCAAGGTTCAAAAAATGCGGAGCTAAACCTCAAGTCGGATCCCCAGCGCCCGAAGCTTCGCGCTGCGATGCCTTGCAGCGAGCGACACAGAAGCCCTTCTCGTTCAGGAAGATGCCTTCCCTCGGCATGCCATTCTAGAAGCGACCTCGGGACGGGCGATTCCCAAGCTGTTCTACCTTGGCCCTCTACTTAACACTTCGGATACTCATAGATCAGATCCTCTTAAGCTCAATGAAATATACCAATGGCCGCTAAAAAGCTTCTGAACGTATTCGTTTATGAGATCCTCTTGAGCGCGATGCAGGAAACAGCAACATGTACCAAGGGCCCACCTAATTTTGTGGGAGTCGGAACACAGGGGTCTGGAGAACCGCCGTCCACACACAGATAAAGCAACAACTCCTTTGTTTAAAGATTCACAAGTTCAAAAGGATTCAGGAATATGCCAAAGAGTCAAAATATACAAGAACTGAAAGGAAGGGGGGTACTTGCTCTGAATGCCTTTTCTAGTTCCATCGAATGCGAGCAGTTGAGATGCATACTTGAGCGATGAGCATGTAAGCATCTTGTAAACGTAAACCCTGAGCCCTTAATCGTTAATTGTAGACAGCCTCCCAAAAAAGACGACCTCCGACTTGGTACCACCGGGCAAATCCAGAGACCCAGCTACCAACATATTCATTTATGATGACATGAACTGATATTACTCCTTATGCCTGTACCAACATTTTTAGCACCATACCGTGTACCTGCAAACCTCGGTCCAATGATATTGTTACGTGAAGGTCCACATATCATGACGCCAGGATCGCCCGAATATTTGGCCAACGGCCGAAATGCCCGTCATAAAGAACCCTGAAAGGGTAACCCTGAAATGGAGACCTTAAAAAGGGAACCCTTGAACGCAGCCCTTTAATTTAGCTGTAAATTTAACGGAACCCTTTTTACAGTGCCAGGGACCGATGAAGGCTTCATAGTTGGTGCTGCTCCAAAAGAGTCTTCCTGCGCTTTCAAATCCACGGATTAGGGTTTAGGGTGTACTTAGAAGACCTTGGGACTTAGTAATTGGGCTATAAACAAGGCAGATATAGTTATAACTATATATATATATAACTCTAATTAAGGTACTTGTAACATGACTTGCTAAGTCCTATGACCCTGCACGCAGGGTTGAGGGATTAGGGTTTAGGGTCTAGGATCTTGAGGACAAAGGAGATGAAGCAAAGGGTTCGCCAACTTTACCGGATAATTTGTCAGGTGCTCATGACAGAAAGACAACGTTGGGTGGCCCATGAATGCTCCTGTGGGTTAGTTAAACGACCAAACCCTGCTTTTGGTGGGTTCGTATTATAAACCCTGATACGGAATTCAAAGGGACCCTACAAAATAGTAGGTTTCGGTAGGTAAGGTATGCTCGAACTTGAACATAACAGAATGTAGTGGGATGCCGATTCTAAGTGCACGTTCCAGGGATAATGTTATGGTGTTCATGTTCAACAGCACATCGGACGGCTTGTCGCGCGAGTAATGGTCTTTATGCAGAGCAGGAAGCCCGGTCAAAGGCTTTGTGTGCAAACCCTGAACCCCAAACCCTAAACCCTACCAGGGTCATACCCTCCCTCGTGTTTCGGGTGGTTACGATCTGTTGTATAGAAAAGTAGGTACGGGCTGGTATATGATCCTATATAAACATCGTTACAAGTGTAGCTGTCCACGGTCAATCCCTGAACCGCTGAACGCTATATCTGATATCCCTCAACCCGCAACCCCCAAACCCAACCGAGAAAAGCCAGAAATCCCCCTATGCAACTTATAAGGTACCTCGCCTTTCACCCCTACAGACCCTCCAAGCCCTTAAGCGCATCCTCTTCCATGTGGCACTTCCCCTACGAACTCGCCAATGTAAATGGCACCGCCGGCAGGATCGACAAGCGTGTCTTCGTAAACCTGCGGTTGTCTTGCTTCGGGCTCCAGGGCTGGGTGAGTTGGGGCTTAGGCAGGGTTGAGGGGTCAAGGGTCTTGGTCATTCCAACGTTCGGAGTACACTGTTATTTTATTTGTTCAAGATCAGGGTACAGGAATCCGGTTCTTTGTGTGAGCGCGTAGATTATGGCACGAGGCCTTTACCCAAACCAACACGAGTAGCGGTAACATAATGGCCCAACAACTACGAGCCATTATTCTACCTACTTTCGGTGTCCAAGTACTGATGATTCAGAAAATCACGGAGCAGCAGCACACTTGAAGCAGCCACCGCAGAGCTGCATCAAAGGCAGTTGTTTCAGGGGGAGGGCTTTACATAAGGGTTCGCACGAAATCCCTGAACCCTACACCCGAAACCCTGCACCGCAAACCCTAAAGCCTCAACCCTGAAATTAATATCTTACAATATTCGGGATCCTACTTTAGCTTCTAAACCGCTTGAACACCGAATCCTCAGCCAGGCTGCAAACCTAAACCCCTCGAAGCCCGCATCCTCAACCCTGGGGTATGCATGACCTTGGAACCCTAAAGTTTGCGAGTGAATTATGCCTGAACTGATAGAAAGCATTACGGGAGAATGAAAACTCAATAATTCTCGCCTTCGTAGTCCCTGCAGTGTTCCTTTTCATCCATGTCCTGTCCCTAGGCACTCAGCAATTCTAAATGCATAAGTCAAGCAACACCATAAACACAAATTGAATAACAACTCTACAGACTACACCTGAAATTAGCTACTTAATCTGATCCGGCGAGGCCACACACCTCGCACCTGAAAGGAGGCTCTGTACAAAACACCTTCGACGACCAAAACCTAAATCCTGAATTCTTGCCTTTGGACCCTCGGACGCCTACATCGTACACCCGGAATCCTAATCGCCCTAAATCCTAAACCCTGAACCCACATCGCCCCAACCTTTCTCCTAGACCACCTGGAAGATCATGGGGCTTAGTAAGTAAGGTTATAAGTACTTTAATTGGGTCTTGCAGCAATGATCGTAATCGTTACATTATCTATATCTCATAACCCTAGTTACTATAAGTCCCACGATCCTCTAGGCAGACAGTATTCTGCACGGCGCCTTGCCCTCTAGGAGGCTCGCGGCCTGGGCCAGAGGCTCTGAATGTACGGTCTTCCTCGAACCCTACCGGTAGTCTCGAGTATTCTTCGTTTTTTTGCGGTTACCTTTAGAGGATCCTAGATCTAAAGGTTGTCTTGTGGGCTCCCAACTCTAAAGCTTGTCAAACCAAAAAATGGAACTACAATGGAGACTATAGCTTGGATGCCCAGTAACCTAGGAATAAAAAGGGCTCCCTTTTTTAAAATGGTATTGGGTAACTTTATAAGGAACCTGGGACTACAAAAAGGGAATAAGGGCAGTACTGGGCATCCTGGATAGTAATTATTGCAGGCAAACCCCCGACCGGCATTGGCCCTACACCGAAACCCTCAACTCTAAACAGAACCTATACCTTAAACCCTAACTCAAAGGGACAGAATCCCTCGACCGCAAACCCCTAACTCGAAGCCCTTTAAGGTCTAGGTCGTAGCCTTTTCCAACACTTGATGGGGGTGGGCTTGAAAACTCAGGCACCGAGTTTAGAGAGTTTCTATAAGGGCTTTATATGTTGTTTCGTGCGGCTTAAGGCTTTAGGGTAGACGGGTTTAAGGTATCAGGGCTTTTCTATGTGTTTTTGTATTATCAAGGGTCCAACGAAGCTCTAGACGAATTGGCGGCGGGGTTAAGTGTAGTTATGCTGATCCTTATTTGCTGCAGCGGAAACAGTTTCAGCACTGAGCGACGGGTTGCGAAGACTAAAACCCTAAACCGTCCTAAGCCCTTAATCCTCAAACCCTAAACCGCCCTAAACCCTGAAACCCTACAGCCTGTAGCGAAGCTAATCGGATCCTAACCGTCCTAAACTCGAGCAAACCCCCAAAACCTGTAGCGAAGCCAATCGGATGCAAGCAAGGTGCCGTCTTATCAAAGACCACACGGCGGTTGGCTTCCTCCGCACCCAAGGCACCAAGGGCACCGCCTGCGATGGTGCGTCCCGGTGGAGGGTTTATAGGGTGGGTGTATAGGGTTTAAGGTTTATAGGGTTTGGAGTTGATAGGGTTTAGGGTTTATAAGGTTTATAGGGTTTAGGGTTTATAAGGTTTGTAGGGTTCAGGGTTTAGGGCTGAAAGTGTTTATAGGGAAGAGCAAGGATTATGGTTGAGAGGTTGAAAATGGGGTGTGGGCTGCAGGTGTTTACCCAAACGGTCCCAAGTACCCATATAGTAGAATGTAGGGTCTTTTAACTAGGAAACAGTACTGTGGTGCTATGATTTGGGAAAGTATCCCTCGTTTGGGCCAGGGACAAGGGATTTGACGTGACATGGTTTCGGGCTGCACATGGCTGCACGAAGGTCTTCAAATCTTGAAGGTTGTACAGTCGAGAAGGCTTCAGATCTCCCATCTTGCATGTTCAGGAGCCAGCACCTAGAGACTTACCGTGTCGGAATTCAAGTTCTATGCTTCCAGGAAGTTAAGACACTGGGCTGGCGAAATTGGAACCAGGTTTGGGCTGCGGGCGTGAGGTTTGAACGGCCAGCGGCCGCACAGTGCTTCCAATTGGGTGCTCCAGTCATCTCAAGAAGGAGATTTCAGATTTGTCAGAGTAGCCTGACTGCCGCATCCAATCGTTCAGCCCGGGCGAAAAAGCCGTAAGCCTTGAACTCTACACACGAAGACACATATTGTATGTGTAAACATGATACGTAGTCCCAGAACTCTCCATGTGCTGGTCCTCAACCTTGATCGAAAAACACCCTCTACCAATGACCTCAGCTCGCGCTAGTCCCTAAGACCCTAAACCATAAACCCTGGACCCTAAACCCAGATACCCAAACCCTAAACCCATAGGGTTCAGGCGCACCTCCCAGACATTGCACACCGCCAAGCGTGGGCGACTCCCCCTCCTGAAAAAGGAGGTGTGGGATTCAGGGATTCTCAAGATTTGTGGGTTTACCTTAAGGACGGGTGTACTGCCCTGAGGAACGGTACGATGCATCAACGGTTACGATAAGGCTACTGGGCATCTGGTGCACAGAGCTTATGTGCTCCGATGAGGGTCTCGGGATAATACCGATGCTGTCGACACGCGTTCGCACGTGTGACCGCTTTCAGACAAGGCTTGGAGTTCCCCGGCCTGAGATTCGAAACATTGCATTACTTTCGACCCGAAGATGACAAAATAAGCCTTGAGATTGGGCGGATGCATTCGGGAATAGCTGCTGGGATCCCCAAAACGTAAATGGGGTGGATTCGGGGCGTGAAGTCGGCAGAGCTAGAGACTCCAAAACCCGTTGATTAAGGAATATAACTCATAACCGCCACTGGGCCATCCGTGTAATTAGGATTTCAGGTATACTGACTAGTTAATTAATGAAGTGTCTTGGAGTTTCTGGCTACTAACTTATATACTGCAGTTCTGGCCGTTGTTCGAGCCGGGCCAGTTTATTGTCATCCTGCTGCTGGCCTTCTTGCAACCCCAAGGATTGCTGTCTCTTTCCTGCAAGAAAGCCCAGGCCCTAATGCCCCAAAACCCGTACTGTTTCGGCGGACTCTACATCCAAGAACTCAACAACTTCCAGCCCTGATTCAATACCCCAAGCACTAGACCCTAAGGCCCTAAATTCTATGATCGATCTGTTGAACTACTCGAGCCGGTATCCCGTCCTGCATCGCTTGCCCCTGGCTACAGCGGAGCGGCTTGAAATTTGATCGGGCCTGATACGGGGTCGTCGGTGCTTGATCCCCGCCACCTCCAGTCCTTGCTAGACTTGATTGCAAGCCGAGAACCGCACTAATAAGAATTTGGCTTGTAATGTCAGCTGCCAACCTCTGCCCTGACCTCCCCTACACTGTTAGGGTTTAGGGCTTTGGGCTAGCTTGCGGTCCGTAAATGGCCTCCTTCTCGCTCTGCACGTGGACAGCGCTCGCGGCAACACCCAGTCCCAGTGCAGTGCCTTCAAGGTGTTCTGCTTAAAGTGTCGAAGGACCTAGATACCCTGATCCTGAGGCAGGGTTCAGTGAACAGGAACTCCATCTTCTTGCGGTGACACGGAGCTAAGCCTAAAAAACTGTGAACCCTGAACCCTAAATGCTTGAGACCGAAACCCTTGAATGTAATTCTTGCCCCACACTCTAGGACAAGCCTGGGGTTGCTTGAGTACGGAGAAGTGGCTCGGCTCTGACAGTCGGATTCCTTTCAACCAGTGCGGGACCAGTCTCATCTCAAAAGACGCTCTAAGACCACAGGCTTAGCCTTTAGCCCCAAACATCCAATCCCAAGTTTCCGAAATCTCCACCAGATGCCTTCGACCACTTCAGCTTTGCAGCCTCCCACGCACTCCAACACTAACGACACAAGGCGTGACGTAATGTTGGACCCAAGTCGAGCATGGCGTGCACCGCAGAAAGCCAACCCTTGCCCAGCCCACCAACCTTTTTAAACAAGCAAAAGCAATGTAACCTAACCTTGAACCCCTCCAACCCAAAGCCCGCATAGATTCTGACTTCACACGCCGAGATATAGATCGTTATTATCAAGAACCCTGCTAGCAATTTCCCTGGCAGAACCCTCATGGTTACCGTCACAGCAACCCTTGCAACTAAAAGTTCCTAGGTATTGACTAAAGGGTCCTAGGTATTGTTATGGGGGATACTTCCCCAAATCATAACAGTAATTCCGAAGATAGAAACCCTACACATTCTTCTACATAGGTACTTTGGGCCCTTTGCATTATGAACCCCCACACACCAAAGCCAAGATCCCGGCCGGCTGCGGCGCAGCGAACAGCGCAGCCGAGTGCCAGGCCCCAACCACCCAAGGGGATCGTAACCTTGGACTTCCGGTTTGACTTAGGGTTTCCCAGGGTTTAGGCTTAGCGTTTAGGGTTTAGGCTTTGGGATTAAGGGTTCAGGGTTTAGGGTTTAGGGACACTTCAGGTCTACCTACCTATACTTCCCCTTGAGGACAAACCCTAAGGGTCCACGTACTCATATAGCATATACATTGGCCTCAAAGTACCTGTATATAGGGACTACTTTAAGGCCAAATGGTTGATACTGTTTGGGTACATGGACTTTTGGGGGAAATGAACTCGAAAAGGGTTTTTAGGTTCATGTAGCATATGGGGATTCATAACCTCGGACACTGCAGGGTCTATGTACCTTTTAGGCTCCATTGTGGTTTCTTTTTGGTTACTCAATTACGGCTTAGGATTTAGGGGCTTATAACCAGTTATATTAATGTGTGTATATATATATATAGAGAGAGAGAGAGAGAGAGAGAGAGAGAGAGAGAGAGAGAGTGAATCCTGTCCATCGAAGTGGTTGATTAGAAACGAACCGCAAATTTGAGACTTTAGGAACGGCAGCCGTGTTTCCCAGTGTCTGCTTTGACGGGTATCGGTGTCCTTGCAATTCAATGTGCTTTTGAATCTGTGCTTCCCGACGCAGGTTGGTTCAGACACCTTTTGTAAGAGTCTATACAGCCTAGACGTCTGCCATATTCGGCGCCTACCCTCTTCATGAATATAATACTGACAGCTGCTGGGACGTTAGTAGGAGGAGTATTAAGTTCTTACATTGCTGCATTACAATACCCAACACCCTAGTCGGCTCGGGGATGGTTCAGATGCAGAGCCCGAAACCTCCCGGGTCAGTTCGCTTTGGACTTTTGGGTGGCAGGAATTGGGGCTTAGGATTCAAGCTTGAGGCTGAAGGCGTAGAGTCTAGGTAGGGCTCCGTCGTAGTATGTCTTCCCTAAACACTCCTAAACACTGGGGTCTTGATCAACTTCCCAACCGTCCAGCAGCAATAAAGGAGGCAGCAGCAACAGCCATGCTGGCCTCAAGGCGAAAGGTATCAAGCTGTGGGGCTTAGGGCTTTGAGGATTTTGGGTTTGCGGGTTCGGGAGTGATTGTTAGCGGAGGGGCTTTAAGACTGCTCTGCTGCAGCGTCTGCACTGCGACTGGCCTGATTCACCAGCTCATTCTGCTTTGCGGCTGTGATCACCTGTCAGGGACCCGTGACCCTTAACCCTACGCGCTGCCAGCTCATGGCCCTGGCATCCTACACCCGTACTTCCTAACCTCGCAAGCACAAGCATGGCCAGCAACACGATGCCAGCAAGCCTTACCCCAAGTACCTATACCTATCATAAACTCTCCCAAATATGAACCTAGACCACTTCTGTCCAGAACCAAAATACCTCATAATCGGACTTGTTTTCGGTCGTTGAAAGCTTTGCTGCGGTGCTTGCTACTCCTGCCTTCGTTGCTTTCCCTACACCCTTATCAATGCTAGCCTTCTTTACGAAACAAAAGTTTCTTGCTGCGACAGAACACAAGCTCTAGACGAGAAGCTGCATCAGTCATTCGTTTGTGCCCTAATTAGGGGGACTTGTGGTTTAAGGGCTACTTTAAGGGGTTTCGGGTTCCCTTCCGGAGTACTATAGGGTTCGGGGTACTCTCGAGTTCCACAAAAGGGTCCTCTTGAAATCCTACACGCTGCTGTTCTCCCTTCTTTGCGTATCAAATCTGTGTCGACGTTTCTTCGTAACCTCCTAGGCCAAAGCCGAAACCTCAAAATCCCTACTCCAAAAACCCACCCCCCAAACCCCAAAAGCCATGACCCGCAAACACAACAAACAAAAATAAACCCCCCAGACTTAACCCAGGAGCCACGAAGCCGCAAAACCAACAACCCTGAACTTAGACCCCCCTAATACTGGGGCCTTAATAGTTTGAATAGGGTTCTGGGGCCCATTATGCTACAACTATATTAAGGAAATCCCAAAATAGTATAGGTAATGGTTAAGGCCCCTATGTTAAACTGCCCTAAACCCTAAACCCTGAACCCTAAAAAAGCTCTTGTGAAGGTAGATCTGGCGAACAGCTCCAGGGTTCAGGAGCAAGCAGACCAAATTTCACCTCCGGAGAGGGTTTAGGATAGGGGCGTGAATAATTAGAATAGGGTTTTGGGGTATACTATACGTGGTAAGTATTTAGGCTTCGACAGCAGGGCCTTTCTCCGATGCCTTTGGCAGTGAGTTGAAAGGTTTTCAAGGCTTAAGGTGGGTCTAGGGTTTGACGGGCTGTAGTGTCTGTTCCACCCTAAGCCAAGACTACAAAATAACTGCGAGTTTGTCTATCATTGAATTGGGGAGCAGACCGTCTTCAAGGCCAGCCGTCATCTCGTGTCGCATGTTGTGTTCGCGGCTCACGATGTAAATCTTTAGGATTAGAAGGATCCATGGGCTGGAAAAGGCTTGCCTGCGACAAAATCGCAGGAGGGGCAACGGCTGCACAAACTCGATGAGCAACATGATGATCGGACCTGTCGTGCAAAGCTTAGGGTCTAGACTCTTTCGGATTTAAACCTTGCGTGTAATTGAGTGCAGCCAGGTGAGGGTTCATGCACTTCCGAAGCACACGTTTTGGACTTCCTGCTGTGCCAGTGAGAGGCTTTCCAACAGCCTGTGATTGCTGCTTGGAGAGAGCACTGACATATTCATATAGCCTACTTCGCCTATAGACTCTACATAGACGGTCGTCATGCCGTACCACGGCGAACGACGATGCACCCTCGCCTCATAGGGCCAGTACGGACAACATGTTGCTTGCATTACAGTCGTGCCGCGTGCTGAAGTGCATGCTTTGCAAAGAGAACTTCATGGCGAACTCCCGCAAGCCCAGCAGTCGACCGAAATTCGTACTGTGCGAGCTCCACACGCTCTTCGCCTGCAACGTCAATTGCTGTGATGACCATCAGCGTCTTCTTGACGGCTTTGCCATTCTCTTCAGCTTCGCCGATGTCGGACGAATACTTCGTGAGACCGTTCCCTATCTGGGATACAGGCGAGAAGGTCGTGGCCTCCAAGATTTCTTCGCGAAGATGCTGAGGAAGACTCTGAAATGATGAGCTGTACTCTGGGGGTGATGCTGCCGCCTTGCGCCCGGTGATGTTGTGAGGGTTGGCGTCCATGAAGTCTGCCAACGATGGCTTGCTCATGCCATGACTGGGGTGGAAGCCTTTCTCCATGGCCTGGCGGCAAAAGAGCAAGAGCACCCTCTGCGCCCAGAGCTGCAGGTCGCGCGGAACGCAGCCTTTGGATGCTTCGGCCAACTTGTGGCGATCGGATTCCTGAGTCATTGAGGCAGGGTGGTCTTATGGATGTGTATAAGGTTTAGCGTTTAAGGCCAAGGGTCTGTTGCAGGTACGAAGTGGCCACATTCAACTTGAGTACACATTGACACCCTTGGGGCTTGGCTTTCCAAGTGCAATCAAATTTCATCCAAGCACTGCGCATTCCGGTTCCAAAACTGCAGACACTGTTGGTAATTGAAGCCACATCCCTGGCGGCCGGGGCTGTGAATCGGACCATCACCAAAATCAACTTGCAACAGCACACGATGAAGCAAGTCTTTGGGAAATTGCTCGATATCCTTGTTGGTCGAGCCGATAATGAACAGAATGGCATCGTCCGCAATCCGTGCGGCACCATCAACTGCCTGCCTGATTTCTGACATGATGCCTTCATTGTTCACATATGTGTCCATCTCGTCCAACAGGATTACAGCCGACTTGCGGGTAGACACGTGATCGAGTGCCCGACGCATCATCGACAAGCCGTCCGATCCTACAACAGTGGCATTCACGGAATTTATCAAAACACATGGTATCCCGAAGAGGTCAGCCAACGCCCTGGCATGAGCGGTCTTACCTGTGCCCATAGGCCCAGTAAAGAGCAAGAGCGCCACCCTCTGTCTGCGATCCTGGCGCATGACGGACTCCGCCGCACGCCAATGTTCCCACATCATCGAACAATGGAGATGGCTCAGCCTTCGGAAGTTTCTCGCAAATCCGCTGGAGCACTTCGACCACCTGTGTGTCCCCTTGAACAACTACCTTCGGCTCGACAGTTATTGGGGGTGCCACTGCGGGCGCCTCAACTCGATCCGAAAGCCATCCGAAGCCCCGAGCAACAAACTTGCCCACTTGCGTGACTGCCCGACGCAAGAAGCCCCCAGAACCCCATGGCGCTTCAAAAAGGATGAGATCCCAAAGAGGTCGAGCCGAAGGCTTGATGTTGAGCCAAAACCTACAGGGCCGAAGGCCGGCAGAGGTGAGCTTCACGGCATCTGCTGTAAAGCTCCGATACCTTAGCACTAAGGCTAAGGCGGAAACCCCATCCGAAAGCTTCCAAAGAATCGCAATTCGGAACAAAGTGCAGCAAGCAAACCGGAACACCTGTCATGCTGGGACCCGACAGATATGTGATAACTAATCAGTATCGACTTGTCATCGCTTCATGGGAGTCATTTAGGCGACGCAAAGTCTCACACACAAACCCAAACTCTCTCCGAGTAGCCAAAGCGTGCCGGGCGCACAAATCCGGTTGATCTTGTCGTCCAGGAAGCCGGGCAGCAGTGTTTAAGTCTCAATTGAAACCCTGAACATTGAAGTCCTAGGTCCTAGACCTTACACCCCCAAAACCTAAACTCCTACACCCTGAACCGAGGTCTTGCATCGCTCCGATGTGCGGCGAACAGGTGCGTCTTCTGGAATCTAAGGACAAACCTGTTGCCTACACCCTAAATGGGAACTGGCAGGTGGAGTGTGGGCATTCGGCATTTGCGACTAAGCCTCAAGAAATCCGTGTCTGAAACCGTCTGTCTGAAACCCGATTTGCAGCCCCTGAACGCGCAATCATGCCCAAATTGGAAAACACAAACTGCACCCAGAGCCCTCAACACTCGAGGAACCCGGCACCTGAAGGAAGCCTTATGGAGCCCTCAAAAGGAACCCTTCGAAGGGCTCCGATAGTCCCTAAATCATGTAACCCCAAACCCTAAAACCCTTAACCACTATCCCCACAGTAAACCGGATAAAGTTGGAAACCGGAATAAGGCCAAATAGTGCTGGGATTCCCTATACATTACTCTGAAGGATTGAGGCTAGTGGGTTTCCAACTTTTGGGCTTCTACTGTAAAGACCCAAAGTGGCCCGTTAGAGGCTCCAACAGCCTCTGCGGCCCGGCTAGGATATTCTCCGCGCACGGCCTGCAGCCGATCCTCGCAAAAGGGACTTCTGGAGGCTTTACAGTAGGGTTTCGGGAGTTAGGATTTTGTAGGCTTCAGTCTTTAGGGTTCGGGCATGCGCATCTTCAAAGAATGATGGCCATGGTATCGGATTCAAAAGCTGGAATGCCGGACGGCCTTGTGCGAAATTCCGGGAAATGAAATTTAGGTTTCGACGTTTGCCAACCTTCTGTCAAGCTCAACGGCATCATCCATGTAATGGACTCCATATTGGCCAACATATGGTACATCGAGGAATTGACAACAAATGCTAAACCAATACTTGGAACAAGGAATCACAAGCCCTACGCATAGTCTTCCTTATAGCTTCGTTTTGGGCTCGCTGTCCTCATCACAGGATCGTCGCCATGAGTGTGGTGAACCCAAATAGTTAGTGAGCACCATAAACCTCCCTAGACCCGCCATCTATATACCTTAAATGCCCACTATCTGGGATCATATACCCCTCTGTAAGGGTACGACGAGGGTCCAGGTCCTGTTTTCCTCCTAGGCCTAGACCTTCCCTAAACCCTAAACCCCCAAACCCTAAACCCTTAGTGATGCAGCTGAAGCTTGGAGGCGGCACTGCTGAGACCGCATCCGAGTGGCTACGCAGGCGTCTGTGATCTCCTGTCAGAGTCGCAAATTATCCACAGGCTCCAAAGTTACCTACACAGTAGAATGTAGGGTTTCTATCTTAATTAGGAATTACGACTATGATTGGGCAAGTTTCCCCCATAACACGACGCTTTGGAACTTACCCATTGGTTCCATAGTAGTTAGTTGATTTTTGGGATGACCTCATAGGATCCTAGATATAAACCACAAGAAGGAACTACAGTGTAGCCGATGGGTTAACAGGCCGTTAATCACCTACAAACCTCATATCCTGGCTCAAACTACCCTCAACCCCTGCGTTCGCCTGAAGATGTGGGAGCGCCTTCAAGAAAGAAATATCGTACATGCCGCAACCCCAACCAGCAAGCTCCGTTCTCGTCTTTGCTAGGAGGCTCGGGTTAGGTACTAAATCAGCATTGTATCAACCCTGTCTCCCCCATCCTTGCAAACTAGAGTGCCACAAAGCAAAACTCCGAAGGGATCGCCGAGCGGACGTTCCCGACATGGCCTTGCTTCAAAGATGCAACCAGGTTAACAAAACTTGCCAATCGCCGGCCCTAAGCCGAGAATCCCAAACCGAAAATGCTGCCGGGCTTCTATATGGAACCCGAACTAAGAAGTCTTCGCAAAGCACTGCAACAAACATAAGGCATGCATGCATCCTTGCAGAACCACCCTTAGCTTCTCCTGACAGATCTTCACATGTCACTTGGCCCTACACACACTAAACCAAAAAGTCTGAAACCCTTTGAACCCTATAAGACAGAAAACCACCATAAAACCTGCTAAACATAAAACCCGCGCAAGTGCACACCCCAGACCAGGTCAATCAGCTTCTCCTGACAGAGCTTCACTTGCCGCGCCCGCTTCAGCTCGGCGATGATGCCATGCAGATCGCCGATTGCCTCCACCAGTAGGCCTCGTTCGGGGTTTAGGGCTTATGGGGCTTATGGTATGGGGCTTGGAGGCTTTAGGCTTTGTAGGCTTTACGATGTCGATAGGGTTTGTGGGGATTCGTGAACTTTATTGGTCTATACAGTAGGGTTTAGGGCCCTTCGCAGTTTTGGGTTTACACGGCCTGGAGTCTCATGGATTCGGATTAGCACTCCGGCGTCATGGTCAGTTTGGTCAGTTGATGCTCTCGAGGACAGGAATAATATTGCTGAGCACGTACGCATCGAAATCAAGCTACCATCATCAGGAAGACCTCTTGCGACAAAAAACCTGTGCTCGACTCAAAGTGGAATCTTTAACAAGAGCCCAGTGAGGGATACGATGAAGTTATCGGAGGGGTCAGAGGAAGAGGAATATCAAGACCATGACTGACCGTACTGTAGCATGCCCACCCAAAACCCTTCATTTCAGAGTATACTGCAATATATAATATAGACCACACGCCACGTGCGATTGCCCCAAAGGGTCCTCGGTACTGTTATGGGGGGATACTTTCCCAAATCATAGTAGTAATTTAGTAATTCCTATTACAGAAACCTTACATTCTACGATGGTTCGGTACGTAGAACTGCTTGGGATTGCATGACGAAGAGCCGAACTCATGGCCGCCCACCATCTTCTGGTCAACGCTGACCTTTGCTTGCAGGCTTTTTGGGTTTGGGACGTAGAGCTTCGGGTTGGGTTCAGGTTGTCGGCATTTAAGGTGTATGCGAGGTTTAGGATTTTGAGAGGTTGAGGGTTTATATGCGTTTTCCGGCCTTCATGGATTTAATCAGAGAGCTTTGTGCTGGGCTTGCGGGGCTTGCAGGGTTTAGGGTCCTGGCATCTGGGGAGATTGAACTGAGGTGTGTATGGTTTTGAGCGGGCGATTCTGACGGCGAAGGGTATTGTCAAGCTACCCTAAGGGTCCATGTACTCATATAGTATATAACGTAGTCCCTATAGGTACTTTGGGGCTCATGTATCTCTATATGGGTACATGGACCCTTAGGGCTACTATTGCTATCGCACGTTGTTGCCCAATTGCGGAGTTCCCTTGCCGAAGAACTTTGACCTGTCAGCTATGATAAGACTATCATAACACCGACAGTTCAAGGGTTACCCACTCCGCTAGGAAGGTTCTCAGAATTTCTTTGAAGCATTGCGACCTCGCACAGTTCCTGGTCCCACAACTCAATCTTTCTACCACCTCTCTCCTGATTACACACTCAAGTCCTCGGCAAACAAATTGCAGGAGCTCTCAACCCGCCCCCTAAACCCTGAACCGTCTGAACCCCAATTCGGAGCACTTCTGACCCCCTGTTTGCCCTTGGCCCTCCGTTTCATGGCCAGCGGCACAGAGTACCCGGACATCACTCAGGAAGCCCGGATACCTGAATCTTTAGTTGTGGTGCATTTTAGGGTTTAGGACAGGTTTAGGGTATTGGGTCTCGGGTATTTCAGTGTTAGGATAAGTCTAAGGTTTTGGGCCTTTTTTTATACACTTATAAGTATCATAATCCCGACCAGGATCCCATTAGGGTACTTATAAGTCTACTCACTACCTGCTTGCTAAAGTTCCCCGGACCCGCCACCTATAGGCAGGGTTCCAGCAATCACCGGCCGTAGCATCTCTGGGTCCGAGAGGCTTGGCTGTTTTTGCTTGCAGGGCCCGCCCCCTTTCAACTGCTTTTGGGGCCTTAAAAATAAGATTAGGGGTTTGGGCTGGTAAGGAACCCTAAGGAATAATATTGGTAATTATTTAGGCTTCTATAGTAATCTCGACCCCATAAACCAGTGTCAAGGCTTCAACACTTCCTACCAACTCCAAGCTGACCTACATACCCTTCGGTTCAGCTTGAGTTTCTCTTCGGGGTTGCTAACAAGAAAACAAGTTTGCAGTAGCTCCAGACCCAGATGCAGCATCAAGCAGTCTCGATTTGCCAGGTACTGTAACAGCTCCTTCTTCAGATCCTCCGATCGGCATTTCTGCTTGCAGCTTTCGCAGGTGGGTTCAGGTTCAGAAAATGCAGGGCCCGGGTGCCATCACGGTTTTGTCTGTTCCGGCAAATCTAGCCAAAGAGTCCCTCCAGCCGCTCATGTCTCAATGTTTCTAGTTAGGGTTTAGGGTTTAGGGTTTAGGGTTTAGGCTTATCTGAAATACGCTGGCAGTCTAGAAGCTCTACGCCCTCTTCCTTATCCCGAAAACCCTGAAAACTAACCCAGAAACCTAAACCCCATGCAAACCCTCTCCTCGCAAAGCTTATATACCCTACGCATGGCTCAGAACCCTAAACCCCAAACCCTAACATCTATGTACCCTAAAACATGAACCCCAAACCCTTGCACTCTCAAATATGCATGGCTCATGTCTGTGAGCCAGCAGCAGTCCTTGAAAGCATCTTTCGGCGTGTCCACCTCGTCGTCGGAGTCCTGTCTGTTGGGCTTGGGGTCTTGACGAGGCTCCATAAGTCTTACTACCTTGGGGACAATATACTATGAATTCCTGAACGTTGAGCCCTTGTAGGGTATTTCGCCCCTAAGGTAGCAAGGGGGGTAGGGTTCTTCGGTGCTGAGGTTTGGGTCTGGGGTTTGGGATAATCGAAATGTAAGCAGGTACTTGGACCCTTCGAAAAGATGATTGGGACTTTGCGTCGGCACGGGGCATACGAGCTTTTACAGCTTGTAGACTAGTTGACATGCTCCCGGTGCCACCGGTGTCCCCGTCTGCGCGCAAAGCATCGCACTGAGAGATGACAAAGGTCAGCGCACCTGCCACCGAGCAAGATGGCATCGTCCAGATCTGACAAAATCCGTTAATGAAGGCATACATTATTCCTCAAACTGTAGTTAGTAGGATCCCCAGTATGATTTAAGATGCATGCTTCAATTAAGGGATAGTCGAAGGTCTGGGTGGCAAGCGAGGCTCAAAGACGAAAAGACGACTCGACACCCGCGCAAGTTAATATAGCGGCGCTGAACAACCTCAACAGACAGAATTTTGGAATCCGTCAGCCATCAAGCGTCCAAAACCCACAGATACTACATCTGTAAACCAGCGTCACTTCACCTGACAGAGAAAATGTCCAAACATCCGCACGACATCACAGTATCTGAAGCCCGGAGAGTCACGTCCATGTACCTTATAACGAACAAACAGTATATAATTTGTCCCCAAGGTACCTATATTTCAGGGGCTACTTAAAATGAATCCCAAACATATACTACATGGGTACATGGACCCTTATACCCTAAACCCTTGTAGAACCCTTATGGATCCCTTAAAGGAAGCCCTTTTGGTAGCCGTATAACGAAACACTATTTGGGCACATGGACCCTTTAAAGAGTGCGATCAGCGCCTGGGGTGGAGTAGAGGTGCGGTGCAAGGTCCGAAATGCGATCCAGCAACACAGCAAGGGAGTCCGACTTAACCTTGCGGTGCGGGTTAGGATTCAGGGTTTAGGGTGAAGGGTTTTATGTAGGCGCCCCAGTGATTTACAATGGTGCTCTGGGGCGCGAACCATGATCTGGCCCCTCATTTGTCAGGACACATACTCGGGTTTAGGATCAAAGGCTCAACTACGGTTGATGGTATGATGCAGGATTTGTACCATCAACAGTATTATCTGGGCTGAACATTCGAACGCTGGTGGCCTGAGGAGGCGATATGATGTAGGGCTGTTAAGGGTAGTTGTGGGGTCTAGGTAGACTCACTAGAAGCCCCAATGTACACCCCACCCTTCATAAGGTTCTCAGAAGGGACAGATGTCCGCAAACCCTAAACCCCAAACCCCAACTCGAAATCCATAAATGCCTAAACCCTATGTCCCCGGACCCTAAACGCCAAACCCCTAAGCGTTACACCTCCAGGCTTTGGGCCAGTTTTTAGGAGGCCATACTCTTGACAAACGGTAGCATGTAGGGATGTTCAGGGTTTAGCGGGATGCTTCGTGGGTTTAGGGTTTAGGTTTTCGGGTTTGGGATATGAGGGCTTCCCAAAAGAGTACGTCACTCTGTATAAGCCTTGCCAGAGAATTCCACTGAGAAAACTACCCAACCGTGCTGTTCTCAACTTTCTGCTACATAGGCGTAAGCCCAAAAAACTGAACCCGAAAACCATATACCCCTCAAAACACTAGCACTGGGTACCTTGGACCCTTCGAAAAAACCCTAAACAGCTCTCTGGGCTTATGGTTTAGCGTGACGTAGGGTTTAGGCCTCTGGGTGCTGCCAGAAGGGCGGAATTGTATTTCACAAGGATGATCAGGCCGTGGCACATGGAAAGGAGCTGTTGGAAGCAGTCCTGTAGTTGAAACGCTAATCTAGGGTTAGGGGCCTGATAGTTAGAGTAGGGTTTTGGGGCCCATTATAGCATAATTATAATAGGGAGCACCCAAAATAGTACTATTCAGGCCCCTATATTGCAAGGGCACGCGAAGTTTAGGGCATGATAGGAAGGCCTAAGAAAATTACTTTGAAGGGTCCGGGCAGACTACCCTGCACCGGCCAGAGCAGCTTCGTTTAGGAATGTCAGCGTGCTTCTGCAAAATCTTGTGGTTTCCGCGCAAGTTCAAGACTGTTCTCACATGATAAGTTTCGCTATCTCCCTCCCTCTCTCTCTCGCTCTCTCTGTCTGGCTCTGCGTGTATGTATGCTTATATTTGCGTAGGTATGCATTATATTATGTATGCATGTAAAAATATTATGTATGTATGTATGTCTGTCTGTCTGTATGTATAAGCTGCATGGAACATTCGGCTCAACATCTGAAAGAAACCAAGCAAAATCAGCCTGCAGTGAGCAATGCTCTCACGGCGGTCCTTCACCACGGGGTTGTCCGTCTCATCCTATCAGCGGCACATTTTCTAAGCTCTCCACTTCAAGTTGCTTCTTGAATGGCGAGTCCTATCTCTGAAATAGGTTTCCCTTTGTCTCCTAAGTAATAAGGGTAACCTTTTCCTGGTATTCATTCTCAGTCAGGGAACCCTGATATGAAAAGGGCAAAAGGGTATTACTGGGCAAGCTCTTTGTCTTCGGGCTGCGGCTGCGCTTGTCGCCTGCCCGAAGACTGTCTGTCTGCACTGCTTCGGATGACTGAGTGCTTCTTAAGCAGCCCTGTCGGCTCGTCAACAAAAAGTGCGGTTCCGCAAAGCCCCGCACCTGAATCCATAAATGGTAATAACACGCCCATACTATCCCCATCGATTGTTCTGTCATATATCACGCCCATAGCTCTACTTCCAACTTCCAACTGTGCAGAACCTTATTCTGTAGTAACTGTAGTATACTTGAAGACCCTACTCTAATTGGCATTATTCAGGCCCAAATACTAAAAACAAACAAACCAAAATTTAGGATTTTATAGACCCTAACTTCTCCTAATTGGCACTATAGTATGAAAGCCCGTAGTATATCATAAACAAACACACCAGTGAAGGTGAATTTATGGATAGTCTTGGAGCGGTCTCCTGCCCGGGCATGTCTACGAGACGCAGCGACCCGTCGCAAATGCCAGCAGAAACGAGCGAGTCGATGGGAGAGCAGGCCTGATAGGATGGCTCAAACCAACCACTCTTCTAAGAGCGTTAGAGGGTGTTTTATCAAAATGATGAAAAGTCGTCTACTTCGAGGGGGGTGAGGGGGGTTGGGGGCCCAAAGGCGACATAAACAGCATCTGTGAAACTCCACGGCGAGACACGACGAGGCTGCTACGCAGGGTTGAGGTACGTTTAGGTTGCATCCTTTAGGACCCTGCACTCGAATCCAAAATGATGATTCAAGGGTTGAGGGTTTCAGGTGGGAATCAGAAGGGACGGGGTGTGTCTTTAAGGGTCTGAATATTTCGACTCGGGGAGTGGTGGTTTATACCAGGAAGCTCTGATTACAAAGAAAATGCAACACTTCTAATCTTTCAGCGCCCTGCCTGAAGCTAAACCCTAAGCCCCACTGAGGCCCCAATCCTTTAAGCTCTGGTTTGAAGGTTGAGGGCCCTGTGGTTGTCGGGTGCAAGGTGATGTAGACCCTGGCCCGAACCACCGAAAAATGGTCAGGTAGTATCACTCAGGGGTCTTCATAAGGGCTTTTGTGTATGAGGTTTAATCAGGCGGTCGAGGTCTCTCTTTTCTCAAGAAACAGAGCTGAACGCGTAGTCGAGAAAATCTTATAACCCAAAAAACCAAGCCCGGACCTGTTAAGCCTGCTAACATGCTCTAACTAAAATCCATGTAAACCGAGGCGCCACGCACAGGTCGAGGATGTGTTTGCTCTCCTTTGCCGGCCGTGCTAAACACTGAACTGGGTAGGTTTCAAAATTAGGGTTCCTTTTTGGGTTTTTATCACAATACGGCACCTAATATTTAGGGTACCCAAGAAGGGACCATAATTTTGACAACCACCCAAGTGTCTTTGACATGAGCTAGCTGCAGTGGTTAGCGACTTCCGTCAGGTAACCCTGAACCCTAAACCCCTAAGACCCTAAACCCTAAATCCCTAAAACCCCTGAAACCTCTAAACCCCTAAACCCGGCTGAAAGGCCCCGGGACGGAAAACAGCTGAAGACTTCGAAGCCCGAACACCACCTGGAGGATCATGGGACCTAGCAAGTAAGGCTATGAGTACCTTAATTAGAGTTATGAGTAAGTATAAAAATAGTTACATTATATATAACCCCACTGCCAATTACTAAGTCCCATGATCTTCTGAGCACCCTGCCTCGTCGAGATAGACATCGGAGCCGTGGAAAGTCGTTATGTGGAAAACGTGTAGGGGCCTTAACATTGGAACAGGGTTTCGGGGTATACGATACCAGAGTTTGAACAAGGAGCCCCTAAGATAGTATAGGTAATGATGAAGGCCCCTAAATTCTACAAAAGACCTGCTTCTATGGGCCTCGCGCGAACTAAGGTGCTGCAGTATAATTGAAACAACAAGCAACCTGCTGGCAAGCGTCCCGTTCTCGCACCTGCGGCCGTTCATGTTCCGGGAGCTTCTGAATAGACTTTGAATGGAAGTGGGCACCGTTCGGTTTGTTCGGGGTATGTTGTAGTATAGCTATTGGGGTTTGACTGCTAGGTATCCCGTTCCCTACATTTATGTCCCGGGTATGGTTTCGAGTTTCCAGATCCTGAAAGCCTCTAGCAAGACCATCCAGGGATCCAATGAGCGGGCTAACCCCTACACCCTCGGCCCTGGATGAAGCCTTAAAGTTCAGCGTTTAAGGCCCTAGAGGAAACAGGAATGCCGACAGAACCTAGGCCACGCGGCAAACTCTGCACTTTCTTCTGGCATTCTGAATCCTCTAGAATCCACGGGTTTGGGGCTCAGGGGTAGTTTACGATTTAAATGTTTAGGGTTTAAGGGTGCTTTTGAATTCATCGGTTCAGGGTTTGCTGAGCAGGGAACCTTAAACCCTAAGCCCAACAGTGAAACGATGCAGCTGTTAGGTGAAAAACTGATACTCCAAAGCTCTTACAGTCCTCCACCCGGAACATCCTCCGTGTTTTGTTTATAAGGCTTGAAGCGTTGTCAGATATTTTGGGTTGCATCTGGACAACTTTGAAACCCAGAGCCTAGAAGTCTTGGTGGTTCGAAAACCTTGTCGTTAAGCTTTGTCAAACCCTAAACCCTAAACCCTAAACCCTAAAACCCAAACCCTAAACCCTAAACCCTAAACCCTAAAACCCAAACCCTAAACCCTAAACCCTAAACCCTAAAACCCTAAACCCTAAAACCCAAACCCTAAACCCTATTTGTGTCGGGTTTAGGTTTATAAGGCTTCGGCAATCCACAAGCCCTCAAAGCCTAAACCTACGGCCTATAGGCCCAAATCGAAAAGGCTCAAGACCCTAAACCTAAAACCCTTAAACCTAACCTACACCTAAACGGAAAAGACCTAGCACCATTATCCCTAAACCCCAGAGCCCCAAACCGCATGTGGTTGAATTCGCCGTTGTGTTCGGTAGTTGTCCGAGGCCCCGCCCACGGTCCTATCTGCACGGGATTTGATCCCCAACGCCTCAGCCAGGCCGAGTATGTGCGCTATGGTGGGGGTGGAGCACCACCCGATTCGTCACCTCTTGCGCTCAAAAACATCAAAGCGCTCCAGGAAGGCTCGTCTCGATCACAATGGAAGAGGACTCGGTGGCCACGAAACCACTCACGGCCTTTCCAATCAAAGTCCACGTTTGAGGGCACCAAATGCCGAAGGTCGAACTCAACCCCAACAAGGCCCGCGTGCCACTCCTCTCAAAAAGCCCTCTATCACGTGACCCTCAAACGAACACGAAAAGCCCCAAAACTGCCCCCAAACCCTGAACCCCTAAACCCTTGTGACAACCCTAAACCCCTAAACCCTAAACCCCTAAACCCTAAATCCTAAAGACCCAAAACTTCCAAAAGTCCCGGGGGCCTGCTCATTGAGGCTCTTGATCCGGGTCAAGATCTCCTTCCTCCCTTCGACAACCTGTGACGGCTCCGGAGTTCGTCAGGGCTCTAGGGTGCCTGCACGGGAAACCCAGAATTGTTCAGTTTCCCAGCCTTCTGGCTAAGTTTCGGGTTTAGGGCTCTTTTAAGGGTTCCTTTCAGGGGTTCCATGGGAATCCATATGGGGGTCGAAAAGGGGGCTTCGGGATCGGGTTTTGGGATACTTGAAGAAGTTGCCAAGAAATCGCTTGGAATCCGAACTTTACGCTTTTCTTGGTTTTTTTCTGCTCTTCGGTTCCTAAAGGGTTCAAGAAGGGACGCATCAGGGTTCCAAAGAAAAATCAACAAGGGTTTGGGAGGTCAGGGCCAGGGCTTTTGGGGGGGTTTTCGGGGCGTCAGGGCAAGGTTATTTAGGGTTTAGGATTGAAGGTTGTTTAGGGTTAAGGGTTTATAGGGTTCAATAGTTAATAGGGTTCAGGGTTTATAGGGTTCAGGGTTTATAGGGTTTAGGGTTTATAGGGTTTAGGGTTTAGGGCGCAGTTCCGGGATTAGTGTTGAGAGTTCGGGGGCTCCAGAATCCGTAGTTAAGCTCCGCAGTAGCCCCTTGACAATAGAGGCACCCTTTTCTCCTACTAATTAGTCGGTGCTGTTAATAAAAGGGACCCTAAACCCCAAAAAACGTAGGATTTAGGCTGCGGCATTTCTGACTTCATAGAGGAGGCAAACCCCTATCGGCTGATGCTGCACCATGAACTCCGGCACAACCTATCGCATGCAATGATCAATGCCCCTAGATTAATGTACTCGCAACTTCTGCACCTTCTTCTTCGAATTGCCGCTTAGTGGCCTCCTCAGCTCCATTCCACTGGTAACTGAGCTTTGGCTGCTCGGACTTCCTGAGATAGTGGTTCAGGGCCCTAAACCCTAAACCCTAAACCCTAAGTTTAGGGTTTAGGGGCTTAGGACATTAGGTTTTAGGGGCTTATCGAGCTCAGGGCTTCACAGGCTTAGGGGTTCAGGGTTTTAGGGGTTTAGGGGTGTTGGGCTTTGGGGTCTAGGCGTGATGAGGTTTATGGAGTATAGGCTTCATGAATTCGGGGCTCTGTTTCCCGGCTTAAGTGCTTTTTGGAGAGGGCGGGGTGGTCCAGGGTTTAGGTCTGAGAGTCGTGATGATGCGGACTTGGCATTAAGTAGCATCGCGTGACGGACAGATCACGTTCGGGACCTTCTGGGGGAAGAGTCGGCGGGGTTTTCGGGTGGCCTGACGTCATGAAATCGACTCACAGATTTCCAGTGCAGGGTACGGCTTCAGACCTCTTCACTGAAGACCCTGAACCCTCAAGAGAGCGGCCCAGATGCAGGAGCTGCACGTTCGTGATGGCCGATGTGCAGGACTTGTAGCCTGAGTCCCTGAATCCCTAAACCTTGAACCCCAGATCCTAAGCTAGTACCTATCTAGTAGAAAGCACGGCTTCAACAGTACGGTTGATGATACAAATCTTGCATTACCTCAACGACCCTATATTGTGGGAATTATGGTATATTCCTTATTATGGGTTATCATCAACCGTAGGAGTTACTTCCCTAGGGATCTACGGACTCGTATATTAAGGCTTTTGGGCCGGGCCCGAAGACCCTACTATATTGGGCTTTTGGGCAATTTTCATGCCCAGGGGATATGGGGTTTTGTTAGCATCCCACTATAGTGAACCCCGAACCCCAGAAAGTTGGAACATAGATTTAGGATGATTCATGCTGGGATTCCCTATACCTTATTCTAAGGGAATGAGGCTAATGATGTTCCAACTTGCTGGCTTCTACTATATCCCAAACCCTCCTGCTTGGGGGTTTCCCAAAGGGTCTAAAGTGCCTGTACAGTAGAATGTAGGGTTTCCATTTTCGGAATCCTGATTATGGTTTGGGAAACCCTAAACCCTAAACCCTAAACCCTAAACCCTATACTTAGGACCCTTTGGGCTGGCTCAGGGAACTCGATCTCGGGCTTCTTCTGCCGACTTGGGGCTTCTAAGGCCCTAGGGTTTAGGGTTTAGGGGTCTTAGGGTTAAGGGTTTAGGGGTTAGGGGTTTAGGGGTTTAGGGGTTTAGGGTTTAGGGGTTTAGGGGTTTAGGGGGTTTAGGGGTTTAGGGGTTTAGGGGTTAGGGGGGTTTAGGGGTTTAGGAGGGTTAAGGGCTTAGGGTGTTGGGTTTAAGCTTTAGTTGGATTTAGGGTTTAGGGTGTTGGATTTAGGGTTTAGAGCTTAGGGTGCTGGATTTAGGGTTTAGGGCTGAGGGTGTTGGATTTAGGGTTCAGGGTTTAGAGCTTAGGGTGTTACCTACACCCCCAGAGCTCGGCAAAATAATGACCCAACGCCTCTAAACGGCTATTATTCTACACACTTTTGGGGTCCAAGCGGGGTTAATTGTTTAGGGTTTTTAGTCTTTCGGAAGAGGAAAGCCTCGAAGGTGACCTAAGTAGAACGACCCTACATCAACTGCATCCGCGGCAACTCGTGGGAAGCAGCTTCTGTCCCAGCAAAGCATTCAGAAGCGTCGACTTGCCAGTGTTGGAGTCCTCGGCTCTGTAAGATGCTCCCCAGACACCCGGAAGGATCCAAAAAGTAGATCCCTTAACGGGGAGTCCTATAAAGTACCCTTAGTAGTATAGGGCCCCAGATTAGGGGATCTACTTTCTAGATCCTCCCGGGGGTCTGGGTCAAGAAAACTCCGTGAAGCAATCGACTCTAGGGTGCAGGCCAGCTTAGGAAGTCCTAAACCCTAAACCACAACGAGATTTACAGCAGGCTGAACATCAATGAAGCCCTAACACCTAAAGCCTAGAGCCTAAACATGCCTAAACTGAACTCCAACATTTACTCGCGCTGGATCCTGCCGTCTCCGGCAGTCGGAGTTTTGGCGTTCGGTTTGGGTTTTGCCACCGCTTGCTTAGCTGCTTTTTTCTTTCCTAAACATCCATAAATCCTAAACCCTAAACCCTACTAATTAAACCCTAACACCTAAAGCTTAAACCCTAAACATCCCTAAACTCAATCCCTAAACATTCCTAAACCAGACCAGAATGCAACCCGAACCGAAGCCTAAGCTGCTGAAGAACTGGCGATGTGTCCCAGGCCTCCATGAAGAATCTTGAAACACGGATTAATGTAGGAATCTGATTCAGAAACCTTGGTCCTTTGTTAGGGGTCCTTATATGAATCCTACTATTTTGGTGTTATAGGCCCAGGGTCTCTTCATCAGGTTCCTACGTTAGAAACCTAAATAGAATCAAGGGTTTATTAAGGTTTTGCATAGGGGCTTAGGTTTTGGGCTCTGGAGTAATTATACTTACTTGCCTTTGTCGAACCCTTCTAGTAGCCCTTACCGAAGTCCTATAAATCTCCCCGGCCAATGCGCTCCAATTCCTGAAAGTGGTGTTCAACGCAATATTCCGACTCCCATGTGGGAGTTTCCGAAAATGGGGTACCTCATTTTAAAGTCCTTAATAGGGTTCTGTTAAGGTACCATGTTAGGGTCCCCTATTTTCGGAAACTCCCATGTCGTGTTATACTATGCAGTTGTCTTTGCCTGCTGTGGTCTTCAAGGCCTGGAAACCATGAACGCTAACCTCTCACCCTGCCGAGCTCTATGACTACCTTGAGATTCCAAAACCTGCTTTGTCGCAGGGTCCTCAGAAATTCTATACGAGGGTCTAGTTTAGAATAGCAACCTCAAAAAGGGTAGGTTGTAGTAGCTATGGTTCTTCAAGGTAACTGAACAGTGAACACCCCAGAATGGTCTTCAGGAGAGCAAAGGGGGCAAAGCCCTAAACCCCTACATGCCTTAAGGACCCAATAATGACCCTTAAAAGAAGCCGGGGCCCCATAAAATAATAATATGAATCCCTATAAGGTATACGAACCCTAAACCCTTTTAGGGTTCTTTTCGTCCTTAAGGTCCTAAACCCTCACCCTGAACGCTGAAGCCGAGAAAGTCGAACCTAGGGCCCCAAAAAAGCACAGAAGCAAAAGCAATGATAGGGATATCCCATAATATAAACCCCCCTTGAAAGGAAGCCCAATAAGGTACGGATATCCCCTGAAAATGCTTATGCTTATGTGCTTTTGGGTCCCTCGAAACCTTGTGTACCGCAACCGCGCGATCCCACGTCCCGAAGTCTAAACCTGAAACCTTGAACGGTATAACCCTAAACCCTAAACCCAAACCTTCAGCCCTAAACCCTGAACCCTAAAACCTTCAAAGGCCTCACCTGAACCTCGAACCTTAAAGCTTCCACCCCAAAACCTTAAACTAGGCCCTAAACCTGAAATCATAAACACCAAAGTGAAAGACAAGGGGGCTCCAATGATTCCGATCATGATCGGGACCACGGCCCGGCTCCGATGCGCAGCCAAGGCTATCGCAATGCAGGGCGGCAAAAACCCCCAAGGTCGAGCTTAGGTGTTGGGGTTCAGGTTTCCGGGTTTCGGGCTCCATTCCAAAAGTCGGGTTTCGTTTTGATCTTTGTCCGGGCAAAAGTAGGGTTTCGAAGATGGCAATACTGTGGAATCTCTGTAGGGGGACATGTTTTTATTCAGACACCTGCGTTCTTCAGCATGACGCTTGAAGCGATGATGACGACAGCGGCGCACACACACACACACGCCTTCCATGGAGTTTGATGCAAGTGGAATCCAGGGGGTCTCGAAAAAGACCAGGTTTCTGACAAGAGTATACGGGGGCTATAATCCTTAAGGACGAAAAGAGCCCTAAAAGGGTTTAGGGTTCGTATACCTTATAGGGATTCATATTATTTTTTATTGGGGCCCCTTCTTTTAAGGGTCATTTGGTCCTTAAGGATGGGACACGATTACCAATTCGCATATACCTATATCCTGCCAAGGAGTCCGCTTTATCGGAACTTTGGGGTCGCGGTGCATCCAAGGGGCGCTGTTTCGAGCGCAACTGAAACCAGGCAGCACGACCAGATTTCGGGCCATCGTTTTGAAATCATTGGGCCTTGGGCTTACTTTCTTTTGTGATCGCTCAGGTTCGAGGTCAGGGTGCGAATGCCAAGGGTGAATCAGGCACTGTTCGAGCCGAAGATCTCATCTTACAGTACGGTAGCAACGGGCATGCCGTCTTAAACCCTAAACCCTCAAAGCCTGAACACCTCGCCTTGACACCCTCCCCCGACATCCGAAACTTCTGAATCTTCGGACAAAGCCCGGTGCAAGGTCGTCTTTGTCTGCTCGCAACTCTGGGCACTCTCACCCACAAGCTAAGCCGGGAAACCCGATAATCACAACCCTACACCCTAATTCCGAACCCCGTGAATCTCGGACTACACTCGCCAGCACAGCAGTTCGACGTCTGTACTGGGACTAAGCCCATTCACTGAGCAGCAACAACGCCGTTGCCGTTGCAATTTCGACAATTACAACCTGGTCGTCGGTTGTAGTTGCAAAAATTCGCTTTCGTCGGTGTCGGTGCAAGATCACTTTTGCTAACGAAGGTGGCGGCCATGACGGCCTCCGAATGACCTGTCGCAGCACTCGGCTGTTCTCCCTGGGGACCTATGTACCTACATAATATAGTGTCTACTTCGGCGCTCTTTAGATGCCTTAGACTCAAGGTAATTATTGCTAGATGGGCACGCCCTGCACAGTACTTTGCTAATTATGCAACGAACAAACATTGCTTTCACGACCTGGCAGTATAAAGAAAATTGAAAGATTCAGGGCTTTCAGGGTTTAGCGCTTGGAGAACTCAGAGCTTGGGAGTTAACTCTATAGCGCTCTACGGTTCATGATATCGATCCTGCATTATCTTAATGGCCCTAGACTGCGGGATTATGGTGTATTCCCTATTATGGGTAATGCAGGATTTATATCATCAACCGTAGGACTCTACGAAGATCAAGGTAACATCCCTGGCAGAACAGCCGGCCCGGCAACTGCACGCCTTCAAGGGTGGCCTCGCGGCATCCACTCTCAATGTTCCAAAGAACCTGCTAGCCACCCAGGCACTGTGAAAAGCTTAAACAAGCTCAGCGAGGTTGGTACATGTTCAAGCTTGGTAGATACTCCAAAGCTGCGATTCGCGAAACTGCGACGAGGCTTGGAGGAGGCGGAAGGAGCAGGATATTGGCCCATGCTACACCCACCAGCCCGATTCCCCCCCAAAAGTATCTCCGAGACGTGCCAGCACACAATTGCCGCAGCCCTGCCAGGGTCGCACAGAGAGTCAGCGAACCCAGCCACCGCGACCTCCCCGCAAGAAGCACATGCTTTCAAGGCACCGCAGTGCCGTCGCTGCTGCACGTAGCGATGCACCTCGGCTCTGTGCAACTTATGGGACCAACATAAGCAGGAAAGGGAGGGTGACGAAACATGCCAGACCGGATTGTTCTCAATGCGTCGAAGTAGTCACTCGTCTCGACCATTGTATCCGGGAATCCACGATGACCATTGCTTCTGCTCACAACGTCGCAGATCGTCCACTTACGATAACTTTCCTTCACATTTTACTGACCTGAATGAAGACGCATGCATATTGTCACACCCCTATTCATGCATCCACGTTGCTACGAACCGGATACTGCAACTCTTTGACGTTTGCCTCCACCCTTCTTGTATCATCATGCTGACTACTTAGAAAGTCTTTCCCTATCTCCTCTGGTTGCACAGTCATTCTGCTCACCTGCACTGTAACCAATTCATGAATTCGAACCAGGTTCGGGGGTCGACATATTGGGTTAATTCTGCAGACCTCTATGTTGAACCCGATTCTTGCACCCCTCCCACAGCCTACTCATGCTTGGTCCAAAACCGTCTGGTGCTGAGTAGGGAAAGGGGCAATGGATCCCTGTAGTAGTCCCTTTGAATGCCCAACAATAGTCTCTGTAATCCATTCCCTCATTCCCTACTAAGAACCAAACAGAAGAAGCCCTAAACCCCCTTGTAGATCCCTTTGTAGAACCCTTATCTCTCACTTATCGGAACCCTTGTAGACCCCTTTAAAACTCTACACCCTGAAACTGGTATAGCTCACTTATCGGAACCCTTGTAGATCCCTTTGAAACCCTACACCCTGAAACTGGTATAGCTCACTTATCGGAACCCTTGTAGAACCCTACACCCTACACCCTGGTATAGCTCACTTATCGGAACCCTTGTAGATCCCTTTAAAGCCCTACACCCTGAAACTGATCCTGGTTTTTTTTGAGGAGAACGGAGCATTAAACTCCAAGTCTTCAACCCTGGAGCCTCAGACTCCTTCGTCCTACGGATACCCTTTAAAGGAATCAAAAAGGGTGCCTTTAAAGGGATCTAGAAGGGTACCTTTAAAGGGATCTATCAGCGTACCTTTAAAGGGATCTATAAGGATACCCTTTCAAGGACTCTATTAGCGTACCTTTGAAGGGATCTTTTAGGGTTTAGGGGTTCTACTGACTCTACTGTTGTTGATGATATAAATCCTGCATTACCTTAATGGCCCTAAACTATGGGAATTGTGGTATATATTCCTTCTTATGGATAATGCAGGATTCACATCAGCAACCGTAGGTCCCACCTATAGTCTCCATCGCAGCTCATTTTGTTGGTTTAACCAACCATAAATTCAGATTCCTCCAAGGTGCCCAAAAAAGGAACTACAGTGGACTACAGGTAAACCCCAAAACCCAAAAGGCACATCTACCAGTGTGTGGTAGAACATAGCATAAAAGAAGAGACTTACGAATAGTACTGAAGAAATGATATTAGCATATACCCATAGGATCCATTGTAGTTCGTTTTTGTGGTCTATAATGAATGGTTGGTATTCAGGATCCTAAAAGGAAATCCCCCGAAGGAACTCCTATGGAGCCTATGGGTAAGCCCTAAATCCCTATACAGTAAACCCCATACAGTTGGAAACCGGATTAAGGCCAAATAGTGCTGAGATTCCTTACACATTACTCTTGAGGATTGAAGCTATTGGGTTTCCAACTTTTGGGCTTTTTACCGTAACCTCAAACCCTATACCTAAACCCAGTAACCAGGAATCTTCTGTAATGTACGGATAGTTCTCTAAATTACGGCCCCCTTTAGGGTATTCATTCCGAGCGGCTGCCCGTCGGCCGCGAAGGCGACTCCAGTTGCTACATCCTGGTGTCCGGCCACGCAGAGCAACGCCTCGCGTCCCCAAAGGCTCCCTGAAAACTAGGGTTCCTTCAAAGGGGGTCCTTTAAAGGGATCTATAAGGGTGTCTATAGGGTTTCTATAAGGTACTATATGGGAGTGTTGGGTTCCGAAAATTAAGGGATCCTAATATAGTACCCCAAATAGTAGGATCCTCGTTATAAGGACCCCCAAAGTAAGGTACCACCGATTTTCGGAAACTCCCATATGCTTATACCCTAAAGTACCCATATAGGAACCTGTTTAAAGCCTAAGTATATACTACATGGAGCCTTAGGGGGTCGTGGAGTGGGCTTAGAGCCCTTGGTTTAATAGGGCTTAGGCGGGGTCCGGGAGTTTAGGGTTCAGGGCTAGGGCTTATCTACTATTTGCTTAAGAAGCCCCCCAAAAATAAAAAATAATAATCCCTATATTACCCCCATAAGGAATATATATTTTTATTTTTTGGTGGTTCTTAAGCAAATAGTAGTTATGTGGGCCTTAAGAGATTACGGCTTAGATTAACTAGAAGCCCTCGCCCTACATGAAAACAAAGCTCGAAAGAGCACCCCCTCCAACAAAAAAAAAACTTGGTTCCTGTCAAGGGATATAGCTTAAGTTACCATAAAGAAACCAGAGCATTTACTATAGATCTCTACTATGGTAGCTTATGACTAACTTCCTTAGCAAGATTGAAGGATGAGGAGCTTGAAAAGCCTAGACCCAGCAATCCCATAAACCCAAAAATACTGCATGCAGCCTATACAAGCGCTTCGAACCCCATACACCCTATCATAAGTCCTTTCAACCCTTTAAGCCCCAAAAGCCCTAGAGACCTCAAATCCTGAGTCCCTAAACCCGACCCTGTTTGAAACTCCACCACGACCCTAACGACATGAGTTTTCTGAATACTGAACCAGTTCTGCCTCGAAATCCCAAAGGAAAGCGAGTTCCTCAGCACCTTCAATCCGTACACCCTTGAACGCGGAACCGCACAGCCTAAGCCTTAACCCTAAACCCTGAACCCGTAAATCCCTGTTTAAATGCCTAAACCCTGAACCCTAAGCCCGAGAACTTTGCAAATCTCGTGGGCCTCGCCCGTTTGGATGTTCCAAAGACGAGCCTGTATGCGTCGCAGTTGGGGCTTGTGGGGTTTGGTCAGGAGGACGAGGTTCTGATCGGCTAAGCTAGGTAGGGTTCTTTTTTTTAAGTGCAGTGACGTCCTAGGTAGGGTTTAGGGTTTAGGGCTTAGGGACTCCGCGCATCCTACCACGAACTGGCACCGCGGAAGCAACAGAGTGGCCCTAAGCAATTAAGAGAGAGCGTCGGTGACATACCAGAGTCCAACCAGTGTCGGGACTCTAAAGGAATACTGGCAGAAATAGTCCGAGCCCCTACATCTTCGAGACTCCCCCCACCTTACGCCTTAAACCTTTGAGAGGAGGGGTTAGGATGTAAGATGTTTGGGGAGCTGTGGGATTTAGGGCTTCCTGAAGCCCTGAAACTTCAATCATCAATCCGTAGGGCTTTAGGGCTTTTCCTAAACCCTACACCCTAAACCGTATACATCCTAAACCCCGAAAAACCTGCGGAGGAAATGTCTGATATGGCTGCTTGGTTTTGGGCTTCGTGAACGCCAAGGATCTAACGGACCCAATAAATTAGGTACTCAGGTTTCTGATAGGGTAACTAAGTATTAGCTTTATTTCGTGGAGTATATGATGATTACCCATAGGCTCCACAGTAGTTCCTTTTTGGGATTACCTTGTGTAGGATCCTTTGTTTTAACCACAAAAAGGAACTACAATGGAGCCTATGGGCAGGTACTTGGACTCTTAAGGAAACCCCAACCCTAAACCCGAAAGGCTCAACACTAAACCCTGAACCCTACACCCGAAACTGCTTGTTAAGTACTTGGACCGTAAATGATTCAGGCTAGGGGATTTCAACGGTTCAGGTCTGCTTCGGGCTGAGGGTTTCAGGGCGACTGACGGTTCAGGGTTTCAGGATTTTAGGGCCCTGGTGTTTGGGGGTCGGGGTTTCATTAGGGTTTAGGGTAGGTTGAGGGCTTAGGGCTTCAAGTTTCGAGGTCTACACAATGACGAGTTTGTGCCGGGTAATGCTTTTTCGATGTTTAGCTTCAGGACCCTATAAACCCTAAACCTCAAATTCTAAACCCCAGCTCTAAAGCCGTAAACTCAAACCCTAAACCCGAATCAATTCTTGGCCCACCTGGCCGTCTGCACCGGTGGCTGCAAGAAGGTCTCCGCTGGGTGCGAAAGCAATGCAACACACGGAGACAGCGAAGCCACCTTGGTACCCAAAGCGTCCCAGGGACTTTTATGGGGGATGCTTCCCAAATCATTCTAGTGATTCCGGACATAGAAACACTCTGCTATGTAGGGGCTTGATCAACATTATGGGCCCCTGTTCGTCACCGAGACTTTGAAGAATGTGCTATAATACAGACCCAAGAAAAGCCTGGGGTTTAGGGGTTCAGAGTTTGGGGCTCTCAAAGCACTAGCACAATCGGTCATCATGAGCATGACCATAACACCTCATAACCCTAAACCCCTGCACCCTTAGCGTCACAGCCCTACACCCTATCCCTGATACCCTAAGACTCATGCGTCTGTAATCTTCATCCGAAAACCTCAGAATGATACCTGAACTCAGTGGGAGAGGGGATCCGTGCGATGTCCTACAAAATCCCCTGCAGTTATGCCCATACAATCCCCTGTTGCAGCCCCTGTATTCTCTCCTCTAGTCCCCCTCAAAACCTAAGCCTCCAAAGCCCGAAACCTTAAGAACCGGTATGACTCGGTGTGCGGCTGAGGACTCGGACAAGACTGCCAGAGGCAGCCTCCCAGATCCTGGCTTCCAAATGGGTTTAAACATTGGGGTTTGCCAGCCCCCCCCACTACCCTCTACTACACCCGAAATACCCACTACTAAGGACCATGAGGGCTCTATTAAATGGTACTTGGGGCTGCTGGTGATTGCATGGCTGAGGGGTTTAGGTTAGGTAAGAAGACATCAAGTTGGAACATCGGTTAAGGCTCTTAAAGATGATTAGTGCTGGACAACAACCTTCCTGCTGCATTCAGGCTATGAGGATGTGATGTATGCATTATATGGTATCGGGGTAACATACCCAAACCGACCAGGGGGGTGGGCGGTACCGGACAGTGCACACGGCAGCTTGTTCAGGATCCGAGCTGGTGCAGAATATGGCTCAGGGTGTAAGCACCATCAACCCACCAATTCGAGAGACTTCATCTCGCAAACCCCTAAAGGGAACTCCAGAAAGTTGGAATATGGTTTCAGGGTAGGATACCTTATAATTTACCATAAAGGGTTTTGGATAACCATATTCCAACTTTCTGGCTTTTACTTTAAAAGCTCAACCTGCAGTTCTAGCCGGGGGGCGGAATGGCAGCCCTTTTCTGACTGCAATGCCATCTCAACTTGTTTCGTCGGAGTGGGAAAACCGTGTTCCATCATGCACGTGGACGAAAAACCCACCCGGAAAGGAAAGGCCCCGGCAAGAGGGTGCGGCTGCACCGCTTTCCCCCTCAGGCGGCCTTTCGGCGTCTGCAGCTGTGGGAGAGAACCCAACCCTCTGCACAAAAGCTGCCTTCGGCAGTTGTGAGAAGAACGCGCACCTTGTCGTTGCTACGCCGCCCAGTGCAGGAGGACGAGCACAAGGAGCATGGCCAAGCTGCGAAGTGACGTCTCTTTGCATTGACTGGCGGGATCAGCTGGGCTCCCAGAGGTTTGCCTTAGTTTCCGAGTTCATAAGCCCCAAGCTTAGATTAAACCTTCAGTTCCGCGGCAGATATTGTCCGCCGAATTAAGGTGCAAAGCACCCCACAAGCTCCATTGTAGTTCCTCTTCGTGGTTCTACATTCAGGATCCTATATGGTAATCCCAAAAAGGAACTTCTACGGCGCCTATGGGCAAACCCTAAGCCCTAAAATCCCCTAAACCCTGAACCCTAAACCTCCCTAAACCCTAAACCACAAAAAGGAACTATGATGGAGCATATGGGTATTCCTAGACCCTGAACCCCTTACAAAACCCTGAACCCTAACTTCAGATACTAAGTTGCGCATCGGTAGAAGTCGAAGTGGAGTCCTCGGAGCGCGAAGTCGAAGTGGAGTCCTCCTCAGAGCTTTCCTCGGCTTCTGAACAGCCTCTGTATAATAAGGGGTATCCTTTTTCCTACTATTCGGTACTAATAAAGGGACCCTAAAATAAAAGGGAAAAAAGGGTACTACTCAGAAACCGAGTTTCCGATAAGTAGAGCCAGGCAGCTTCCGTAGGACTCTTTCCCCAAGGGCTCAGGCTGCTGCTCTGATATACCTTCACAGCGGTTTAGGGCTTGGGGTTTAAGGGGGTGCAGGGTTTAGGGTTTAGGTGTGGGGGTTTAGGGTTCAGGGTTTGGGGTTTATATATGGGGGTCCTGGGTTTAGGGTTTAGGGTGTGGGGGTTTAGGGTTTAGGGCTTGGGGTTTACGGGGGTCCAGGGTTTGAGGTTTAGGGTGTGAGGGTTTGGGGTTTACGGGGGTTCAGGATTTAGGGTTTAGGGTGCGGGGGTTCAGGGTGTATGGTTTGGGTTTGGAGGTTTAGGGGTTTAGGGTTTGGGGGTTTAGGGTTTTGGGAGTTTAGGGTTTAGGGCACGGCTTTCGAGACAGCAATCCCTTGTGCACCGTGTGGCACATGTTGAAGCAGGAAACAATAGGCTGCTATCATGCAGTCATAGGCAGTAGCTGTGAAGGGGACAGAAAACCCTTACAGAAAGAAATGAGACAATTGCAGTACATTCGACAAGGCAACCAATAACTAGTCAAATCAACCCTCGTGCGCGTCCTTTCTCATCTAGTTGGTGCTGTAAACCTGCGGTCGTCTGCAACGTGCAGGCTGAATCAACCCCACCCCGTAGATAGTCAGACTCGCACAGCCAATCAAATTATTGGCGCTGACTCCCAACCTACTATTTGCTTAAGAAACCCCCAAAAAATAAAAATAATAATCCCTATATTACCCCCATAAGGAATATATTTTTTATTTTTTGGGGGTTCTTAAGCAAATAGTAGCAACTCTAAACCTCACCCTAAACTCGAGTCTTCATCCCAGCGTCATGCCAAAGGCCAGACATCTCGCAGAAGCGTGAAGACTTCCCAGCCGGGCATGACCTGAGTATTCCCCGGTCTTGGGCTCAGGATGTGCCTTGATTAACTACCACAACCTTCGTTTTTGGCTGGTTCTTAAATTCTAAACCAGTAGGTTTTGGAAGCTATTTGAGCAGGGCCCTGGGTTTCGCGGTGGGGTTCAGGGTTTGAGGAGATGATAGAATTGCAACCCAACAGTCTCAAGCCTCAGCTTGCCTAATGTAGGAACCTGATTAAGAAACTTTGGGCTTTTACTAGGGCTCCATATATACATCCCACTATTTTGGGGTTATAGGCCCAGGGTTTCTTAATCAGGTTCCTACAGTATCCCTGAAATGGACACCCTGATGGAGCCAGAAACGTTGTAGAAGCCCGTGTGGAACCTGATGGGCTTCATAGCACGCTCTTCGGAATTAGGGTATGGGGTGTTAATTTGGTTTAGGGCGTATAGGGTTCAGGGTTTGCTGCGATTCCCAGTAATCAGGAAATCTTAAGCTTCTGCCTCTGTTATCTGCCAACTACTGCCACTGCCAACTCTGACTATGATGGACACTGTGACCATGGCATGACACAACCTAAGGGAAGGAACGGCTGATGAGGTCGGGGTCGAGCAACGCATGCTCCTCACAGGTCACGGAATCCTCGTTGTAGACCACTTCTGTAGCGCTGCCACAGCCAAGAACTTCTGTGGCGTATTTCCGCCATCCGGCTTTGCTGTCCGTCACGCTGAAGTAGCTGTCGAAGCTGCCTATCTGGGACCAATATGGGCGGGGATTCGCGGGATTGCAGCTCAAGACTCCGCGTCCGGTGTATGCATGGTCGTATGCAGCTCCTGCACAACCGACACCAAAAATCACATCCGAGAGCTCGCAAGCCAAGCGGAAGGATAATGCACAACCGTTGCTGAAGCCACCGGCATAGGTGCGACCTGCAGGGATGCTCACTTCTGCATTGACAAACTCGACGACCTTTCTGATAAATCCCACATCGTCGGTGCCCGCAGTGTCTGCACCCGCACAACAAGTGCCAACATTCCACCCGGTTTCGCCATTCCCATAACGGAGCCCTTGGGGACAAACACCGACGAATCCGTACTCCTCTGCATACTTCTGGATCTCTCCGTAGGAGCATGCAGAGTCCATGTCCTCTGTCCAACCATGGTGCATCAAGAAGAGGCCAGTATAGACTGAGTTGCTCGGAAGATAGACCTGGGTGGTTGTCAAAATTATGGTCCCATTTTGGGTCCCTAATATAATACGGCACCTAAAATGTGGGGTACCCAAAAAGGGGACCCCTAATTTTGACAACTACCCACCTTGAACTCCCGCTGGACTCCATCGTGCTGTATGCCCTGCGTGGAATACCCTTGAGTCAGCGCAGCATCCACCACGGAAGTCCCCAGAGACAGTGTGGCAAGGAGGCTTCTGAACATTCTTCCGTCCCAGCGCAGCGCAACAAAACCGCGAAAACTATGCTCACTGTCTCCAAGCAAACCACTAGGATAATGGGGAACTTAACAACAACTTGGTCGAGATTTTGGGTAATTCTGAAGTTTGCATTTATATATCAAGATGCAAGCTGGGCCGGCAGGCTGCACAAGGAGAATTGCCAAATCCTTGCGAAGCGGAGCTTGCCCAGACTCTGGATTCATTTTGTTGGTTGCCTGACCTTCTTGTCGTATTTCTCCTGGCTAGCAGCTCATGTTCTAGGGTACAGGAAACAGATCTATGCTCAAGACCAGTAAACCACCAGGTACTTGGGTAGTTGTCAAAATTTTGGTCCCTCTTTGGGTCCATATCAGCACGGCACCTAATTTAGGGACCAAAATTTTGACAACCACCTACTTGCAACTCGACGCGCTAGCTTCTGGGTTCCCCAGTCAGTTGCCTCCCGTGCCACGCCGGAAATCCTGAAAGCTCCACCCAAAACCCTAAAAAACCTTGTCAACCCTATAAACCCTGTAAACCCTAAACCCCATACCCAACACCCTAAACCCTGTAAACCCTGCAAAAAACCTGTAAACCCTTTAAACCCTGTAAACCCTCCCGTGTTCCGCGTTCTTGTACTCTTGGGATTTGGGGTTGTGGCTTCTTGTTGTTTTGGGGTTCAATGATTGCAAGTTAGTTACATGCTCGGGGTCTGATAGGGCAGTTTCCGAAAATCAGGGGTACCTTATTTTATGGTTCTTATAATAAGGATCCTACTATTTAGGGTATCATATTAGGGTCCCCCATTTTCGGAAACTCCCATAGAGTCTATAGTGAAGCCCAGAAAGTTGGAACATGGAATTACGAAGATCGGTGCAGGGATTCCTTATACTTTAGCTTAAGGGTCTGAGGATAACGATGTTCCAACTTTCTGGCTTCTCCTCTAGAGCGTCCAAGTGCCCAGATGTGGGATGTAAGTTAGAAGCTGCCCCCACCCTGTAATAGTGGTATGAATAGGAATACAATAGGGCCCTAATATAATCCTTATAGTCACTATTACAGGGTGGGGGCAGCTTCTAAGATGTAGGGTACAGTTCAAGGAGAAAGGCTGGAGGAGGCCCTGCTCTCCGGGAATGTCGACACAGGTTGGGACAGGATTGAGAATTCATAATGAGGAACCCTATCTGTTTCAGGGTTTATACAAAAAATCATATGGGTGGTTGTCAAAATTATGGTCCCTTTTTGGGTACCCTAAATAGAAGGTGCCGTACTCTATTAGGGTCCCAAACAGGACCCTAATTTTGACAACTACCCATACAGTAGGGGAGCCCTAGGAAAGGTAGGCTTTGTAGGGTCCAGGCCGGGCTTAGGGAGACGGGGCCTGATCTCGTGGTCCGCAGAAGAAGTGGCGATGAGGTTGCCCTGCTGACAGGATCAAATGACTTGCTAAGCAGGGCTACAAGTACCCGGATTGGGTTTATAAGTCGATAGCAACCCTGAACCCTAAACCCCTATGAACCCCTAAACCATTTAACCTCTCTGAACCCCTAAACCCTAAAACCCCAAACCAATAAATAAGCCGCTAACCCCTAAACCCCTAAACCTTGCTTCGAACCCTACTTGCGAAGTCCCCTGACCCTCGAAGTGGGCGCGGATCCCAGAAGCCGTGAGTTGGCATAAGTTCCTATGGTTCAGCGTTACCCTACTGTAGGAGCCTGATTAACTAACCTTGGGCATTTATCAGCAGGGTTCCTTGTACGACTCCTATTACATTGGGGGTTATAAGCCCAAGGTTTCTTAATCAGGTTCTTAAATCAGGGCTAGAAGGACTCGTATATTAAGGCTTTTGGGCACAAAGACCACGCTATGTAATTTTGCTGCCCACGGTTAGGTCTTATAGGGCCAGGGTCAGGGGCTCAGGAATTTAGGGCTTAGGAATTTGGGGCTCAAGGTGGAGGGTTTTAATTTGAGGATTCCGGCTGTTGGTGCTGAGGGTTTAGGCTTTGAGATTTGGACCTAAGGGCTAAATGGGTAACCTGAAGTAAGGCCGAAGGCGGTGCTCAGATTCCCGCTTGTGTCCAGGCTTCTCGTCCCTGGTCAGAGCTGCAGTTGCACTGTGACAGCAAAGGCTGGGTCGCCCGAGCTGTGGTCGTCGTAGCTTCGACAATGGTGACCGCCGCCGCTCGACGACACCAAGAAGACGCCGCACCAGTAACTTGTAGCCAAGGCCGCCAGTGCAACGCCAGAAGAGAAGAAAACGAAGGAGCAGCAGCGAAGCGAGCGCAGCAGCAAGGCGCAGCAAGGCACTACAGCCCAGGCGTGTAGAAACCTCCAGGAGCACGATTCAGTAGCATTGACGGTGCAAACCTTGCAACCACCACAGCCAACCAAGGCACTCGCAGGACCGCTCCATCAAATCATTATCAGATGTGTGGGAGCAACGAAAACGGTCCGCTGCCGCTCCCCCACCTGTGAAAACCGCTGGTGTGCGAAAAGCTCTTCAGGCAGCTGGTGCTGCCGGAGACACCCTGCCGGAGGAAACAGGCTTGCTAGGCCTTCGGGTTAAGAGTTTGGGGTTCCTGGCCAGAAATCTCCTCCCTAGTTTTCGCCATCACAGCCACGACGGGAAGTAGGGCACGGTGCTCTCTCCAGCTCCCCCGTGACCGTCGAACTCCATCCTCAACCCCTCAAAGGTTTTAGGGTTCAGGGTTAGGGTCCACAATGCCTGCATGGGGCTCTGGTGCAGCCAGCACCTTTCAGATCGGATCGCAGATGTGCACTGAACACACAACGACCCTTCCTGCCCGGCGGAACTGTTTTTTTTCCTAGGTCTGGTCCGCCCCGGCTTGCTTTCCTAAGTCTGGTCCACTGGCTGTGGTTGCAAACAGCGGCAACTGCAGTCTTTGCTTCTATTTTGCATCAAGCTATGGGGGAACTACAACTTGTGGAGTTTGATTTTGCTTGTGTTTAGCATCAAGCTGTTCGGGAACCACAAGTTGCAGGGTTCGGTTTTCTTTGTGTTTTGCATGAAGCTATTGGGGAGTTCGCATTTGCAGGGATCGGTGTTGCTTGCGTTTTGCATCAAGCTATTGGGGAACTACAATTCGCAGGGTCTTCTTCTGCTTGTGTTCTGCTTCAAGCTATTGGGGAACTACAATTTGCGGTGTGTTCTTCTGCTTGTGTTTTGCATGAAGCTATTAAAGAACTACAATTTGCGGTGTGTTCTTCTGCTTGTGTTTTGCATCAAGCTAATGGGGAACTACAATTTGCGGGGTCGGCTTTGTTTGTGTTTTGCATCAAGCTATTGGGGAACTACAATTTGCAGGGTCTGTTATTCTTTGTGTTTTCCATCAAGCTAATGGGGAACTAGCATTCGCAGGGTCTGGTTTTGCTTGTGTCTTGCATGAAGCTTTTGGAGCACTACAATTTGCAGGGTCGTGTTTCGCGTGTGAACATTGCAGGATTACAATTTCAAATCTTCTGTCTTGTGTCGTTGTTTTTTGGTGTCGTTGTCGACATCCTCGTCATCGTCGTCGTCGTCCTCGTCCTCGTCGTTGCCGTCGTGGTAGTTGTTCTTGTTGTTGTTGTTGCTGTTGCTGGTGTTCTTGTTGTTGCTGCTGTTGTTGTTGTTGTGGTTGTCGTGGTGGTTGTGGTTGTGGCTGTTGCTCCCACTTTCCTTTTTGGCGGGTTTCTGACCATGCTTTAGCCTCCCTGATTAAAGTTGGAACCTGTGGTTTGAGCCAATATGCTCCTGTGGACGTGTTCCAACTTTCGGCTTCCATCCTACGTATTTGGTTCTTTGGACCCTTCCGTCTAGATGGGCTGGCTGCTTCACAAACCTGCAGGAAAGTTTCGAACGTGGTACTGTTGGCTGCTAGAGATCGTAAATGGAAGTCATCAAGGCTACGCGTTCTTGCAGGTTTGAGGGTTTAGGGGTACAGGACCAGGAGAGACCAGGGGACCAGGGAACCAGGGACCAGGGGACCAGAGGACCAAAGGACCAGGGGACCAGGGACCATGGGACCAGACCTAGCAAGGCCCCCCAGACCGAACCAGACCTAGGAAACAAAAAAACCGGGGACCCCTTCCTGCCCCTTTTTCCAAAAAAAGCTCAAGGCCCGCCATCGTTATCGATCCACCGGTCCGAAGCGAAACACTTAACAACTGGGTATGCTACGAAAGCGTGCTTTGGTAGATCGAACCCTAAGGAGCGTGACTAGTGTTCGTGGTAGGTGCTACTATAACTATGCAAGAAAACTAAGGAAGACTCGCAACTGCTACAACTCGTCCAGCAGACCTACAGTTCCTACATCCCCAAGTTAAAGCCCTAGAATGTTCAGGGTTTAGGGGTTCAGGGTAGGGTTTTGGGCTTGTAGAACTCCAACACCCCCTTATTCGTGGAGGCCTCACATTGCTCGCAATGGCTTCGAGCCCCCTCAAGCTCGCCGAAAGAACACCTAGACCTATATAAGAATAACCTGGGAATAAAAAGGGAGTCTTTTTTGGTCTAAAGGGGGTCATAAGGTAACCTAAACCCTAAAAAGGGAATAAGGGCCTACTCTGGGTCCTAGACACTAAGGGCCGTGGCCAGGCTGAGGCACAGCGCAGGGAAAACCTGGAGGCCTGCACGCTGAAAGCCCCCAAACATTGAAACCCCAAGCCCTGTACACGTCTCTAGAATCTCTTGGAGGATTCCTATAGAAGTTTGTGGAACCCTTGTCCCAGGCTTCTCAAAAATTCAGAACCATCCGTGCCTGAGGTGGCGAAAATCGGGCACATGTCACCTCTCCCTGCAGGGCAGCAGGGTTGGGTGGGGTTTGGGTGTGGGCTCTACCTAGACCCCCAAAAGTAGGTAAAATAATGGCCCAAAACCTATAAAAGGCCGTTATTCTACATACTTTTGGGGTCCAGGTAGGGTCTCAGAGAATTGGGTTTCGGGTCTAGGGTCTTAGGGAATAGGGCTTCCGGTTGGTCTTAGGGGTTTTGGATTTAGGAGTGGCGCTGTATGCTTGCACAGGTTGGTACCTAGATCGAGGCGTCAGGAGAAAATGGGATAATTACGGCTATTCAAAAATGACAGAAACACAAAGACAAATACATAGGCGGATGGACGGAGGGACAAGCGGAGGCCTGAGCCCTAGAAACCGTGCGCCCGAATGCCGGGAACTCCGAATCCCCGTGAATCCTCTGCCAAACCCTCCAAATCCCAAACTGTACCCATAAACTCTGTAACTTAGAAGCTGCCCCCACCCTGTAATAGTGACAATAAGGATTATAGAGGATTATATTGGGGCCCTATTATATTCCTATTATACCACTATTACAGGGTGGGGGCAGCTTCTAATCTGTAACCCAAATCCGAAGAACCCAAGATCCGAACTTGATAGGACCGTATAAAACCCTGGTACGAAACTCTTTCAACATCCTCGTTACACCCCAAAATGAGACCCCAAACAACTCCGTCGAATCCCAAGAAACCGAAATCATATGCCGGAACTCTTACCCTAAGGGTCCATGTACCCATATAGAGATACATGAGCCCCAAAGTACCTACATAGGGACAACATTCAGGCCAATGTATATACTATATGAGTACATGGACCCTTAGGGTTATAATGGAATCCTGATTTGAATCTTTTGCCTTGTGGCCCTCGAAGTTCCGCAGCACGGCGCCTTCGTTGCTTGACCAAAGCTTGGCCGTTCGGTCCTGCCGTCAGCCCTAAACCCTAAAACCGCCAACCCGCAAACCCCAGAACCCCAAACCATAAATCCCTGAGCCCTAACCTAGAGTCTCCATTGTAGGCCCGTTTTTTGTTCAACCGAGTTTATAGTTAGGATCCCGCAAGGCAGGCCCACAAGGAACTGCAATGGAGACTCTAGGTATAAAGCAATGACAAACTTGAAAAAAAATGCAAAGCAGCAATAAAGTCCTAAACAGCCCCTGCACCTGATAAGAAATAGAAGCAGCTCTATTCAAGCCCGTTATGGTCCGCCCCCACCCCTCTCAAAAACATATCCAGGCCCCCTTACAGTCAACACCCAAAGCCCTGTAGAACTGCCCTAAACCCCAAACCCCGAAATCCCCATGAACCCCTGAACCCTAAACCCCTAAACCCTCAAACCTAACCCCTAAACCATAAACCCCAAACCCCTAAACCCTCGACCCTTAATCCCTAAACCCTATAGACCCCTAACCCCTAAACCCCAAAGCCACGTGGAAATCCGATGCTCTCCGCAGCCCCGGGTCCACTGAGGCGGTGAGAAGGGTCTCGGCTGTCGGGCCGAAGCAGACCTCATGCACTTCTGGGGTATAAGGGAGTTTCCCAAAATAGGGGACCCTAATACACTACCCTAAATAGTAGGATCCTTACTATAAGAACCCCAAAATAAGGTGCCCCTAATTTTCGGAAACTCCCATAACTGTCTCTGTATTTCTCTAGCTGTCTATCTGTACATACACTACATTACATTACGTTACCTTGCATTGCATTACACTACAGTTTCATTTACAATATATTGCAATACATTACATACATACACACATACATACGTACGTACGTACATACATACATACATAGGGTTCCTATGAGGTTGAGAGGCTTTAGGGTTCAGGGTTTTCGGTTTACAAAGGGCTTCTACAAGGTAGAGGCTTTATACGCGGTTTTATGGGGTCGGGATATATAGGCTTGTATTTATAAGATCTCCGAAAAGGATAGCGTGACACAGGCAGTAGGTAGAACATGCAAGCCCTGAACCTTGCAGGCAATCTGCCCCCAGGCAGTTGTGCAACTGGCCGCTATTACGGTCAAGCCCTTTTTTACGAAAGCTGGCTGCGAAGTCCCGTTGACACAACGGCAGTATGGAAAGGAGCCCGCCCACGAATTATCAGTTCAATCTTAATTAGACCGAAAAAACTTCGGATTTGTGTAAGTAAGGAGCATACCACATGAAGGGCTCCAAGCTGTGCAAGCTGCTTGTGTCCAAGAAGAACATGATTCGACAGCCGACCGACCTCACCATCCGAGCTCGAGAGAACTCTTCCGCAAGTTGGTCCTCTCTGTGCCCGTTTGCAAACCTGGGATGAGCTATGTAGTAGTGCCACAACATCGCTGCCGGCGCGAGCTGGCCTGCGACCAGCAAGCCAAGTCCCTTCTTCTCCTCGGAAAGGCACGGATCGCAAGCTTGAAGTAACGTTGCGAGGCATCTTATGCTGCATCTTTCAGGCAAGCGCTCCAGACCTTTGCGCTGCATTGTAAGCAGGTGTCCTCGGATCAGGCTTCGAACTTCCTTGGCACGCGCTTCATAAGGGGTCGCACGTTTGTACGGAAGGTCCTTCGGCAGCTGAATCCCGCACAACTGTAGTGCATTAAGAGCCAGACCATCCAGACTGTCACAATGACTGTAGTGTTCAAGCGTCTGCAGGATGAGCTTCTCGGCCTGGTGCCATGCGTCAGGATGAGGCGGCCCAAACTGCTGCGCCCTCCATGCGTTCCACAAGCCGAGGGCCCTGGTAATTTCAGCGCAGACCACGTTGCTCAGACTAGTCTGATCGTAAATGGCAATCATCTCAGACAGGGCCTCCGTAGCCAGCTCAAACATGGACCTGTTGTACTGCAGCTTCAAACTTTCCAAACATGCGCCGCTTTTCCAAGTGAGAGCCAAGGCGCGGATCGCTGCGGCATTTGGAGTCGTGCATACCCGAGCCATGTTCGCAACGTTCTCAAGCGTCTCCCACATCTGCCCGTGAGCACGAAACCTCTTGCACACGTAATGGTCTTCCAACCTGAATAGCAAGGCAAGCTCGACAGAAGTAGCAGTTCCCCAGCTAGCTCGCATAGCCTCCGCTGCGTGATGGTAAGAGCTCGCAGACTGGAACTGGGAGCTGGTAAAAAGTGTCATTGTGTCCACATGGCGGTTGAACAGAATGCTGCCTCGGCTCTGCTGTGATGCCCGGCATGCTGCTAGGCTACAACTAATTAGGCACCCTTAGTTAGGCCTGCAACACCACTACCACCAGCACCAAAACGCAGGATCTACAGCGCTTGGAGAATATGAGGACCCCGCCCTCCGTTTAGGGGCCAGGCTGCTCAGGGTGCGCTTAAGCGGTGTTTCATCGGTCTGCGTCTTCGAGAATTGAACACTCGGGCTGTGTCAAGATATGGTACGTACTTGGGTCCTTTCGGGGATCTGCATAAGCTTCTTCAGCTGTGAGGCTGTGAGTGTCCGTGGACCTGCTGTGCAAGTTTGGTATGCAATAAGCTGGACAAGGCCTGTCATGCGTGTGCATAAATGCGCAGCAAGGTTCATGCATGCTGAAAGATGAACGACAAAGCTAAATCGTGTTGGGCATCCTAGAATGCGGGTGTTTCCCCTCGGCAGCTTTGAGACCACTAGCTAGTGCTTCGGAACCATGCGCTAGGCGGGAAAAGCATGTAATCTATACCGTCTATAGCCTTAAATCGAGACGAACCAGAGCCCAACCCCTTAGAGCCCGAATTAATTCTGAGCACCAAGAGGAGGTGCATTTGTAGATCCGAAAGTGGCAGAATATGGAGCGACGAAACGTTGGCTTTTGACTTTGCCGGAGATAGGGGCACCCAAATGCACACCCCGATATGCTGAATTGTTTCTTAAGCTAATTTGCAGATACCCTTATTGGTGATGGTACGAAGACAAACTGAAGCAAGCCGCCCTCTTTGAGGAAGGAGCTGCCATCCACCTTGGGCACACCATGTGGCACCAGCTCTACGTGCTCCATAGCTGCCATATCACTTCCCACAAGGAGGATGGAACACTTGCCAAACTTAGGCAAGTAAGCTCCACCCGGCGCATGATAGCACGGCTTCCATGGTTGAAGGCATGGCACTTTCGTAAACTTAAACTGCTTCTCGTGCTGTGCCGTAATCCATCTCTGAGTAAATGACCGCTCGTAGTCGTCGGTTGTCTTGCCAGCTGCAGAGCAGGCTGCTTGAACAAAGACTCCCAGCTCTGGTGGTTGGCTTCTGCAGAAATCTACCCAAGCTCCACTGTGGCAAAAGTCCAGAAGCATGAATAGGATGGCAGATGGGAGGGCCAGCCTCTGCCTCTTCATCCAGAGTTTCATGACATCTTCACAGGATACTGAGCCATCATTCAGCTGCAACTTGCCATCTGTACTCTCACCTTGAATAGCCACCACAAAGAAATCGTGCTGCCCGTTGAAGAATGCTTGGACGCGCCGGAAGCAGTCACTCTTCTTCAACTTGGCGGTGTGGATGGACTCAGGATGAACCTCAACCTGCCCAACAAAAAAACACAACATGCTACACAGTCTGGCCTTCTCTGTTAGGAGCCGTTGTTATTGTTTGGGTACCTATCTCCTACATAAGTACTTAGGGTCCTGTTGATCGATAGCAGGGACCATGGAAACAGTCCTGTGCCAAGGTCCCACATAGTTCATGGTTTAGGGCTACAAGTAGGGTGTACAGGGTTTAGGGCGTATAGAGTTTAGGGTTTACGGTTTGCAGGGTCCAGCGTGGTAGGAAAGAACTTTTGGCATATGAGTACTCGAAGGAGCGCTACGGCGACGGCTATGTGCATGAACTTCTCCACCCGCTGCTAGCATCAGCACCACTTGCATGTGCTCATGTTTGGAAACATCACTAAACAGATTGGGGAAAGAATATGTTTTCCCCTAAACATATTGGGCAAGAAATATTTTTCCCCCAATGTGTTTAATCCAAATTCCCACCTTGCACTCCTCTCGACAGAAGCGGCAAATAGCTCCATAGTCCATCTCGGTCTTCAGCCTTGAAATTCCAAAACATCTTCACCAAGTCTACATGGGAGTCTCTCAGAATGCTGCCTGCATGAACCCTAGTATAATATTATGTAAAAGCCCCCTACAAGTATAAGCCCCAAGCATCGCCAGGGTGCTCCAGGTATCTCTGCATTTTGACACACAGCTTTCGGGTGGGCATGCAATTCCCGGTGAGATCCTCCCCACCGTATCGGCCCAAGCCCCCCCTAAAACCCGAGACCTACTCCGCCTCAATCTAGATGGCGCCATGACGGAGAAACAAAAGCTGTGGACATAGAGGCACAAGTATGGTGCAGTGCAGGTATGAAATACTGGAAATTAATCAGGTAGCACATCACAAAGCAGATGGTAATCGCATCGCCCAGGGGTTGCACTCTGATCTCATTTGCTTAAAATACCGTTTCCGGAGGAAAGGTGTGGTGTAATCAACTTACTAGCCAGTGTTTGGGCCCTACATGGGATCGCAATGGGGCTGCGTTTGTCGATAAGAAGTAGATCAAAGCAATGCCAAGCAGCCAGACACTTCCACGCTGCTCCAAAGGGCAAGACAGAATTAGCGCCTTTTCGGTGGGGTCTGGCCAGTGGGCATCATCAAAGTCAGGCATGCTGTTTTGCCTAAATGATCAGGATAAGCTTTAGGGCGCCTTATACACGACTTAGCCCGGACTATGCCAGGACGATCTCACCTGTGAAAAAGGCTCCTTGATCAGACTCTTCGTGGGCTGACATCAGAATCATGCGCCTGTTGCTATTCTGTTCTACCGAGGATTGAGCCCCCTCGGATGGCGACGGGATGTTGAATCGAATGAATGTCGCTCAACGTGGCTTAGGACTCCTGGCATGCAGCAGGGTAGTCGGGCTACCAACGGTTTTGGGGTTTACGGTTCAGGGTTAAGGGGTTTGAGGGTTATATAGGGTGGAAGGGGAAAACTGTTTACGTCACTGGTTACATTAAATTCGAACCCTTATAAGCTCTAAACCGTTCATTATAGCAAAGGCCCCCAGTTTCCTGTAGAATTCAGGCTCGCCGTTCGCCTCGGAAACTTTAAAATATAGACGATGTAGACATACTGTACACCGCAGGTTCTTGCAACTAAAACCACCAAGAAGCAACAACCGCATACCCACCTGGCCCCGAAGAACCTGCCTTCTAGGGCTACTCAGTATGATTTCCCTTTATAAGTCCTTTAAATGGTAGGTTCTTCAGAGTCCAGGCAAACCCTAACCCCTAAGTTGGAAGCTGGTGAGTACTGTCCGAGTATCAGGCGCAAACGGGTTCAAAGTTCAGGGTCCATGGATCAGTCTTTAGGGGGTTTGAGGCTTAGGAGCTTCTTTTTGGGGGTTGATGGGTTCAGGAGCTTGGGCTTTGGGGCGTTAGGGTTTCTGGTTGAACGATTTCAGGGGCAGAATGCTTTTGGCAGAACTCGGCGAAGGCTGATCCTGCGAAGGGCCGTACTCTAGGGGCCTTAATAATTAGAATAGGGTTTTGGCGCCCATTATACTATAACGATAACAAGGAACCCCCAAAATAGCATTGGTAATCAGTAAGATCCCTACGTTAAGGATGCAAGGCTTAGGACGGCTTGGCTTCCAGCGGAATTGACGCCATCGGTATGACCCTGGAGGTTTCGAAGGCAGCTGCCATCCTGCAGGCATGGTAAACGGAGATGTGTTGGAATTTGGGAGCTTCCGAAATACGGGACCATAATGTAGTACCCTCCCCTGATAGGATCCATATTATAAGGACCCCCAAGTAAGATACCCCTTATTTCGGAAACTCCCATTTAAAGGGCTTACAGTTTAAGGTTCATGCTTATATAGGTTTGAAGGCTCAGGTCATCCAACAGTCTCCGAAATTGCGGGAGCATGCTCCCAAAGGCTTTCTCTGATTTATGTGGGTAGCCGTCAAAATTATGGTCCTTTTTTGAGTACCCTAAATATTAGGTGCCGTATCATAATAAGGACCCAAAAAGGGACCCTAATTTTGACAACCACCCATATCGAAGTAATAGAGTCTTTCGCCGAGGCTTCGGATGTTGGGTTCTGCGGTTTCACGGCTGGCGATTACAAGCCGAGGGCTTGGGGCAATGTGTTGACGAAGCCCGAAGCCCCAAAATTGCAAGCGAAACTCCACACCAGCATAACCCTAAACCCTGAATCCTAAACCCTACTAAATCCTAAACTTCACACCCTAGGACCCGAAATCCAAAGTTGAAAGCCTAAAACCCCCAGGCCCTGAAGCCCTAAGCCGTAAAAGCCAAGGAGCCTGCGGTTAAAACCAAAGCTTAAAGCTTGTTAGCCAAGGCAACAAGCCTGCCAGCCCTGAGCCCTGAGCTTCCTCAATGCTAAGGATGAAGTCCGACGCCAAGCTGATCTTCGGCGGGTTCCACAAGACTCCGAAGCGAGAAAGCGTTGACAACCCTTGTTCTCTTGGAATGCTTTCCGAACCCCGCCACGACAACCTCACCCGCAAACCTTAACCTTCAACCCTAAGACCCTGAAGCCCTAAACCTCCAAACCCTAAACCCCAAAACCCTAAAACCTACTAACACCCTATAAACCCTAAAACCCTAAAACCTCAAACCTAAAACCAACTAAGACCCTAAACCCTAAAACCTACTAAAACCCTAAGCCCTAAAACCTACTCAAAATGCTAAACTCTGAACCCTAAAAACCTACTAAAACCCTAAACCCTAAAACCCGAGACTCTGAACCCTAAAACCTACTAAAAACCTAAACCCTAAAACCTACTAAAACCCTAAAACCTGCTAAAACCCTAAAACCTGCTAAAATCCTAAACCCTAAACCATAAAACCTACTAACACCCTAAACCCGAAAACCTACTAAAACCCTAAATCCTAAAACTAAAACCCCAAACCCTAAAACCTACTAAAACCCTAAACCCTAATTAAACCTACTGAAACCCTCAACCCCTGAGGTCTAAACCCTAAAACCTACTAAAGCCCTAAACCCCTGAAGTCCTGCAAATGCCAAAGTCTCACACTTCGGTCGTTGGACGCGGTGGCCAGGACGGGGCCCCCGGAGAAGGCGACGGAGAGCCTTGGAGATGGGCTTTACCATACCCCCCTTAAGCTTTCATGATCTGGCCAAGTACTTCTGGGGAATGATGGCCCAGTTACACTGCAAGAGACTATGGTACAAATACCCCCCCCCCTCAAAAAACAAATAATAAGAAACATGTTGAATATTCTCTTGGGTTTTATATGAACAAAAATATGAGGAGACTATAGTTTAGTATGGGTTCAGGGCTTTAGGGCTTGTTAATAGGGTTTAGGGCTTAGGATTTAGAGGGCTTATAGGGCTTTGGTTCTAAATTGAAAATGTGGCTTAAGGTTTGGGGCTAATAGGGTTTTTTTGTTTAAGCACCTTTTTCCGACTGCCCTTATTGCCCAAAGGGGCTAATAGGGTTTAGGGCTCAGGGTTTGGGTGGGACGCGAGCAGGTATATTGTAGGTCCCATGACTTTTATGAGTAGATACTTGGACCCCTAGCGCATACGGTTTGGAGGCTCAAGTCTTTGGGGAGTGCGCCCTTTTCTGTCTGTGGGGTTGTTTAAAACTAGTACAACATAACCAAGTATGTAGATATTCAGGCTTTCTAAACCCTAAACCAACCCCAAATAACAAGCCCTAAACCCCGAACCCTAAACCCTAAGCCCTAAACCCCGAACCCTAAACCCTAAACCCCAAGCCCTAAACCCCAAACCCGAATATATTACCTCGAAAGGGCTCCAACACTTTGCTGTCAGGCCGCACAGGGCCCTCGTGGCCACGCAGCCGCAATCCTCAGAGACCAGACAAGAATCGGTTCTGCGGTCTCGGGTTTAGGCTTTGTGGGTTCAGGGCTAGGGGTTCTTTAATCGTTTAGGCTTTAAGGGTTTAAGGGTTTAGGGCTTGAGGAAACGTCGAACCGAAACGAATCGGGCGGAAGGTTAAACGGATGCAGACAGGATGTGACAGCTGCATCTACACGTCGGCACTGCAATGTTGCTTGCATGCGTTGCCCTTGTCAAGATCTAAAGAGCACTGTTTCATCTAATTGCCAGCACTCTGCTGAAAAAACGAACCCTAAGGGCTCCAGTTCCCTAAATGATGGGTTAATGGGTTACATACCTAGTCCCTCCATCTACCCTCCATAGACCCTAAACTCCCACTGTTTGGGGTCATATACCCTGTTTGAAGGCATGGCAGGCGGTTCGTGACCTACTGTTTAGGTAGCAGCAGCCACTTCGAGTCCCAAGCAAAAGGAGCGCCAAACGAAACCATCCGAACTCATTGGCAAGTTTCAAAGAAGTAGGGATATCTTAGTCCTTATGGAAAGGATCCTACTATTTAGGGTACTATATTGGGGTCCCCTATCTTCGGAAGCTCCCATTGGGCATTATAGGGACTCTTGCAGCATAAGTCACTGCAGCTGAGCGTGTTCAGCTCCCAAACCCTCCTCGGTTGCAGTTGGATTTAGGGCTTCGGTTTAGGGATATTT